CCAAAACCGACTCCAACATTTAAACCAGAACCTACTCCTCAAATAAATCGTAAAACTCCTGCGTTTCCTTACTGAAAAAATAATGTTAGTTTTATTTTATTTGAACATTTTATTTAGAGTAAAATGACGACTAAAGTCACTGAAGCAATGAAACAAAAATTTTTGGTAGAATACATTAAATCAGGAGCGGTTCCAGAAGGTTTTTACGTTCATACTATGAAGGATGGTAGAGTTCAGTTTAGAAAGATAAAGCAACCATTAGATAGAGAAGGTATATTAAGGAAGATTAAACTTCATGAGGACAACATTGCTGAACTTAAGAAGAAGTTAGAAGAGTTATAAAGCAATGAATTCAACAGACCCAAAGGGTCAGAGCCGCTTTGCGGCTAGGGTGAAAAAACAGGTGAAAAAAGAGGTGAGATTTCACCACTTCACCTAAATTTATTTTTGTGCTATGTTTTCATACGTGTGAGGGTGGTGATATCATTAATTTTTAAGTTTATTTTATTATTTTACTGAAAATTTTTATTTGGATGTAAATGACAGAACAAAAGCAACTCATTCGAATTCCACAGTATAACAAACATACATTTAAACATTTATTCTTCCTTCCTGAGCATAACATGTTCTTTCAAATACATCCGAGACCAGTTGACTTTTCATTGACTGTGTATAAAGATAGAAATAGTTATATCATTAAACCATACGATGACGAAGGTAAGTTATGTAAATTGTACGTTAAGAAGTTAGAGAAAGTTTATGGCTTCAAGTATGACTACAATAGGGTTAACACTGATGATGAAGATATTGAGGAAAATTTATGAGAACATTAGTGAAGTCGTTAGTGAGAACGATAGTGAGAACGTTTATTTTTTACATTAGTGAGTTCGTTAGTGAAGTGGTTGGCGGCTTTGTAAATATTTAAGGTTAAGTTAGTGTTGTCGTTTGTGTTGTAAAATATACGTTAACGGTTTCGTGAAGTGTCAAACCGTTAACTTGGGTAAGGTGGAACGCATTGCCTCAGTACCCAACATAACCATACTAACTAGTTTATTCACGAGCCAGATCGTATGATTTTCTATTACGCCCCATTCGAAGCAAATGCTTTTTCACATCAAATACAAACTTATCACATTGATTCCACTTATAAGCTCTTGCGCTCTCGCATACCATTTTATGCCGTCACTGGCAAATTCGCGGAATCAATTGTTTTTCCGTTTTTGTATTTTTTCGTTTGGCCCGACACAAGTGAAAATATACAAGTTTGTCTCACAGCATATTTTGGCTCCATCAATCGCGAACCATCTTATTTTTCAATGGACTGCGCACCTCAAATCACAAATGCTGTTGAAACAGCCATCCCCTTATGCCAGATCATTTGGTGTGGCGTTCATGTGTTGCGCGCTGTCATGAGAAAGGCTGAAAAGTTTCAAGATCGTTCCAACTTCGAAACTTTCTATAACTTAATGAAGTTATTGGTCTTTGGTTCTGAAGAGGAAGAAATTGATCCTGATGAAGTTTACAACAATTTAGAAGAAATTTTAAATGAGGAACCTGCTGCCCGTGAATACTTTGACCAACAGTGGCGCCATCATCTTGACAGGTGGATGCTTCGCTATAGAAATGAAGGAGATGGAACAAACAACATCTCGGAATCACATTTCAAGGTTTTGAAGCACCAGTACTTCCAGAAAGGCGAAATCTTCGACTCGATGAACTTGTCATCGAGTTATATTCCAGTGTTGTTCCTTCATTCCTGATTAAGTTGCAAATTAAAGGTCTGGATTCAGAGAGAAGTGTTAAAGTTATCAAAAAAGTCACAAGAGATTTCGAAGAAATGACACAATTTAAAAAAGTCGAATGCATCAGTATGCTTGAAGCTGTTCAGAAAGGTCTGAAAAATGATACACTTGATCCCAACATTGTTTACTCAACATTAAAAATATTATTGCAAAGAAAACATTTGATTTAATAAACATTTAATTTATTATAATTAATTTTTTATTACAGTATAGTAAAAAATGCTATAAATAAATTATTATTGTTGCATGCTAAGTTCGGTCAACGATAGAAATTGAGTGGAAATTAATCGTCGAGGAAGTACGATTATGTAAAGTAAAAAATGTTGTGGGATTTTTAATATTATATATTATTTTATAATAAAAATTTTTTGAGTCATTTTAAGAAGCACATATAATTTTTTGAATTTAAAAATTAAAGTAGTGTCAAACGAATTTATCACCTAATTTAATACTCAGATTTCTTAAAATTAATGAAAAAAAGGTTTTCTGAGAACTTTTGAGAATGGTTTTCAAATTCCATTATTGAAAATATATAGGTATTGTATGAAATTCAAACTCTATATTTATTAAAATTCTAAATTTTTAATAAAATAACTTTTCAGAGGAATATGATTTTGAATGGTTGATTCATAAGTATAAAAATGTCTACGATTTTAAGGAGGGAATTGTTCCTTATGAGGTATACATCATAACTATATACCTCATAAGGAACAATTCCCTCTTGATAGCTGGGAAACTTTCTCTGAATAACTTATCATTTGGAGAAAGTTTCCCAGCTATCTATTAGAAACTAAAGGCTGTGAGGCACTAATATATAATCAGTGCCTCATAGCCATTAGTTTCTTATTAAAAACGAGAAAACTTGTTCGAAATGATAAAACAATTTCGAACAAGTTTTCTCATTTTAAGGAGGGAATTGTTCCTTATGAGGTATACATCATAACTATATACCTCATAAGGAACAATTCCCTCTTGATATCCTGGATATTTTTGAATATATTTTTTTAATTAAAGTTCTCAAAAGTATTATCAAAAGTGATTTTTTAAAAATATCTCCAATTAATTAACTAATTAAAAGTATTATATTTTTAAAATTAAATAGTTTTTCAATTTTTTTGAAGGAATTGAGATACTTCCCACGACAATAAAATTGAGAGGTTTACATTATGACTGATCTTAGCATGCAACATTATATTTTATTAAAATGTAACTTTTAATAGTAAGTGAATAAAATAAATCAGGAATTGGGAAAGAAATAAGGTTAATTAAAAATAATGAAAATTGCAAGTTTAAGGTTAGTGAAAAGTGACAATGGGCGAGTTTGTCCCCCACTCATAAAATTTATTAAATTCCGGTTATAAAATATCAAATTACCTGATGAATACAATGATTTAAAAGTAGATATGTAATAAACAGAAATTCATCAAAAGTGACAGCTCTCAATTTTTTGACATTTGTAAATTCTAAATTGAATGAGAAAAATGAAATAATACTAAGCATAATACAATATTCTAGATTTAATTATAATTAGGAAAAAGTTAGTTTTGAGAGTACTTTTCATAGGCATATAGAATGAAATCTTCTGAAAAATAATATCACATAAACTCATATTATTTTCTAATATATAACTATTTTATATAAAAATCAAATTCAATGATCTTAAAAGCGAAGGATAAACCTCAAAATTTACGAATATAATGAGTGGGAATATAATGCTTATCTATCATAAAACCATATGAAATATCAATTTTTGCTTTACGCCTAATTTTTGACGACAATTAGCAAAAAATGTTAAATGTTAACACTCAGTCCATTTGAATATGAAAAATAAAATTGACTTTGATTAAATGTTTTTATTTATCATGCAATTCTTCTTGCGACCAAAGATTTGAATAAAATTTCAAAAAATAAGATAGCTTAAAAAATAATATACGGTAGTGTTTACTAATAGATGAATAGTATATAAATTCTATTAAAATGGATTTGATCCAAAAAAATATATAAAATTTGATCATAAATAAAATTGTTTTAAATTACTTCTTAATTTAAATTATAACAATTATTTTTGGTTTTATATTTTTTGGATCAAATCCATTTTAATAGAATTTATATACTATTCATCTATTAGTAAACACTACCGTATATTATTTTTTAAGCTATCTTATTTTTTGAAATTTTATTCAAATCTTTGGTCGCAAGAAGAATTGCATGATAAATAAAAACATTTAATCAAAGTCAATTTTATTTTTCATATTCAAATGGACTGAGTGTTAACATTTAACATTTTTTGCTAATTGTCGTCAAAAATTAGGCGTAAAGCAAAAATTGATATTTCATATGGTTTTATGATAGATAAGCATTATATTCCCACTCATTATATTCGTAAATTTTGAGGTTTATCCTTCGCTTTTAAGATCATTGAATTTGATTTTTATATAAAATAGTTATATATTAGAAAATAATATGAGTTTATGTGATATTATTTTTCAGAAGATTTCATTCTATATGCCTATAAAAAGTACTCTCAAAACTAACTTTTTCCTAATTATAATTAAATCTAGAATATTGTATTATGCTTAGTATTATTTCATTTTTCTCATTCAATTTAGAATTTACAAATGTCAAAAAATTGAGAGCTGTCACTTTTGATGAATTTCTGTTTATTATAGTCTTGCAAAACTATTCATATCCGATGCCCATCAATATGAAAATCACTCAACAAATCAACTTGATTTCATAATAAAAAGTGATGAATTTTTCTCAATTTCAATTGATGATTCTTATCTCTTGACTTTTTGCAACCAATGCAAGATAGATTTACAAAATAAACTAAGAGATATACCAGAAAAGCCAATTCTTGTAATACCACCGTATTATAATCATGTTTTAGCCCGTGTTTTAACGAGAAATTTTCTCAATGATAAATTTCAAGAAATTAGATATTTAAATAATTTCCAACTTACAGAAGAACCACTAAATATGATAGTAATGATCCCAAATGAACCAGAATTCATGAAGAGTGCAATAAATATTTTCAAAATCGCACCAAATGCTACTAGAAATATATTTATTTTCCCAAGATATGGTATCCTTTGCGAAAGGGAAGTTCAAAAATCAAAAATGGAATCGTCTATTACCATTACTGAGTTATATTTCGATTTAATTCCATTGGAATCATATCATTACATTATTCCTACGATGAATTTCTTTAGGAGAGTCTTTTTAGAAGAAGAATACGAACCTCTGACGTCAATTGCAAGAGGAATAACAAAAATAGAAATGCTTGCAGGAATATTTCCTCAAATTATATCAGTTGGATCGATATCTCCTAAAATACAGAATCTTTTACAAGAGAATAGAGCTAAAATAGGCTTATCAGCATTCAATGTTACTCCAACTTATTCCAAATTGATTTTAATTGATCGTATGACTGATATTCTTACTCCTCTTCTTACAGAGTTCACTTATGGAGCAGTTCTTGATGGTTTTGTCGATTCAACTGCAGGAATTTTTGAACTTCCTGATTCTATTCCTTACAAAGACAGAGAAATCATATTAAGTGATGCAGATGAAGTCTTTAAAGAGACTAGAACGCAGGCATTACCAAAAGCAGCCGTAATTCTCCAAGAAAAAATCACAGATATTGCAAAAACGAAAGAAGGTCTTCAACCAGGCATGGACACCTCCTCGTTCAAGAAACAAGCCCTTAAAGCTGACCATCTTGCTAAAATTAACAAGCATAGTTTGTCTTCACTTTCAATTTTGAGTACTTTTGATTTTAGAATTTTTTCACAAAATTCAAAACCATTTTTGGCAAAATTTGAAATAATGTCATCATCATTGAAACTGCATAAATGTGACGAAATGTATATAATACATTCATTTATTGTTATTGAATCCTTTCCTAAAACTGAAATTTCATATTTTTGAAAAACGTTTTCATTTGTAACGGATTTGTCTGATTTAACAAATTCATTATATAATTTCATGAGTAGTTGATTTCCGAAGCATTTGCCAATTTCACATATGTCATGATAATGGGACTCATCTGCATCAAATTCAAGTTTGCCTGTTTTGATGAAGATTGAGAGAATATCGATTGTATCTTGGCATATAATATCAAGATGTATTTCGAATGATGTGATTGATCTATTAAGAAAATACTTTGCTTCGATTACATCTGAAAAACAAATTGCTGAAGTCTTTTTTGTTTCTATGACTCTATCATTAATATTGATACGGAATGTACCACATTCTGCAATAGAATATGCACGCTTTAATTCATCACATACTATTGATATGCGTACCATGTTTAATTTAAAATTAGATTTGCCATCATTTTTAGTCCATAATTGAATTCAATGTTCAAATGTGAATATTGCTATATTAGCATATAAATAAGAATATTATATGTTCTTAAGAGTGAACTTACACCTTTCTGAAGCATTCCTGAATTTCTTATTGGAAATTTTATTTTCTAAATCATTCTTGGTGTTTTTACACAGCTTTTAATAGTTTACCAGAAAGTAGAAAAAAGATTGAGACTGGATATCCATATGTACCATATAATTATTTAGATACCACATATTTATGTGTTTATCATTATTTTATCAGTCTCTTTCTGACTGAATATATTTATATATATCAAGTATAAGTGAATTTACAGTTAAAGCGAGGAATACTGAAGGGTGCTATTAGCTAATATTACATTAATTTTGAATGCATATTTTCCACTTTGTATTAGATTTTAGAGACACAGATATAGTCAGAACACTTTTATATAGGAAAGTGATAGTATACGCTATTAAGAATCAGAGTCATAATTGCTTTGGAGAAGAAGTGAAATGACTTGGTAAACTCGAACTTAAGTTAAAAATTAAATAGTAGAATTAATGATCTAAAATACAAAAATATACATTTAATTAAACACAAAGAAAGTAAATTACTGGTTTTGGTTGATTGGGGGTTTGATTCTTCTTCGCATTGTGCTAGAAGCAACAGATCTTGCTTCTCCACGAGATCCTCCATAAACAGAACCTGCTGGAAATGAAACTTGCATCACAGATTTGGCGTTTGGAGATTTAGGACCGCGAGAAAGAGGTGGATTTCTTGAACCAGCTGGAAGTAAAGAAGCAGGCGTTTTCTGTATGATTCTAATTGTTGGTTCTCCCCAGCTTCCGCCTTCCAATGAAGCAGCTCTTTCCGTTGTAATGATTTTAACTGATTTAGCCCTTTCTTTCTTTTCTTCTCTTTCAGCTTCCTCTTCTTCATCTGGAACTTCGTCGTATTCTATTTCATTTGGTTCTTCTTGCTTCTCTTTATGATCTTCCTTCCAAGCTTTTTCGATTTCAAGTTGTTTAAGTCTGCGCTTTTCTTCTTCCTCATTTTGTAGTCTTAAATCTTCTGCAGCTTGTTTTTGCTTTTCTGCTTGCTCTCTTTCAGATTCTAATCTAATTCTTTCTTCTTTAACTGTATCATTCCATTGAAGGAGTTCTTTTACAATCATAAAATCATGCTTAAATTGTAATTTACGATATGATCCTCTGTTTGTAAAAGTTATATCTTGATCTTTTTGCTCAATTCTCATAATATCTTTTGTGAGTTTAATTTCTGGATGTTTTTTAAAGAAATCTTGAACCATTCTATTGCATATTGCAAATGGTACTGTATCTTCAACTGTTATCGTAGTTTGGAGACGTTTTTTGTTGAATTTGTAAGCTGCTTTTGCGATTTCGCTAACATAAAAAGCTTCAAGATGATTTTTGGCACCAGAACGGTCAACGTATTTCTTTAATTGTAAGTGTGGATTCTGTGAGCCTGATAAATCTTGATTTGACATCAAATTTTGCTGAAAAAGACGATATAAACGTTTCAAAATTTTGTTGAAAAAAAAATACATACTTGAAAAGTGACAATAAAAAAGTACTAAATCCTCCCCATCGAAATATATGCTCCTGGCATTTATATGCTATCAGAAAGAATAATTGAACAACTGAAGAAAAGGTTCTCTAAGTTAAATGACAATTTCAAGGCTGATTGAAATCGATGTCCATCGAATTAAATATGATTGTTAAATTAAAGTTGTGCAGTTAAACAATGATAATATGTGCCATCTACTTTTGTTTGGTTATGCTCTTTTCCTATATATTTTCTTTTTCAATGATTTTCCAAAATTTATGTAAAATGATTGACTTAGAAGAAAAATTCTTTTGCAAATTTCGTCTTTATAACCAAATGAATTAGGGCAGCAGTGTAGTTGTTGAGCCAAAAATTTGAAGGGATTTGTAAAGTTGGCTTTGGTTCGATCCTTTGTCTGGTAATGTCGAGCCGTAACTTCTCTCGTACATTCAAGAAGCCAATGCGTCCATACGAAAAGGAGCGCATGCATAAGGAGCTTCAGGTCGTCGGTGAATATGGCCTTAAGAACAAGCGTGAAATCTGGCGTGTTTCATATACACTTTCCAAGATCCGCCACGCCGCTCGTGAACTCCTTACACTTCCAGAAAACGATTCAAAGCGTATCTTCGAAGGCGCAGCTCTTCTCCGCCGTCTTACAAAGCTCGGTGTTCTTGATGAGTCCAAGCAAAAGCTCGATTATGTCCTTTCTCTCACAGTCAATGATCTTATGGATCGCCGTCTCCAAACACAAGTTCACAAGCGCGCTCTTGCTAACTCTGTTCATCATGCTCGTACACTTGTTTCCCACCGCCACATCTCTGTTGAGAACCAACTCGTCAACCAACCAGCTTTCCTTGTCTGGAAGGAATCCGAGAAGAACATCAAGTACGCCGATACATCTGTCATGACCACAGAGAAGCTCGGCCGTAAGAAACGTATGCGGGCTCATGCACAGACCAAGAAGGCTGATGAAGAGTAAATAAAGAACTGCTTTTATAGATTATCACTATTTTTACGAAATTTTTTTCAATATTCTGTAAAAATTTTGTTTTTATGAAGATTTTCATTTTTATTTTTATTGTACATTATCAAATGCATGCTTTTTAAAATGAAATGTAAATTTGTCAGTATTCAAAGCTTTACAAATTTCAATTTTGATAACAATTTTCAATGATTTTTGATTTTATATTGTCAAAAATCCGATTTTTTGACAATTGTTTGCCTTTGAGTGAGGGATGTCAAGTATTGGGGTTCATTCTCGGCAATTATTGATTATTAACCCATATGACATCCCAAGACTCGATGACTACAAGTTTTGGAAGACTACACGCCGAGAATTAACAAGGGATCTTGAAGAAGCTCTTGTCGAATTATCCGAAAATGATTTGAAAAAAGTATTTAACGAGTGGATGGGCGCTCTCAATCTCAAGCTACAGAGTAGTGTTAAAAACATTCAAATGGCATCATTACTTACTATATCAATTTTATTTTATTTTCGAAAGATGGCAGAAGATATATCAATTTATTTCAAAAGGATAGAAAATCTACTAGAAAGTGATGATTTTGAAGTTTGCCGTGCAGCAGGCAAAACATTGCGTTGGTTTGCGGAAGATTACGAAGACAACCAAGTATTCCTTCAAGAAACACTCGAACTTGCCAATGGATGGCTAAAATCTAATAATCGAAGTGAAAAATTATTTAATGCCTTTGAAATCATTTACGAAGTCGGAAGATTCCAACCTTCGAATGTTTTAACAATATTTGCACGTCATTTTGATGTCATTATTCCATGTGTCTCCTCTCCACTACCTGATTTACGAAAAGTTGCAACGAAAACAATTATTTCGCACTTAAAACAAATTTCATTAGATGTTGGTGACTCATTTGCAGGAACAATATATTTTGATTGCATCTGTGCTCTCAAGAATCCAAAAATACTTTCAATTTACAACTTTTTCAGAATTATCAAAAATATCTACAAAGTTTTTCCATCAGTTGTTGATGCGGCAATGGTTGTAGGTCTAGCAATCAACAGCCTCTCTCAACCTGACATAGCAACTGTTCGTTGCGCAGTTTCTTTTATCAAAGCAATTTCTCAAAAAAATCCAACGCTTTTGAACCAATCTCATGGTGACAAGATAACAGCGATATTCCAATCAAGAATACACAAACCTACAGTTGAAAAAGAGATTTTTCAGTTAATTAAAATTATAATTCAATGTTTACCAACAAATATCATTCCGCACATAGTTCTTGTTAATTCATTATTAATTATTATTGATAACAAGCAAATGGTTCAATTCCATCAAGCCGCTTATGAAATTTTAGAAATAATTATCTTGAAAAATCCGAAAAACACATTTAGTATTGATTTATTTTATGGAAAAGAGCCGAATTTCGGTCTTCTCAAAGTCATTGCTTTATTTGGTGATGATGCCGAGAAGATGACACCATTCTTAATTGACTGGTTTAACAAAGGATTCACTATTGGAGCATCAAACAAATCAATTTTGATTTCATTGACGATTTTGAAATATTTAAGAAAATATATTCCGATGTCTGACGATTATTTGTTTGATGAAATTGAAAGATACATGAATATAACTGACCAAGAGATCAAACTACTTGTTGCTGATGCTTTGAGATCTCTTTCATGTAAGAAAGCAATTTGTAGTTTAGTTAATATGGCTCTTTACGATTCATTTAAGAATGTTAGGAAATATTCTTTGAGTTTATTAACAACTGAACATGTTTGTTCACATATTAACTTAGTTATGCAATTAATTATGGATCGTTCAGCACAAATAAGGAATACAGGAATAGAAATATTATCTAAAGCATCTGATTCATCACCTGCATTGATAATATTACCTTTAATTACTCAATTAAATACATTGATTTTGATTTGCATTGCTCCTCAATCACCAAAAATCAATGCAAAACTTTGTTCGACTTTGTCTGTTGTCGCGAAGAATTTTAAAGATAAAATTCCTTCAATTTTTCCTTCAACAATTTGGTGTTGTGTTCATTTGTTGAGAGATGAAAAAGATATTCCTAAATTTATTGAAAATTTCGGTCAAAAAGCGATGCCGAAGTCATCAACCTTGAATTTTTTGGATTTGAATCAAGTTTATCATTATGATCCTTTGAACACTTCAACAACAGATTTATGGGCATCAAACAAAAGATCAAAAGCAACTTCTTTGTTAATAAGAAAAAGATGGGATGAACAAAGAGATATTTACTTGTTTGACACGCTTGGGGAATTGTCTGATTATATTCCTCCATATATAATGCAAGTTATCCCTGCTTTCATTGATGTTTTAGATCCGAAAAAGTCCAAAAAAGTTTTGATTTCATGTGTCAAAAATTTACAAAAAATTGTTGTCACTTTTTTAAATTATGGATCATTTAGATTAATGTTTCCAGAAGTTTTACCGAGATTAGTGAACTTGTTGATGAATATTCATTCAAAGGATCTTTCAGAGATTATTTTGAGATTGATAGGAACATTAGGAGTTCCAAACAAAGAAGATTTCAAATTAATTTCAGAAAATGTTTCGATATCAAGTCAAATCGAGAAATTTTCAATTGAATTCGCCCATCAATACTTGCTTGATCTTATATTGAAGATCTTTGATAAGCCGTCTGCTGTTTTAATGTCATCTATTGTAGCTTTTGCACAAAAAGAAACGAAATTAGTTTTGAAACATTTAGAAAAAATTTTAACTTTGTTTGTAGAAAGTTTTTCTGTTTTAGAAAATGTTGATTCTATATTTTTCCAATTAGATACAGTTTGTTATTTCTGCGGAGAAGAAATCATTCCTTATTTAGATTTAATAATTAATTTATTAAATGAAAACATGAAAAATCCATTTTGTGTTCACATTTGTTATACTTTATCTTACAAATTAAGATCTTCTTTTAACAGTTATGCAAAGATTTTGTATCTATCTGCTTTGAAGCAAATTAAGACGAAAGAAAGACTATTATTCAAACAACTGTTGAAGTTTTGCGTCAGTTCTATTTTGTATCAAAACATGAACCAACAAATCTTTATTGAAAAAATAGAAGAGAGGATATTCAATGAAAAACTTGACTTGAGATTCATGTCAATTATTTATAAGAGTTTCATTAGACTTATTCAGTATTCTAAGTCGAAAATTTTCAATTCCAGAATTGCACAAATTATTTTTCGACTTCAACCAACGAATTCTGACGAATTACAGGATTTATTGATTAACTTGTGTTTGTTTGGAGGCGTAAACATCTCCATGGTCTTGCATTACATTAACTTCGACAAGAAAACAGCTGACAAACTTAAAAAAGTCGAAGAAATGTTGCAAAACAAAAAGAATTGGTCTGTAAAAGAAACGAAAATCGTTAAAGACTTGGAAATGAAATGCAAAGAAGATTACTACAAAAATTTGATAAATTCAACTCCCAAAAAAGACGTTTTGTTAACTGTCAAACCGCCAATTTATATGAATAATGAAAAGTGGTTAACTGATGTTAGTTTTCTTGTTTTACAAAATTCTCCAAGTGAAACAATAAGAAATTGCTTTTCTTTGATTTCGTCTTCAAACAAAATCATAAGGAAATACTTCCCTGTCGCTTTCATCGTTTATTGGTTGTCTTCTTCTCTTGAAGAGAAAAATTATTTCTCAGAAATTTTACAAAAAGTGACAATTTACAACGATGAAACCATTTTTAATTTGATAACTTTGTTGGAGTTCGTAGGTAATCCTTTGAAGATCAATAACTTGTCGGAGATAACTTCAAGCAATCTTCCTTTGAGCCGCTATTATCTATTAAAAGAAATTAAAAGAAATCCGTTAAAAATTGAATATTTGACAAAATTATTCAATTTGGATATCAAAATGTCACTTTTTGAGTCAGCCAAGATTCTTGGTTTGAATTTGGTTGATAAATACAAAGTGAAAGATGAAGGAATGATATACGAGAAACTCAATTATTGGCAAAAAGCTTTGGATTTCTACCAAAACCAGAAAAGTGAAAAGAAAAATTTCAAAATTTTGTTTTGTTTGAGTGAATTGGAGAAATATGATGATTTATTGTCAAAAGAAAGTCTTTTGGAGAAGATGCCACCTGATGATCTTGTCAACATAACACTGGCTTTCGCAAAATGTTACTTTTTATCTCAAAATTATGAAAAAATGAATTTTTATTTGCAAAAAGTGACAAAAAATCAAACCCCAAATTTACTTTTGAACAAAGCAATATTTTATGCTGAAATTGGAGAGAAGAATGAGAGCCAAAACCTCATTGACAAGTGTTTTTCTGTGTTGGCTCAAACAAATTTTGTAAATGACAAAAGTGAAGTGATGGGAAACCTCAAAATTTGTCAGTTTTTGATAGAATTACAAGAAACAATTGAGAACAAAGAGAATCACTTGTTGATTGTCTCAAACAGGATGAAGAACTTGGAGTTCAATTCGATTTCTATGTTGAAATTTTTCGACATAAGAAATTTATCAATAAAATACCCATCAAACTTGGATTTGATGAAGAAACTCATCAATTCTATGAGGAAAGATAAAAATTTCATGCTCAGAGAGAAGATAGAAAAAAGAATTTCTGTTTATACGTTACATAATAAACTTGTCAAACCGTTTGTAAAGTCACATTGGGAAGAAGGCAACAAAAATGATGTTTTATCACTTCTATCCAAAATTATTGATATAATTGAGACGAAAGATGATGAAAAAAGATTATTTTTATTCAAGAAAATTTACGAAGAAGAAAAAATTGTCAAAAAATATCAGAACTTGGATCTCTCAATTTTGGACGGTTTTAACGATACAAAATTCAAGAGTGACATGTACAAATTATACTCATTTTATATCTTGGGAAATCAGTCCATTGATAACTTGAAATATTCCATTTCTTTGGCACAAAAATCATTTGATTTGAAACCAAATATAAAAAGTGCCAAAAATTTAATTGTCAATTTCACAAAAATCCTTGATTCTGAACCAAATATTCTCCAAGATCTCATGAAAATGATAAAATATGTCCTCAATAATACTAATGATGTGTACGTTAATGTCACGTTTTTCAGATTACTTGATAAATTTTCTGAAATTGAAGAATTTCCATTTGAATGGATAAATAACGTCAAATCATCATTTTTCAACTTGTTTTTGACATCGGAAAACAAGATCTTCTTTTCATTACTCAAGAAATATTCTTTGACTCATTTTAATTCGCTTTTATATGATATCTTGTATTGTTCATTTGAAAAACAAAAAGAAATCAAAGAAATATTGAATGAAAAGAATATTTCGATGTTTACAAAAGCTGTTGAATTTGAAAAAGGATTGAGAACTGTTTGCAACACTTTTTGTGAACAATTTCTCTACAAAATCCAAGAAAATTGGATTCCAAATGTCATGGAGAAAACAACAGAAATCTTAGTTGAAATTCGCGAATTCATTAAATTGATGAAAAGCGAAACAACTAATTTAGACAAAGTTTTCTTGATTGCCTTGGATGATGACATTAAATTGTTCATAGAGAACTTGAACAAGTTTGTTTCCGATGGTTCATCGAAGCCATCAATAATTTTGGATGCTTTGAAAGAACTCCAGAAACATTTGGAAGAAAAACTCCTCCAAATGGGTCCAATTCAACTTTCTTCAATTTCTCCTTCACTTTCTGTTTCTGATTTCACTTCACTTCCACTTCCTTCTAATGTTTCTTCTTCTCAGACACCGAGAACAACCAATTATGATTATAATTATGATACAATTCACTCGATTAATCATAATGATAATTGTAATTTTGTTTCTAAAATTGATGAAATTGTTTTTGCTGTTCAAGGTCGAAAATTCTGTAGATTTGTATTTATTCTTACAAATGAAGGAGAAAAGGTTAAGTATTTTGTGCAGCCAAGATCTCAAATGATTGATAGATCTATTTCATGCTGCGTGAAATCACTTGCGGAACTCAAGAAACGAACAGAAAAATCTTCTCTTTGTTCTCTTGATTTCACTTCATTTTCAAAAAATGTTGCTTGTTTACTTTGGCCTGCCAACTTTATTGATATCAAATCATTTATCTCAAACTATAGAAAGACGAGGAACGTGAAACAGAATGTCGAAGAAGAAGTTGTTTTGTCTCATACTTCAATGAATTTTGATGATTTGACGAGTTTGCAAAGATTAGAAGTTTTTGACACTTCTGTAAGAAACAAAATTTATTCATTTGATTTGAGAGATTCATTGTGGTATCTAAGTAAGAATCCACAGCAATGGATTGACACATCAACGAACTTTTCCAAGTGTTTCGCATTCGATAGTTTCTTGACTTATTACTTTGGAATTGGAAACAGAAATCCAGACAATATTTTGATCGATCCTCAGACAGGAAGAATTGCTTCTATTGATCTGTACTCAGCTCTTGAAAGACTTGAGAATGATGTTCCTTTGAGACTGACTCCGATGTTTGAGAATGCTTTGGATGATGTAGAAGTAAATGGACTTTATTCCAACAAAATTCACGAATTAATGAAGACTTTACTTACAAACAGCCAAAAAGTTGTTGATTACATCTATGCTTTCGAAGGAGAAATTCCATCGAATATCATCTCTGAAATGAAGAAGAAATCACTTCAAAATCCTGAAAATAGTGACTTAATTGCAGATGAATTGATTTCTGTATCAAGAAATCCTGCAAATTACACAAAACTTTGCAAATCATGGAACCCACTTTGGTAATATTTTTTTTAGAATAAACTATTATTTTGTTTGTATTGTTTGCGTAATTATCAAATCATTTTTTCACTCTCTTATTACAAAACAAATGATTGAAATATAACCAATAAAAATACATTTGATATCAATAATATATATGCTTTTGATAAAATTCTTGAATGTATTCATTAATACTATTTAACTTCTGGATTGTTTACATCTAATCCTAATATTCAAAGATTTACTGCTTGTAATCATGCATAATCTGTTTTATTGAAGCAACAATACAGATATTTGGTTTTGCCATGGTTCATTATAATGATTTATATGGATTTTTGTAATTGTATTAGAAAATCTATTCCTCAGATCTACGTAATACCAATAGATTTTTATTGTTGATTGACAACAAATTGTTGTTTCTCGTAACAACTACAGTCTTTTTTATAAAGAAAAAAAAAGTTATAAAATTTCCTTTTAGATAATTATACATACAAAAAAATAAATATATAAAATCAAAACACTCTTGTCATGTAAGAAGTCACTCCAAAGAGGTGGACAGCGGTGATTGGAATGTCTTTATGTGCAATAATTGTTGCCTCATTGTCATTGATTCTTATAAACGTCAAATACCTGTCTTTTGTCTCTTCTTCGTACAGAGAAACATTTTTTACACTTTTCTGGTATTTCATGTTTTCGTAGATTCCCAAATCTTGTTTCCATTCGCCGTTTGGCATCAGTTTCGGAGGAATTGATTTCAAAAATAGTATTTTCTTATCACTTTCCCTCCTTATCTGCATGGAAACTGATCTGCAGCCTCCAACAATTGGAGGAGAAATAAATTTAATTAATGCGCGGTCTTTTGTAGCTCCTTTCTCACGAAGGAAGAATGTGTTGCTCTTCTTTTCGCATCTGATAACTGCATCATGCTCTTTATCTGAGATATGACATGAAATTCCTTGAGATACAAAAATTTCACAAGGAATTTCACTCAAAATCTTGGAATGAAGTAATGGATATTCGTGTTTATATAATTGAAAGTGAAATCTTTTGCCAGCCATTGTAAATTTCGATATTCTTAGCATTTTATAATGAATCATTTCAATGTCTGAGAAATCTCCGTATTTTTCAACTTGTACTGTACTATCTGTGTCTTTCTTTTTATCTGTTGTAGATTTTTCTGGTTTAGATGGTTCAGAAACGACAATTGGAGATAAACATTCTTTTTTATCTGTAATTTCTGTATCAATAGGTTTATTTGTGCTTTCTATTGCTAAATTATCCTTTGATGTAGATGACTCTTCCATTTCTTGTAAAGAATTCGCAGATTGAATTGGAGAAGGCCTATTATATGTTCTTGAACTTAACACTTGTCTTCTTGGAAAGCTAGATGGCGATTTTGGCGATGGAAGTTTCGGCATTTCGATTTGAAATTCATGAACATCTGCAGATCTGATTTTATCGTTATTTGGATCATATGGATTAGTTTGAGTATTGATAAATAACTCGTTTTTGCCTACGAATTCTGTTTCATCCTGATCTTTTATAATAAATTTTTTATCTTCTTCGTCATCATCGCTATCATCTAGTCGCAATATGTTAGTTTGCGATGAATTCCTTCTTCTAACCTTTCGATCTGAAATTGGTGATGGATTGACGTGTCTCCGATTCCTTACATCCATCTCCGCAACTCAGATTTGAATAATTTTGTTGAGATAGCAATGTTCATTGGACATATTATATGGATTCATTGTCGATTGAAAAAGATGATATTTACTCGGGTGTCACCTTTTTAAATATTAAACGTGCACTTTCTGAAAAATGTGTGATGGATGCTATACAATGTGGAAATGGAAACCAGAAACAGGCGTGATTGTCAAAGCAAAAGATCTCAAAGAAAACCTTTCCAGTGCAGAACTTAAATTACCTCCAGAATGGGAAAATGAAATCTCCGCAGAAGCTTTCATTGATAACAATGATACATTAAAGCAAATGGAAGCTTTAGTATCAGGCCTCGTAGAAAATGATGATTGGATGGAGCCTATTCCTCTTAACATTTACTAGATTTTGCTGATTCATTACCAAAGACTTCAAGTTATAATTATGATGTTTCAATTAGACTTAATTCGAAATGGTTATCAAAAATTGATTAATGTATAATACTAATCGTTCATATTTCATCAGATATTTTGAAGCAACTCAAATGTCGCAAATCTTTACTTGAAACTATATTAATTTACGTAGATCAGCATTTAACCTAATGAAAAATCTCAATATATTAATTTTACCAAATATTATAACTTTCTGTAAGAATCAGCAATTAACAGTACTCTTATATTGATGTGTGTTTACTAAATATCATAATGTAAAACTATTTTTTCAAAATTAGAACAAATATATTTGTAAACACTATAAATTATAGCTATCTTAAGAGTGGTATTGTTTATTTAGTGTTAGGCTATATAATGACTGCTGTTAGATTTCTCTTTTGAAATTTCAGAAGTTTTTTTTTTTAATTTTTGAAGACCCTCAATGTTTATTCTCCATATAAATCATATAATTAACCAAAAATTTTAATTGAATTGGTGAGATTTTGGCTGTGTCTCTTTTATCGTTCTTTGGTTTTTCATTCATTGAAATGTCAACTTCAGTTAAACCTAGGGCGCCAAATGTCAATGTAAAAGAAAAGAATCGCTATTTCCAGCGCTCTGCTAAAAAAGAAAAGTTGCTGAAGATGTACAATTCAAGTGGAAAATTATCCCATGAAAAGCCAGATGCCAGAATCGCTCCAGACAGAAAGTGGTTCGGTAACACACGAACAATTACACAGGAAGAACTCGCACAGTTCCAAAACGCCTACAAAGAAGTTAAAGATGATCCTTTCACAGTCGTTTTACACCGCCGCAGACTTCCTACAACATTAGTTGAAGACTCCGAAAAGGAACGAAAGGCAAGTTTACTTCAAGCAGAATCATTCGCAAGTACATTCGGAAAGAAAGCACAGCGCCACAAACCACAATTAACAGCATTCGACTTGAAATCACTTGTTGCTGAAGCTCATCAGCAGGAAGTCGACTTCCACAGCGTTAAAGTTACAAAACAACAGAAAGAAATTGACGAAATGGACACAGGTGATGTCGATATGGGCCAAACCAAGCGTGTTATGGGTGAAGTTCTTAAAGTTATCGACTCTTCCGATGTCATCGTTGAAGTTCTCGATGCTCGTGATCCAATGGGCACAAGATCAAAGCGTATGGAAGATTTCATGGTCAAAGAAACACCCCACAAGCACCTTGTCTTCCTTATCAACAAGTGCGACCTTGTTCCTAAGTGGGTTGTTGAGAAAGCTGTTAGAAGATTACTTCGTGAGCGACCAACAATTGCATATCGTGCTTCTACAACACTCTGCTTCGGTCTTGACCAACTTACATCCCTTCTCAAGCAATTCCAAGTCCTTCATTCAGATCATGCCCATACATGCGTCGGATTCGTCGGATATCCAAACGTCGGCAAGTCTTCTGTCATCAACTCACTCAGAAGAGAAGAAGTTTGCCCTGTTGCTCCAATTCCAGGTGAAACAAAGGTTTGGAGGTATATTACACTTACAAAGAAGATCTACTTGATCGACTGCCCAGGACACGTTTATCCTGATGACATCAATGATGGCGATAGAGTCCTCAGAGGTGTTACAAGAACAGAACGTATCAAAGAGCCAGAACATTACATTGACTACTTACTTCAGAAAGTTAGACCACAATACATTCAGCGCACATACAATATCGAGCCATGGTCATCAACAGACGATTTAATCAATAAAGTCGCTATCAGATTCGGCAGACTTGGCAAGGGAGGTGTTCCTGATACTCATGCCGCTGCCATTCGTATTATTACAGATTTCCAACGCGGAAGAATTCCTTGGTTCGTCGCGGTTAATTCTACTGAAAAGAATTTCCTCGCGCCGAAGAAGGCCGCTGTCAAAGTTTCTACTACAGATATCTCCAAGATCCCTCTCGCACTAGATTTCAACGAGGAGGACCTCAACGGAGAAACCGTCTCCAAGGAAGACGAGGAGAAGGCAAAGCAACTCGATGAGGAGGCTAAAGCTATTATTGGAGAAGAACCTGATATTCCTATCCCTGAAAATGATGAATAAAGTGATTATTATAGAATTATTTATTATTAATTGAAAACTTTTTTACTCAACCAGTCAGAAATGTAAGTTAAACTGATATGTTTTAGTAATATAATGGGTTTTGGCTAGATTTAATGCAATATAAAAAGTAAATCTTTTGTTTGTAAGGTTGATATCATAAAAATTGGTATTCTCTGATGAAGACTCTTTCTGGTTTCTCTGATTAATGTATTATCATTGAAATATATGGCATAAAATTTGTAAGTATTGATAATAAACAAGGATAAACATGTTTGTAGCATTGTATTGATTGTGTTATGGATGTTGCTTAATGTTAGTTATCTGAACAAATCAATTTTATGGCTTGTTTTGGTGATGATTGATTTTGTGTCTAAAATTTTCTATCGTCCTTAATTTCTTGAGAATGAGTGACGACGAACTTGTTGTTGAGAAAGAGGTAGGAATTGCTCAGGCACCAGGTGAAAGCCGTCAGGAAGATCGCCGTGTTGAAAATGTTACAATTATTCCAGAGCATGATCCAGATTTTCAAGAAGAAGCGATGTTAGATGAATTGGAGCCATTTATATCAGGTGGCAAGCAAGCAAAGATCAAAGTTACTCTTTCAACATACGAAGAGGAAGAAGGTGCAGTCAAATTTGCACATGCATTAGAACAATTAATTCCTAACTGCGAATATCATCCAAGAGAAGGAGAACCATTCGATTTAACACGTTCTAGAGCATATGAAGAAGGTTTTACAGATCTTTTAACATTAATTCCACATGAAGATACAGTTTTCTCAATGATTCACGTTCATCTTCCTAATGGCCCATGCGCACACTGGCGTCTTACAAAGATAAAGCTTCCAGAAGAAATCGGCGGACATCCAAAGAAACTTCCAACTTCATATCCAGAAATTATCCTCAAAAGATTTACTACATCCCTTGGAAAGCAATGCGGAAGAATGCTTAGAGCATTGTTCCCTGCTAACCCTCAATTTGAAGGCAGACGCGTTGTTACTTTCCACCAACAAAGAGATTTTGTTTTCTGCCGTTCATATCAGTATTTATTCGAGAGCGCTGATAAAGTTAAAACTGTCGAGATTGGTCCGAGATTTACTCTTAGATTGCTTTGGATGCAAGAAGGCCCTTATAATCCTGCATCTGGTCAATATACATTTTATAGAAGAATTAGAAATGATACTACAAGAAGAACCTGGTGGCTCTAAATTATTAATAAAGAAAATAGATTATTTATTTATATTAAAAATTATATCTTTTTTTAGAATATCTGTAGCTTCAATTAACATCAGTAGAGAATGATTAAGCGAATCATTTACGATTTGCATAATCTTTTCTATAATATCGCCAAAAAATTGAAATCAGAGATTCAATTTTGGCAAATGGATTCTGAATTTACTATAGTTATACTATGGTATCGAAATTATACCATTCTCAACAGGAATTTTCCTTAATTCGAATGAAGATTTTGCCATATAACAGCTAATAGCTTTGGGTTAATAAGTATTTGATCCTATTTGCTGAGTATTGACTCACAATATCTGAAAATCAATAAAATGTAATATAAATTTAGATATACAAATAAAAAAATTGTTATTAAGGCTTGAATTTATACTATTATGTAGTTTTATACTGTGTACAAGTCATTTGTGTTTCAGTAAAACTCCAAATTTTTTTTTGAAATTCTAATTTTGAGTTAAATTTTTTAGATTTTTTGATTCATTTTTTGAATTTTCCGAAAAATTTGGAATTTTTAGCAGAAAATTAAATAGGCAAAATAATAGAATTTTAAGAGCTATATTATATTTATTCATCAAAAAGGGAAAATAGCAAAATATACAATGTCACTTTTCTGTAAATACGTTACACAAAATGTCAGCTGACCAGTTCTACGATCTTAAGCAGAATGCAAAGGACATGAACAAGACTCCATTTGCAAGAATTCCACGCAAAATGGATCGTGTCTGCTTCATTGTTGTCAATACAACCTTAAGTTACAGAGAAGGCAATGGTGTTGCACCAGTTAACCGTGCTGTTCCAATTGCTCAAACATTTAAGCAATATGGCTATGATGTTTATTTCTTAGCCAACTCTCATACCCCACTTTTCGTTGAATATCTCAAGTTATTTATCGGAAGAACATACGGACACTTCGTTTTTGTTGTTTGCGGACAAGGTGGCGAAGGCGGTCCAGAAACACTCGTTTTCGATGATATGCCAATGTCTGATGAAGAATTTATCGCAATTGTTAATGGATATCGTGTTGCTAATGTTCCATTGACACTTATTGGTGAATTTTCTGGAGAAACTAGCATCTTCCATAACCCAGAAGCATACAATGATGGAGCAATTACTTTCACAATTACAGGCGATATCTCCAAGTACCAAGCAGGAGCCGACTCATTTGTTAGACAATTCACATCAGCCATTACCGATAGACATGATATGACAGCTCAGCGTCTTTACGATTTACTCCGCGTTTTAATGAAACGCCAAGGCCTCAATTTAATTGTAAAGGCTTCACCACCAATCGATATGGAAAAGCCAATCGCAATTTGGGAGCCAAGGCAAGAAATGAACCAACTCATCGTATAAATTCTTTTTTTATTTATGATTTCTTAAAAAACTATGTCACATTCTTTAAATCTACATAAACCATGATATTTTTACATTATAAAAATAAGTAGTTTGGCTTTGAATATTAAATATAAAAATTAAAACTTAAACATTTACTCTATACTGTCTTAACAGAAACAAGATCATTATTATAACAAATAATGGTTATATATTAGCGAAGAAATGAGTGAGTTTTTGGAAGAATTCAGGAAAATATTCGAAATATTGCTTTAAATCATAGGGATATCCAAAAAAATGAAGCGGATATTCGTATGAAATACTTTTGCAAAAAGTAAATCTCGAACTAGATTCCTTGTAAATTGAAGTTTTCTTTTTTTTTGTAAAAAATCCATTGTTTCTTCCAAATCTCGATTTCTTAGCTGAAAACAATTAAGTCATCAACAACCTTTGGTATACTTGAAGGCGATGATGTATTCATAAGCTCTCTTTGCTGTTTCAGATGTTGTTCCTCCAAAGCAGCAATTTCGGCCTTATGGCGCTCGAGCAATGCCTGGTATTCTGGATCATCGAAAATTTCTTGCTCAAGCTCATCTGATAATTCTTCGTCTTGAGGTTTCATATTTAATTCGCGCTTAAATTCTGTCAGAGACTTACTGAGAGCGGCGCTAATTTGTTGTCTAATAGAGTTTTTAACACTGACTTCTTCAACGCCTGATAAACCAAGCGTCTGCTTTAATTCTGCAACAATTGAATCGATTTCATCGTTGACAGTATCGAAAGGAAAGCCGATTTTGATATCTTCGACATCGCGGTGGATAACGAGATTGATTTGAACGGAAGCCGGGAAGTCGCCTTCAGTCATTTGTCGAAAAAAAGTGAATTCTGTATCTGACGATTCAAAAGTGTCAATTAAAAGGGTGTCACTTTTTATCCACTGGACGTTAGGAATTACTTAGAATGGATTTTTTGGGGCTTCAAGCATACTGTATTGACGATGTTATACAGAGAATGCAGATGCTTGAAGTCAGGAATCGGATTAGATTAAAGTGGTTTGGAATTTCTCATAATATATTACATCAATACAAAATTATTGTGCTAAAAAAGATTAAAAAAGAATCCGATCACATCAGAAATACAATGCAGAAGAATTTCGAATTAACACAGTCTCAAAAAATTCGAAAGTTTACTGCGAAAAACAACTGGGATAAATTCACTTCAGGCATCACTAATAAATTTAAGCATGAATACTTCATTACTATCTTAAACATGGTTCGCAATAAAAAGTCACAGATTTTGGCCTCAAAATGGAGGATTCTCAAAACAAAATTACGTCATAAGTACATGCTAACTCAAAAAGGAGAAGCGTATAAAGATTTACTTGACAATAGAAAAACAAAACAGTACTTTTCTACATGGAAACACAGACGAAATCTCAAATTAAGTGATAAAAGGCAGCTTTGGATTTCATTTACAGGAAGAATATCACGAATCAATCGCAAGAAGACATTATCTTTACAACATTCTTATACGTTGAATCATGATAAATGGTTGAATCTGATCAAAAAATATTTGAAGAAAACAATGATTGAAAACCTTGAAGACCAACAATACACGTTTTCTCTCAGACAAAATTGGATTTCATTACTGCATAACAAGAAGATTTTCGAAATTAAGAAGAATTTGAGATTATTCAGCGGAACAACACAACAGTGGAGAAGTTTCTCAATCAGGTATTTGCGCATTAAAATGCGTAGAGCGCTGATCGAAGAGAAAACACAATGCGATTTGCAAAGAAAATGGATTGATTTCTCTTCCCACTTATGTGTCAGAGCCAAACATGAGTTATTCATTCAGCACAAACAAGAATACGAAGAGGAAAAGCTTCACGAACGAAATCTTGAACAAATTTCAACATTCTTTGAAACGTGGAAACAAAGATTTTATGTTAATGATATTTTACGTCAGAATTATAAGGATTCAATGTCTGTTTATGCTAAGTGCGCCTTGAACAACTGTGCATCAATGATACAGTCAATTTGGAGATTCAAGAAAGAAGTTCAAAATATCAAGAAGAATAATAAGGTGATCTCTAAGATTTTTAACAAGTGGAGGTCAGCACTATTAGTACGCCAAGCACTTAATGATATTCCATTGATTCTAGAATCAATCCAATATCCTAAATATTCTGTTGATCTTAGCTTTTCAGAACTAAAGTCACCAATCCGATGCTTGTCATTAGATACAATATTAGTCCATACCCAATTGGAGCAAGAACATGAAGAAACACAAGATTTAGATTTAATTACGAAAATGGCAGTCAAAAATGGATTATTACTTGATGAAATCGATAAATCTCTTGTATCATCGATCCAGATCAATCAAGATTTCCGTCCAAAAGAAAAAATTCCAACCAAATTTGAAAATGATACAGCCATTGAGAAGTTACTTTCCAATATTATTAGCAATGAACTTGATATTGGATTGCAAGCAGTGGATACACGTCCATCTTATTCCGATTTAGACTCTATTTCATCTACTTTTTCTGCAAGAAATCAACTCAAAGTTTTAGAAGAATCAAAACAAAAACAATCCAAAGAAGAACACTCAGAACCCCACGGAGCCAATGAAAATAGCAACAAGATCGATGATAATAAAGCAGAACATAATGTTGTCAACGACGATCAAACTGATACACCAATCAAAGAAGAAGATAAAGCCAATGAAACACAAACTAATGAAGTAACTGAAAACATGGAAAACAAGATCATTGAAGAAGAAAAATCTCAAAATGAGAAAGAAAACAAAGAGGAAGAAGAAGGCGAAATCATCAGTGACAATGAAGAACCAGAAAAAGGTAATAATGAAGAGGAGGAAGATGAAATTCTAAGTGCAATAGATGATCTCGTCAATGAAAACAAAGAAGAGGAAGAAGAAACGCCAAAAGATACAAAGACAGATGAAAAAGTTAAAGAAAACAAAGAGGAAGAAGAAGGCGAGATTATAAGTGATTTTGATGAAGCAGATAACGAAAATGATGAAGAAAAAGCTCTAAATGATAATGAAGAAGAAGAATCAGGTGCAATTCTCAATGAAAATAACAACTTTACAACTGAAGGTCAAGATAAAATAGAAGATGAGTACTCAAAAAGCATGATAGTGATAGATACTGAAGATCTCATGGAAATAGGACAAAATGTCTGTCCATTTGAACTTAATTTTATCAAAGATATAAAATTGAATATCGGAATTAATACTTTTGTTTATAAATAAATGTTGTTTTTTAATTTTGTGAATAATCAATTTATTTTTTCTTTAATTCTATTAAGAATTTACAATATTCTTATATAGTTTTTCTCAAATTTCCATTCTTGTTCAAATTGTACTTCCAAATCGCAGTTTTTCCTTTATTATATATCACCCCTGAGTACAGACTTATGTGTAGTAATAACAAAATCGCATTTAATACTGCAATTTTGTCAAGTTTGTCTATGAGCTTCATCGTATGTCAACATATTTAATATTAAATTTTTCTCTCATTATGTATTGGTAAAATAGATATCGGATTTCTAAAATTTTTAATGTCTGATCAAGGCATTTACTCAAGCAAATATAGCAAATTAAGAAGCATCTATAAAAACTACATTGATTCGTATATTGCGTTGTATCAGCTAAAAGCAAAAACTGATGAAGAATTAAACTCGATTTACCAAATGATCAAATCAGAGTTGATTGATTCAATTAAATATTCTCCTGATGATATTGTAAGAGATATTTTAGACATAATTCCGTATAATAATCGCTATACAGAGTCATATTTAGAACTTGCCAAACGTATCTGTGAGGAATATCACGTAACATCGGTCTCAGATGTTGAATTCATTTCTATATACCTGTTCTATAAAGAATATGGTATTGTTTTAGACAGTTCAAACAATTTTGAAGAAATCAAATCTGAAGATCTGAATATTCATTCAGAAAATACAATTTACAGAGCAATTATGTATGATGATATAGAAAATTTCATCCCATTCATTGAATTAGATGGATTTGATGAAAATCAAGAATTTGATAGCAGTTTATATCCACCTGGTTATGGCGGGTTCTCATTACTTGAATTATGCTGTTACCACGGAGCAGTTGGATGTTTCAAGCTATTAAGAACAAAATTCAGCTCAGAAATAACTGATAATTGTCTACGATTTTCATTCTTGGGAGGAAATCCAGAGATTATGAGTGAATGCCTGAAAGTTATAACACCAGACTGGTCTTCTATGGAATATGCAATAATTTCACACAACATTGATTTTGTATCATTCTTGATGAACGAGTACAATATAGAGATTGGTTTGAATGATTCCCTAATATATAACAATCTTGATTCATTTTTGGTTTACTATGATCAAACTAATGATATTAATAGATGCTTTATTTACTCGGTGAAATTTAATATTCCATCCCTTTGCGAATATTTCCTTTCATATGGCGCAAATATCAATGAAAGAGATAATAACGGACAATATGCTATTCATATTGCAGCAAAAAATAATAATAAAGAAATCATTGAGCTTCTTCTTTCAAAAGGTGCAGATATCAATGCTAAAAGTTCTAATCAATTAACAGCACTTCATCATGCGGCATTTCGTAATAAAAAAGAATTGGTTGAATTTCTTCTTTCACATGGTGCAAATATCAATGAAAAAACAAAAAAAGGAGAAACCGCACTTCATATTGCAGCAAAGAATAATCGTAAAGAAATAGTCGAATTTCTCCTTTCACATGGTGCAAATATTGACGAAAAAGATAAATATGGAAAAACCGCTCTTCATTAAGCAGCACGTCATTATAGTGAAGAAACAACCGAACTTCTTATTTCACATGGTGCGAATATCAATGGAAAAGATAACAGTGGAAAAACTGCTCTTCATAATGCAGTTATTAGTTGTAATAAAGAAATATCAGATCTTCTCATTTCACATGGTGCAAATGTTAATGAAAAAGATAAATCAGGAAATACCGCACTTGATTATTCAGAGGATTGTAAGTCTATAGGAATAGTCGATGGCTGCTTAACATTTTTTTGAGTTAATGTAGGATAGTAAACCAACAAATTATAAAGAATATTTCATGAAAATTCTCTAAAGCCATAGTTTTTTTTTGGAAAAAGTGACAAAATTATCATTTTCGTCTGGTATCTGAATTATTGAACTATAACTCTATTTCTATTAATTTAAGCGCAAACAACCCATACACAACTTTATTTAATAGCTCCTTGTGCATGTTATCATTCTAGTATCAACTTCAAATTGTTTCATTTTTTGTGAATTTCTAGTCAATTTTTTTTAGCGAAGTCAAAATCATAAACTCAAACTATTTAATTTATTTTCACCAAAATTTCCTAATAGATGCATTGCAATTCAAGTAGGTATCATTGTAAGGTGGTCGTTTCTGGTTGATAAACCCAAAATCTGGGAAAAGCCAGTGGGGAAAAAATAATCTTGTAAAAAAATCGGGCCTCCGGCGGCAGCGCTAGCCCTTCGGGCGCGTCGCCGCCTCCGGCCATGAACATCACAAAGTTAATGTCGCCATTTATGAAATATGCCCTACATTATTTTTCCTTTTTTTTTCCTTTCCTCCTTTTTCCTTTTATTTTCTCCTTCTCTTTCTGTTTTTTTCTTTATTCATTGATTTCCTCTTGGTATTTCGAAATTTTATTCAAATAATTTAATAACTTTATAAACCAATTAGTTTAATAATTTATACATTATCTACCAATTTTAACTTCAAATATTACAGTTTTTTAAAGTGGATCAAATTTCATTTTATTAAGATATTAAAGTTTTGGAATCAGTATTATTTTGAAAAAGCACCTAAGTTATTTAATTAAAATGGTATTATTCAAATATTGAAATTTAAATATAATTTTATTTGCTCAATTTTTTAAATCTGTAAGTACAGTTTTGTTTGAAGTAACAAAAAATGATATATGCAGTTAGCGAAGTAAATTTACTAATAATAAAAATAGTTTGCTCTAATTCAATTAATTTAAACCTTTGGTAATGATAGAACATGCATAATATTTAAAATATGGATGAAATTCTTTGTATAAAGGTAAGTTGATGAGTTTTTTTCGAATCTGGGTTTAAAATATCTGAAGGTAAACAATTGATCTTAAGTGTTTATGCTGTATACCAAGAATTACATTAGATTCATTGTTGACTATTTGTTCAAATCTTTCCCATTCAATCACAGGATACTGAATCTGATGGAAAATCATTATTACTGTGAAATTCGCATTGATATCATATGATGATCCATTGCCCGAGAAGTTCGGTGTATCCCAAGTATATGAGGAACACGTATGTTTTTCCCCAGATTTTGGATGAGGTATGGTGAAAATTGAGAACTTTTGTAAAGAAATTGAGAGATTTTGTAAAAAAATTGAGAGGAAAATCTGGTGAAAGAATCACAGATGTGGTGATACCAGAAGGTATGGGAATTGGATGAATACAGGATAGTATGCTCCTATATGAATAGTAGAAACATAATCCATTTTCAAATCATCTGGGAAACAACTTTTTCTTCTCCAAAAATATTTTGAAAATGAAAAAATGAAAAAAAATTTATTACCATAAAAACCAGATTTTATTACCTCGGGGAACGTTTCCCAGCACTTTTCCACCAGAATCGGCCACCTTAATCATTGCATTGCAATCTCATAAATTTATCTTTTTAGCAAGACCTTGAAAATAAAAAAATATCATTTTCGTCAGACGAAAATGATAATTCACAGACATACAATTATTTTTGATTCAAATGCTGTTCGGCATTAAAAGCAAAAATAATCATATACCTGAGAATTACACTTTTCCGACATTTTTGGGTCGCTTCGCGCCCCTGACAAAACATCGGAAAAGTGTAAATTTTGTCACTTTTCCAGACGAAAATAATAATCCTTCTTTTTTTTTGAATTTTATTACCGGACACAACTATTTGATGTATAAGAGCAGTATTGCCTATTAAATTTATTTATATATCAATATTATACACGCCTGTAAAAACAAAAACGAGGTTAGTTTATGAAAAAAACAAACCAAAGAAAGGCAAAATTTTTATGAAACTATTGTGATATAAAAACGATAAGAATACAAAACAAGTTTAGGTAAAAATATTAAGCAGTTGGTTGAATCAAATCTCTGGAGCGTCGATATCTGAAGATTTTCTGTTTTCAAACTCTTCAGATACGGATCTAGACAAAGAAAACTTAGGAATGCACTTCCTTGAGCCCTTTCTAGAGTAAGTAACCATGAATCTTCCCTTTCTGACAGGATTATTCAAAGTATCAGAAGGACTGCTTGGAGAATCGTCACTGGAGTTGCTTTCTGATTTATTCTGTATCTCGGAAAGTGATTTCGATTTCTGTTTCATTGAAGAAACTTGGAATTTGAAATTAGAAGCGATCTTGGCCCAAGCAGGTACTTCAGACTCTGTAGCTGGCTCTGTTGGATGAAGCATCTCATAGCGCTTGTAAACTGGAGGCATATTTGACATAAGAGTGGCAGCGATGTATTTCTTGCCTTTGGACATCTTAATGAAGGAGGATTTGAGTAATTCCTTGGCGGAACAGCGTTTGGAAGGGTTTGTCTGGAGACAGTCCTTGATAAAGTTCAAAAATTTTGTGGAAAATCCCGATTGAGGTTTAAGTTCTGGCGGATTGTCAGACATAACATGCATCGGAATTGACATCTGTTCATATGAGGAGTATGGGTTTTTACCGGTGGCAAGTTCGATTGCGGAGATTCCAAGGCTCCAAATATCAGCTTTCTCTGTATATCCATTCTCCAAAAAGGCTTCTGGAGCTGTGTAGCTGACTGTTCCAATACGGGTGAAGCGAGCACGCTTCCTTTGGCCGTTTTGAATTAGACACGTCGCACAACCGAGGGAACCGACTTTAACGTCTCCGTCGTTTGAGATCAGGATAGTGTCAGGACGAATATCGCGATGGATTTGATGATTTTCATGCCAATAATCAAGGAATAATAAAACTTGTTCAAAAATAGAAGCAAGAAGTACTTCGTCCTTAAAACCTTGTTGGTAAGCAAAGCTCATGATATTTCCAATGGAACCGCCATCCATGTACTCGGAGAGAAACCATAAGGTTGAATCGGTAATGAATGCTCCGTAATACTGAATGAGATTATTATTTGTGGAGGTGGCCCAGAATGAGACACCTTTCCTCAATTCGTCGATAGTGACAGGGAATAAATCTAAATTGATAAGTTTGATACAAACTAGTTTACCATTAAGATTGCACCTGGCTACCCAATATGTACCTGTTTTTGTTTCGCCAATCTTATGTAATAGTTCGTAGTTTTGCTTATCAAGCGGAAAATCCATTAATAATGATTGAATTTTCTTAATCGTATCAACCGATTATCCACATTCAAAATTGTTAATACGATCATTTACGAGCGATAATTATCTTATTATGCATCATGTGTAGTATGCATTGGCCAATTATTATTTTGATATGGCTTTCAAATAGCCGTAATAATTCATAGAGGTTAAGCTAAATCGAATCAAAAATGATACTCATAGTAAGTATATTAAAAATTATATTTCATTTCAAGGAAACCATTTATTCAAATTTTCAAAAGTCTCTTTTGAGAATGAAATGAAACGATAATATAGTTTATTTCCTATAACAAATAAACATTCCTAACATTATTGAAATAAGCTGATGGCTTTGCAAAGAAAAGTAACTTCGAATGAAATAATAGGTTAAAAATCAATTCAATTTTAAGGATATCATTAAAAAATGATTCTTCAAGTTGATTATATGTAATTTCAGAGACCAATCATTTGCTGATATAAGATTAAAAATCTTGAGCGTATTTTGTCAAGCATCGTTCTGAGCCAACTAATGCCAAATTATATACCACCTTATTCGCATTTATTTTTATATATTTCATTCAAATTTGATTCATTTGAGTTCAAAGATCTCAAAAATTTTTGTTATAGACCGAAAATAGATTTTTTTGGTTTTCTCTTCAAATAATTGAAAGAATGATACTATTATAGGTTTATTATATTATATAGCATATAATCATGCTATAGCCGAAAATTATAAGTTTTGAGAAGATTGAATATAACACAAATAAATTTGAATGTAAGTTAAATTGCTTGTTGTTTTTAATAGATATTTAATGAGAAATCCAATATTGCAAAATTCAAATTGAATGATTGAAAGAACAGAAAAAGTCATTCTTTTCAATTTCGAATATGTTTCATTGTATTTATAATTATATGGCAAATAAGATATTTAAACTTGATTTTTGAAGGAAAATTCACAAAATTGAATAAATTCAAATAATTTTTATTCAAAATAAACTAGTTATTTGAGTTTAATACTAATTATCTATTCAAACTACAAAGTTTGTAATTTAAAATATTTTGTGAGATCAGATTGAATTAATTCAAGGTTCTTTTCAATTAATATTAATGACCATATTACGCATTTTCGAACATTCTAAACCAAATATATAAAAATGGGAGACGAATGTTAAATTTGCTAGATATGGGGGAGTTGTCTGCAAAGTTTTAGCTCTTATCTCTAACAAAAAATTAATTTTAAAAAAAATGACCGAATACGTTTCACAGCGAGAAAAAAATAAAAGGCAAGATAGAATTTTCTAGACATAAAGAAGTTGTTTACCGAGTTTTAGCTCTTATCTCTAACAAAAAATTAATTTTAAAAAAAATGACCGAATACGTTTCACAGCGAGAAAAAAATAAAAGGCAAGATAGAATTTTCTAGACATAAAGAAGTTGTTTACCGAGTTTTAGCTCTTATCTCTAACAAAAAATTAATTTTAAAAAAAATGACCGAATACGTTTCACAGCGAGAAAAAAATAAAACTGTACACTGATTTTAATTTTCATTTCCAGTCACTTTACTTATTATTTTTTCTTTTTTTCATTTTAATTATAAATTATTTCATAATACGTTTATTTACGTTACCATTTTCTTTATTCTTTTGAATTCCATACTAGACACTTATAGAATATTTTGATTGTTAACGTACTTCATTAGAATGAATCCTTACAAAGGGTATGTCGATCGAATTTACCTAATTGGTATTTCCAATCAGATTGAAGAAGGTAAAATGGCATGGGAAGAAGCTTGCACCCATGTTCCCATCGCCCCAACCCTTCAATCAAATGATTTCAAATATTTAGATGTTTCAAAATCTTTTTTACAAAATCAATTTAGCTTACAGAATATCCCATTGCCTAAAGGCAAGAAAGGTCGTAGGGTCAATCCCTACGACCAAATCAAAGCTCTTGCTGTGATACATGACCACTGGGCCTTTCCCTGTGGTCAAACAAAATAATGGAAACGTTTGAAATTACAACAAATTGATGTATCTTATAGAGAAGTACGCAGATACTTCAAAGAAAATCATTTCACCAAGACGCGATTAGAGCATGCCGGGCCAGAAACAGCAGTAAGATATTGGGCGCTTTCACCCAATCTTATCTGGCACGCAGATGTTCATTATTTTAGGGGTGTTCGTGGCCAGTATATTTATGGCATAATCGACGATTTTAGCCGCAAAGTCCTAGCGTGTATACAAATACAAGATATGCTGGCAGCGACGACAGCGAACGTTGCGGCTTCCGCCTTCATTGAATTTGGCGCCCCTTATTGTTTCTGGACCGACAACGGTTCAGAAAATAGGGGCGCCTTTCAAGATCTACTTGATCTTTGGGGCGTCCAATGGCGGCATACAGACTCTCATTCTCCCTACCAAAATGGGAAGATTGAGAGATTCTGGCCGACATTGGAGCGCTGCCAAAGCATTCAGGCTATTCCTGCCTTTATTTGGGAGTACAATAATAACACACCGCATGAAGATCTCCCAATTAATCCATTAACTGGAACAAATTACACGCCAAATCAAATGTATCAGCTGAAACCGAAATACACAAATGCAGATACAGAAAGGTTGTGGCAAATATGGGATACAGATACAGGCATGACCGCTGTTGACACATTCACAGCGTAATAATAAACATAATTTTTTAATTTCATTTTTAACAAGTTTTTTTAAATGTATGTAATGAATAATTCATTAGAATATGATAATGCACATTGTAACAGAATAGAACAACATCACCAAATTTTTTTTTTTGAAATTAAAAAATAAAAGTAAAAAGTATAAAGTAATCTAACCAAAAAAGATATTTAAAAGAATTTTGGAAAAAACAGAATAAGGATAATGATATTATTTTAGATACACAATCGATGTACTGAAGAATAATCCGGTAAAATGATGATATAAAATTAGATTATTTTACAAGTAGCTAAAAGAATAAAACTATAATATAAAATAAATGAAGTTTAATGAAACAATAAAGGTTAAATAAATAATAAAGATTTTTAATGTATATCAGTATTGAGAAGAAGTAACAGCTGACACTTGGTAGACAACGTCTTTATGTCTAGAAAATTCTATCTTGCCTTTTATTTTTTTCTCGCTGTGAAACGTATTCGGTCATTTTTTTTAAAATTAATTTTTTGTTAGAGATAAGAGCTAAAACTTTGCAGACAACTCCCCCATATCTAGCAAATTTAACATTCGTCTCCCATTTTTATATATTTGGTTTAGAATGTTCGAAAATGCGTAATATGGTCATTAATATTAATTGAAAAGAACCTTGAATTAATTCAATCTGATCTCACAAAATATTTTAAATTACAAACTTTGTAGTTTGAATAGATAATTAGTATTAAACTCAAATAACTAGTTTATTTTTGAATAAAAATTATTTGAATTTATTCAATTTTGTGAATTTTCCTTCAAAAATCAAGTTTAAATATCTTATTTGCCATATAATTATAAATACAATGAAACATATTCGAAATTGAAAAGAATGACTTTTTCTGTTCTTTCAATCATTCAATTTGAATTTTGCAATATTGGATTTCTCATTAAATATCTATTAAAAACAACAAGCAATTTAACTTACATTCAAATTTATTTGTGTTATATTCAATCTTCTCAAAACTTATAATTTTCGGCTATAGCATGATTATATGCTATATAATATAATAAACCTATAATAGTATCATTCTTTCAATTATTTGAAGAGAAAACCGAAAAAATCTATTTTCGGTCTATAACAGATCTCAAAAATTTTCGAAATGTTTACTAGTAAATCCGTAATCATACCTTGTTTATTGATGCTGTAGGAGAATATTTTGGATTGATGGCGTAATTCCCTAATGTTATCCATGAAAATGCAATTGCAATTTTTTCATTTCGCTTGCTTACTGCAAATACCCAAATAAGATAACTGGTACTCAATTTCCGTAACTAATTTCGTGTGAAATTGTTTTTGACAATATAATTATCATAAAGGGAGAATGTCTATTTCGAAAAAAATAATCATCTTTTGGTCTATTTCGAAAATAATCATCCCGATCACGACGATAGAGGGCGAAATTATTAAAGATTGCATTTTGAAGTGAATGAATATATGCATAGATCATAACTCGTCTAGGCCGAGGTAAATATATAGTAAAGAAAGTGTTCAAGTTCTTATATAAAATCATAATTTCATTATATATGATATGTATTGATGATTGTTTGGAGGCTTACTAAACATATTCTATATATCATAATTTTATATTGAAAAATTCTATAAAATGACAATTTGTGAGTTTTCATTATATTAATCATGGTAAAGAAGTTTTTATGGGATTATGACCCTGTAATCTCTCTATTATTCTGATAAATAAGTATGCTGAAGTGAATATATGAAAAATAAAGCACAAAATAATAATAAAAATAAATTTTTAGTCATAATAAGTAAGAAAGTAATAGCACTATATTTATTTATCATAGCAGTGATCTGGATCGCTAGTATTAGAACGATTTTAACAAGAAAAGAATGTAAAATTTCTGAAAATCGAATTTTTTAAAGTAGTTGCCTGGCAAAATATATCTATAGTGTAATGCGAGCATAAAGGAAGCTGATAATGAGAATATTTTAAAAAGATATTTTGAATCTGTAAAAAACTTTGAAATTCATTTATTGATTGTACATTTGAGTTATACGTTGTTTGGTTATTCGAAATTTATAAAAGATTTCATTTTCGTTAATTTATGAATCAAAATATTGTAATAATGGAGAATTTCGTATTGAATGTATATTGCAATTGTAATGTTGATAAAATGATGTATAATTTGCTTAATTTGAGAGAGTTTGTAATAATAATCGAGAAATATGAATTTTGAATGATTAAATAGAGACGGATTCATCAATGTAATCTGTTTCGAATCAGTATTTGATTTTCCCGTTCTCAACTTTAGCTGTTAATGAATACGTTAGCAGCATTCAACCATATTCATTCACTATAAATGAAAAGAACAAGTAGTAATTGATGATATATGAAAGAGTTACATTGATCATTCTTGCTAATTCCTCATTATTTTTAAAATATTGACATTATTTTATATTTTCACTTAAAAATAAGTAATTCATTACAACTTAACGTAAAAATAACTATTGAAATAGTAAAAACGTGATATAATGAATCGAAATTTCCAAATTTTTTTCAAAAAATAAAAAATAAATTCAAAAATTGTTAAAAAATCTATGAAAATCATAAATCTAAAATTAATTTGGAATTTTTGAGTAAGTAGATCAAGTTTAATATTTGTATATAATGTTATTTCTGCGAAAATTTATGATTTTCCTCAAAAATTTGTAATCAATTTTGATAGATATTACCTTTTAAGATAAACCACTTATATATCATAGCAAGTGACTAATTTTAAAGATAAATTCTCATATATATCTCTTATAAAATCAACAGCTTTATTCAAATTTTAAATTCTTGACAATTTTAGATAAATGATTGGCCAAAATTGTTAATTTATAACGTAACGCAATCATTACTGGTGAAGCATTCTGTCTAATAATCGATTTATTGATATTTCTTTGAAATATGAGACAAAAAACTGTTTTTTCACAAATTATATCAACTTTAATTTTAGAACAGTATGGGGGTTTTTAACGTGGAAAAAAGTTTTAGCGTGGAAAAAGCTTTTTCAGCTACTCCTAAGATTCTATGCACAAAAAACAAGTTCACACATAATCGCATAGTACCAGTCATTATATCCAATCAAGATCGAAGGTTAAAACTTATGTTATAAATATAAATATTTTTACAATTTGGCAGTTCTGAGACAATTCTGGGGTTAGAACGCATTAAAATAAATTTTCTACCATGATCCCAGTATTATCTCTTCAAAATCGAAGCTAGAAAAATTATTTATCCAAATGCTTGCATTCTATTACAAATTGATTTTATTATATCTCTGTTATACATAAACATATTTTAAACAATTACCTTGTTCTAACACAATAATTTTTAGATAATTCTTAAGAATTAGGCTTATACTTATAGTTTATTTAGATATTTCTATGGCACATCAATTAATATATAGATGACAATATTAAATGCATAGTTTCTATTAATGATTACACTTGATTTATTTGAAATTAATTTTTTGATTATTATGTTTTTGTATTTTAATAAATGGGTTAACAAGAACTATATTACTTGAATCTATTTTCACCTAAAACATCAGAATTTTGAAAGAATAATTTTATACCATACTTCAAAAAGCATTGTAAGCACTATCATATCAAACCTGTATATCTATACATGTACATAATATTATATCTGCTGTGATCTAGTTCCTAGATGCATATATATTTTATTTGATATCGAATACTTACAAACATCCAGTTCAATCTAATATAAGAATATCTTTTAATTCATCAACAAAATTTAATTGTCGGCAACACTCTTCTGTATAATAAAGATACAATTAAAAATTATATATATAATACAAATCCAAGAACCATGAATCCCGAATAGCAATGTATAGTCAAATAAATATTTTTTTCATAAACACAATAAATATTATACTATCTTGATTTAAAATTATATTTTTGGCATTTGAAATTGAATCATTTTGAAATGTATAGATTCTGTTGCTTTTAATGGATGCATGATACATTATATGATGATTATCAAGAAAATCTAAACTGTTTTATCGACAATTAATGGTAATGAAGAAAATCTGAAAAATAATTTAACATCAATAGGATATTTAATGAAACAATTATTAAACATAATTAAACCAAAGAATTAAACTATATTTATCATATAAATATCTATGAAAATTTACTTTAATATGTTTCTAGATGCATCTCAATGAAAATCCACGCTAAAACAGTCTAGCGTTATCTGCAAGTCCTACGAACAGGATCTCGGCGGATATAATATCACATGCATGTGTAGATATATATTTAAGCAAATATAACATAACTCACTATGTATCAAATATAAAAATATATTATCAATCATAAAAATACTATATTACCTAATTTATCATATTGTTCATTAACATTGACATTATATATCAATATTTTGATTTAATATCATTTTAATCAAAAAAATAAATTTAAATACATTGTCAGCTAAGACTTTTGATTGAAGAAATAATAAATACATTATTATGTAAAAATTGATATTATAATAAAATAAGAAGTTTGATGAAAAATTTAATCATAATTTTTAATTAACATTATTTTTATTAGTATTTCATATATATGCATCCATACATGTATTTGATATTATATCCACCGAGATCCTGTTCGTAGGACTTGCAGATAACGCTAGACTGTTTTAGCGTGGATTTTCATTGAGATGCATCTAGAAACATATTAAAGTAAATTTTCAAAGATATTTATATGATAAATATCATGTCATACCTAATTTTGATTGAAATATATAAATATTTCATTACAATATCTCAAAAGTTAATACATTATAATAAGATTCTTTGTAATAGTCTGCAATTTACATGAAAAAGTGTGTGAATCACAAATACTCAGAACTTGTATAGATTTATTACACTAAACGATTAATGTTAGTCAAATATGTTGTGATCTTCTTAAATGCAGAAAATAGAATGCATAAATGGGAATATTTATCGTATAATTAGTTTATAATTGAAATAAATAAACATTATTTTCAATGTTTGACATTCTTGCTCAGAAAAACAATGATCTAATTTTAATTTGATATTATTATTCCTTTTGAATGATAAAATGATATACAATATAGATTGATATTATGTATTAATCTATAAAATAAAAACTTTAGAAGAAATAAATTATAATATTTTTTAATAAACATCAATTTTATTAGTATTTCATATATATGCATCCATACATGTATTTGATATTATATCCGCCGAGATCCTGTTCGTAGGACTTGCAGATAACGCTAGACTGTTTTAGCGTGGATTTTCATTGAGATGCAACTTGGAAAAAATTGAAAATCTGGATTTGAACCTTCGACCTCTACAGTCAAAAAACGGTTCCACGCTAAAACAAAATCCACGTTAAAAACCCCCATACTGTTTAGAATACACAATCAATATGTGTCAAAATCGCTATCAATTTTTCAAACACTCACAAACGGTTTGAATATGGTAGTTACGCTATGGAGAACACATTTAACATCACTAATATGCCCGATTCAAGTATATATTTCAAAAAAGCATTACATTTCAAGGTTTAGAAGATGTTTCAGGAGGATGGTGTATAGATTTTTTTTTCGAATAAATCTTTGTATAGTTATCACATTATCATATAAACCTATATTTCAATCATATATCTGAATTATCATATGAATATAATGTTCTTCATTAAAATTAATTGCGAATTTAAATAATTGTTTAATTTCTATAATATATTGTAATTGGTAATGCATGTCCATGCTTTATTTTTCTAAAATATCGAATTTGATGAAAAAATTTCTTCGAATATTCATTATTTTTATCATACTATATTGCAAAAAGTGAAATCCTAATGATATAAATATTAAATATATAATAAAATACATCAATAAAACAGAATGCGTTACAAAAAATAAAAATGGAAGCGGAGAAAGAAATAGCTTGTGTTGACGCTAAAGAAAATGGCCGCAATCCAATTTATTCAGCAATAGTGAAGGAAAACGTGAATTCTTTATTTATGTCGAACAGTATCTTGATAGTTACTGATAGATCTCTCGATATTTACAATAAAAAGAACATTTGTCTTAAAGATTCACTTTCACTTCTTCAACTAAGATCATTATCATATGTAGATCAAAACATCATCATCAAATACGGAAAAGAGAAAGCAAAAATTGAATCAAAAACAAATTCATTGGAAATTTTATCATCAATTCTTCATGTAATACAAAAATTATTCAATGAAACAGAGCTGAAATCCATGAATTTCGATAGTTTTGACTTTCCGCCTACTAATAACTTTCGAAATGCGGCAATAATTTCATTAAAAGAGAGACTACGAATTAATAATATTGAATTTCCTACTCAGTTAGAGCAGTACTTCTCAAAAGTTCTTGAAAGACATGAAGATACAGCGATTTTTAAAGGAATTAATGAAAATATTTTAATAAATTTAGTAAAAGTACTTCCATTATGTCCAGACCTTAAAACAGTTATATTCGAGGATATCAAATACGATATTTACAAGATACTTCTCGAAAATTCAAATTGTTTATCAAAATTAAAATGCGTCAAAATAGATGCGAAAGCAACCGAAAGTTTTCCAAAGTTTATAAATACTTTATGTGATACATCCAAATTCAGTTTTAATGGCTTTGGATTTCGGAATTCAGATTTATCAAATGATAATTTAGCGGCAGTCTGTCAATTAACAGAAGTACACAAGCTTACATCACTATCTCTGAACAATGCTATCAATAATACCGCACTTCCATACTTCTATACTGGTTTCTTTTCTCCAATTTTAAAAACAAACATAATTTCATTAGATTTATCATATACAAGGAATATAAATTTAGACCAACTTTTACCATCAATCAAATTCTTGACACATCTTTCACTTGCATACACGAATCATAATGTTTCAGATATATTAAGTAAAATTTCATCAAATTCCCTTTATTTGTTGCGAACATTAGATATATCAGGCAACTCCTGTGAAGAAAGGAACCTCTCTTCCATACAATTTATGAAGCCATTGACTAGAATTATTGCAAATGAAATTACTTGGCCAAAAAAGACGTTACTTAACATATTTAAGATGGTCAGCTGCCGAGGACCAATATATCCAATACATATTCATGTCAGTGACGCGTTAATGAGCCCTTCTGACTGGAATTCCTTTTTTGATGAGTTAGAAAACGTAAATAACTTCAATTTGGTTGGTTTGGAGTGGAATGGAAATCCAATGCGACCAGAATTATGCAATTTCCTTCAAGGAATGAAAGAATTTCAAACTTTATCTGTTGATAGGGTCTTCGATGATGAACCAGACTCATTTTTCCTTCAGTACCTTCAACAGTCAAATATAAAGTACCTCTCAATTCGTGGCCAGGAGAGTAAAAAGATAGGTCGTGGAATTTCTGCTCTTATTAAGAGTTTGGCAATATCGAAGATAGAAGAAATTGATATCAGCGGTAATGCCATTGGTGATACAGGTATTTCCAGCCTTCGCCAGCTTCAAAAATCAAAGTTACAAAGAATATTTTTCGATAATAACGGGGAAACAAGCGATGAAACACTTATTGAATCATTGACATCATGCAATAACCTTGTTCCTCCTGTTGATGACCTCGAAAGACTTCCTGCCGCCAAAAATTTCGTTGTTCGAAGAATGAATCTCAAAATTTCTGAGAAAAAAACAACAAACTACAGTCTCCCCATTGATTCACCATACTATGATGCATATGGATACGTTCTTCCTGCAAGAGAGCATGTTTTCCCTTCATTTTTCACTATAGAAGAAGCCGATGAAATCCGAAAGAAAGCTTTTGACACAAATGAAACAATTCAGAAGCAAAACAACACGGAAAACACTACAAGACATCGCAGGATTGTTAATATCTCTTCTCTCATTAAAACAGAACCTATTTCACAGCCTCCTCCGGTTTCTCCACCTCCTAAAAGACGTCAACTCATCAAACAAAAACAAGAAGAAAAACCGCCAGAAATCCAACCGCAAAAACCGCCAAAAATCATTGAAAAAGATAATCGTTATTTCGATGATTCAAGTGAGAATGATTATAACACATTCACTGTTGACACAATGGTACCCATTGGCGATGATATTAACACAATGGATTTGATGGATGATGAAGGAAATGTGATTGGAGAATTAAAAGAACCAGAACCAGTAAAAGTCATCGTTTTAGAGGACGAAAAAGAAGAAGAGAAAGAAAAAGAGAATATTGAGGAAAACAGTGCCAAACAGAGAATGGTGAAGAGCAATGAGCCCCCTCAATACATCAAAATCCATAAAAGAAGAGGAAAACAAGTAAACGAATTATCTCGTTCAGAAAAATCTTCTGAAATTAACGATCAACAATTCAATAGTCGTAAAATCAAATTACGGGAAGACGATGAAATGATCATACCACAAAACAACATACAGACACAGCCATTGTCTCCTTCCAAACGCAAAATAGCAGCTCCTTCTCTTTCCAAACACAGAAAACAACATCAAAATCCAGAAGAAGCTCAAAAAATTGAACCAATTGTTGTTGTTAAAAAGAAAAGACGTCATACTAAACCAGTTGAACAGGAAGTACCTCCTCCAACAAACGAAAAACCAAAGAGAAAGAGGAAATCACACGTTTCTTCTAAAGATGATCAGCCAACTCCAGAATTTTTACATGATAGAGGTTCTGTTATTTCAAAAAGTGACAGACAAATTGAAGCAGTTATTTCACCTGGCGCTGTACAGCCATTGCGCAGGAAATATAGGAAGCATGGAATGCAATCACCACCGAAGAAAGAAGAATCTCAAAGTTTATTGCAAAGTATTGATATCGAAGATATTTCGATTTCTAGAAAGATTGCAGATAATATTTCCAGTGTAAGAGGAAGTGAATTCATGAATAGAGAGAGGCTAACAAAGAGACATGAAGCTCTTGACTCAGAAAGCTTCGGAGAAAATCGCTCAAATAAGAAAACGAAAAGAAACAGAAAAGAAAAAATAAATAGCGATGAAAATAGTTCCGAAGATGACGAATATTCAAGGCTGAGAAAAGAAAGATTCTCTAAACCTATACTACCTGAGGAATTGACTGATTCTGATGTTCCAATGCCATATAGACCTTAATATTTATAATGTATTTGTATATTTTTATTTGTTTTGTATAATTATCTTGAAAATAAATATATCTTTTCTAATAATTTATTCTTTCGCTAACATTATATACTCTTTTCTCGACCATTTGTAAAGATTAAATTGAGCAAAGTGTTTTTAAGGGTCCACTGTAAGGCCAAATAAGGTCTATCGTCGTCCCAAAAATATTGCTCGAGATGGTGTTTTTACTAAGGCCCAAAACTTAAAAAAACTCAAAAAAATTAACTTTACTCTTTTGAGATCCTTATCAGATGTGCATCAATTTGATGCAGTATCGCAATTCGAATCCGATTTTTTAATGTAGATGTACTCTAACATTCTTGAAAAAATGCAAAATGATATTAATCGAGCTTTTCATTTCTGTATCATACACGAAACAAAATCATTCATTATACTAAAATTTATCAAAGTTTGAATAATGAAAAAAATAATATCTAAATTTTTACATTGAGTCGGCTATTGATATGGTCAATATTAAATCGTTTAAAAATGGGCATTGGCCAGAATAATACCCACTAAAATACACATTTTTTAAAATTTTATCAATTTGTTTTGGTATATCTTTATGATAATGAATAAAATGCTTATCTTTCATAAGTCAATACATAATTTATGCTGAAACACAAAAAATAACACGAAAATTTTTTGCCAACATTTCAAAACGAAGGATAATGCTTTGAATATATAAACAATAATACTTTGTCTAGAGAATTAAATTTGTGCTATCCAATTGTCAATTCTTTGAATTTTTTATAAAATGCACGATATTCCGGCATTAGCCTCAATAAATATAAACTACATGCATCACAATATTAGGATGTAATGACATTAAAGCGAATTTCCTAATTTCTTCTCAATTAAATTCCTAGAAAAACTTAGGAATTAATGATTGGAAATAGGTCAAAAAAATTCCTAATATAAAATTTATACTTAAATTAAAATCAAAATTCGAAAATATCTATTTTTCAAAACACGCATCCAGAAGCGAAAAAATTCGAAAAAATCATGTTCTTATAAAACTCGCTGATTTTGCAATTTTTATGAGATTTGAAGTGATAGAATGTATTATCATCTTACTAAAACATATACTTTATTGTTACATTCACAAAATATTAATCAGAACACTAGGAAAAGTGGATTTTCGAAAAAAGACGATAACGATTATTTGCAAATCGCCTCTCAATTTTGAGAGACTTTCAATTTTTACAGTGGACCCTTAAGGATTAAAATTGTGATACACAAAATAGTACACGAGGAAAATTATAAACACATGACTTGTTAGGAATTCCGATTATTCGAAATCATCATTATTTTATCGAACATGTATATCATTGTTGAGTAGGAAATATACAGTGAGTAAACTGTAGGGTATAAGATCAGGTGTACGAAACGTCTTTTTAATCGTTTACGAATGCCGTGAAAGCATCAACTTCTTGAAAGGTTGATTTTACTACATAATTTAAAAATCCTGATAATAGTGGTTATTAAATGTGGCCAAATTAAGTGTTTTTAATTTGATAGAGAAAAAATAACAAAAAACGATGCAAATTTGAATACATATCGTTTGAGAAATGTGACGAAGTGACTATTGCTATTTTTTGAAAATTAAACTAATGACATGCCAATATTTATTTCTGAGATAAGAATCTTTTTTTGTGAATACAATCTCAAATTGAGAGCTTCTCAAAAATTAAATAAAATTCTCTCACAAGTGAGAGTATTTGTCCTACAGGATATCAGTTTTAATGTTTTGGTAAATTTAGCCGTATTTAACGATGAAGATTTTTTTTATTTAGAAATTTTTCTACGGAGTGATGGCAACAGAGCCTAACGCTGTAGAGCTTGAGAAAATCAACGATCCAAATCCACCCGTAGGGGTGGAAAACGATAATGAAGAAGTTTTAGAGATTGGTCAGGATGGTTTGCCAACATCCATCGGTCAGGATGTTGAACAACACCCTGAATTGCACCCAATGGAACAAAAGGAAGAAGATATTACTGTAAATATTAAAAGAGTTAAAACATGCGGTACAATTTTCAATATTTTAGACTCATTAATGGGTTCTGGAATTCTTGCCGTTCCAAACTCATTCACAAATATTGGAATCATTCCATCTTTTGTTATTATGGCCGTTATTGCAACTCTTGCTTGGGTAGCTGCTGTTATGGTTTTGTATCTTTTAGATGATACAAATGCCAAAACATTTGATCAACTTGCTGCTATTATCCTCGGTCCCATTGGCTCACGTATATTGACCATTCTCAATCTATTTTTCCTCATATGCTGCCTTTTAGGGTTTTTAATCCTTGGTGGCGATATGATCGTATCATGGTTCAAATTAGGCAATATCGATGTTACATCACTTGGATATCGCGTCATCATGATGGTTGTTTATGCTTTTTGCATACCAATCGCTTTATCTATTCCAAAAAAGATTACCTTCTTAAGCTATTTCGCAGTTGGTAGCGTCTTCTGTATTTTCTTCTTCTGTGGAGCTGTTGTTGGCCGTGGCATTGAACATATCGTAAAACACGGCATCAATAACACTATTACTTTAGGAATAGGCGGAATGGGCATTTTCTCATCCATTTCAATTCACGGTTTAGCTTTCGCACTTCCTCTCGTATTCATTCCAGCAATGTCAATCTTCTACAAGCCAGAAGTCAAAGTAAAGGCGAGTGTGAGCTTTTACGGCCAATTTATCTGTTACCTTTTAGTTTCAATACCCGGATTATTCGGTTACCTTCAATTCGGAAAGGATACAGCTGGTAATGTATTGAATTCTTACCCTGTTAATGATATATTGATGGTTGTAGTACGTTCTGGCTTCTTTATTGTTGTTTCATGTGCATATCCAATGCTTGCACAATCAGTTATGGCATCATGGTCCTTCTTCGTCTTCAAAGAAAGCCAACATATAAAATTACCACCACTAAAGTTGGTCTGTGTTCATTGTTTAACACACCTTATCCCTCTAATCATCGCTATATTCCTCGCAGAAGTGAAACCGGCCCTCCTTGTCGGTGGAGCACTCGGTGGTTGCCTTGCTCAATTCACTTTCCCTTGCTGGATGTGGGTTAAGCATAGCGATAAGCCAGTTTACCACTGGGTGAATATATTATGCATCTTATTTGGTGTTTTTGGCATTGTTACGGGCGTTTGCGCAACTTATCAAGCTGTTGTTGATGCTATTGCTGCTTTCTCTAAGAAATAAATATAGTAAATTCAAATATGTATTTAATCTAGTTATATATTTTTATTAACCGTATAATATCAAAAAAATTCAAACAGCAAAATCGTAAAAAGGTGAAAGAATTATTGATATTTATAGACATTAATAATATACATGCATCCATTTTGTGAATCTACCGAACTCTCTATTTGAATAATTATAAATAGGTTCTAATTTTCAATAAATTATGAAGAAACACTCTTTGAGGCCTCGGAAAGATCTGGATCCGCACGATTTTGTTCGCTGTCAGAACCAGGTTCGAGTGGTGGCATGATTGGACTTAAATCAGCGGGTTCTTCTTCAGGGGCAACTGAGTGACGAGATGCTCTAACTGATGACGCATCTCTCTTTACGGGTTGTGCTCTTGCTTTTGGTGCTTCATCGACATCTTTGCACATTTTCGAAATTTGAATGTAAACTTTTGAAAAACTGAAGACCCATACAATTGTTGCTCAATCAGACATACAATGATATCGTTTCAATAACAAGATAACAGAAAAATTACGTAAAAATAATTGTACGTTAATTTTCTGAGAAATGATTTGAGTAACGAAAACTTTTAACATTTTCTTCAAAATTTATGCGATAAATCATCTCAGCTATTAACATGGCAGTTATTTTGCTCAACGATATTTTTATTCCCAAAATTTTTGAATTGACTATAAGGGAAATGCGTTCATAATGGTATTTCTTCAAAGATATAAGTCAAAATTATAAAAAATATAAAAAATCGATCAATTTTTTTGAACAAATACCCACTATCGTATAATGTGAGTGATAATATGCTCTAATTAACGTAACTAGGTGTAAATTCCTAACTATAGGTTCTATTAATCAGATTTTCATTTGTTATTTTGATATTTAGCACAAATATTGGATATCTATTAGAGATATTGAATGTGAATATTTTTGTATTAGAAATAAAGATACTGCCCGATTCAGAATTCATTTATTTACTAATTTTCGTTCTGAATTGAGATAATTTGTATTACTATTTTGAAATATTAAGATTCGAAGTAAAAACAGTAAATACAGGAATGCATGAAAGATATTAATTGATAATTACAATACTTTTATTAATAAAATACAAAAAAAATTATTCATGTGATGGTTCACATTTGATCTTGAGCAATTCTTCACCATAATCAGCATAATCAGCCTTCGAGACCAAGTATCTATCGAACACAGGTGAAGAAGAAAGGATAGATCCGCCAGTCCAAACGCAAAAGTCGCCAGCAACGATTTCATGCATTGGAAAGTGAACTTTTCTATTGAATGTCTTATCGTATTTGAAGGCGTCCAAAATTTTGGCTTGGAAACCTTCAATTGTGGAAAATCCTCCACATGTAACGATATTCGACCAAAGGGCCTTCTTGTACTGATCAGGGGCATTGTAAATAGCATCTTCTATCAAGGAATTGAGAGGAAGAATATCTGATGAACCGTTTTCTTCCTGATCAGCGTCCAATTTGTTCCACATGATACCGGACAAGAAGTTCATATCATTTTTGACATCAACAAGTTGTCCATTGATTGAAGCAATGTTTTCAGTTTCATCTTCGATTTCTCCTGTATGGAAGTAACATGTTTGCTTGAGAATATCAGCACTTGTTCTACGCTCGATGTAAGAACTTTGCTGTTTCGTATTCTTTCCTCTTGAAAAATCTAAAACATGAATATCTCGAGATTTCAAACGGTCAACGAGCATTTGTGATAGGACCATTCCACCACAAATATGGTATCTCACACATCCAAGTAATGGTTTTCCTTCTACAACTGGAACAACTCTGATACTTGACCATCCAAAATCAATAACAGTAGCAGTATGATAACAATGAGCATAGGCACCGAGTAATGCATCTGAAGTAATACAAATATTAGCGTAATCCATTGTTTCGAAGGCTGTTTGAGCAATATTTGTACGCCATGTTTTTGCAAAATCACTATCAACGATCATATGCGCAGGTTGAGTGAAAATAGCGGACATGGAATGCGGATCGTCCTCATTTAAGCGTTGATGAGTATATTGTAAAAATGAACTTAAAATATCTGGGTTAGAAATTAATCCAGATTCATCTACAAGCGGAATTATTTCGTTGTGTAATCTTTTTGAAAGAATATTGTCATCTCCGATCAAAAATTCTTTACTTCCTTCTTCCTTGACCATTCCTGCCGAAATAACACTAATTTCTGGATATGCCGAGCCAGCAAAGCCAGCACGGAACATTGCTGATCCAAGATCATAAACAAGAGCGTGATATGTATTATCGAAGAGATTCATTGTCACTTTTTAGTCATCAATTTTGCGAATTTATGCATTAGAGTGATTTTCAAGCAAAATTAATCTGAAAAATATATTTGCCAAGGCATTATAGACATAGAAATCAAAGTGTAATTATCTTCTGGTTGGAATTATTATGATTATTATATATTCCGTATAAACTTTTTAATTATATTAATATTTCAATAGAAAACGGAAATTATTTTGAATATAAAAACTTATTTTTTATGCGAATGGGACATTTTTTATTCGATGCCGAACATCACATATAAAATCCGAAGAAAAAGTTAGAAGGCCTAGTTGGTTGTTTGGTCTCTCAGGCAATTTCTAAGGTTTCATCTGACCTCATGTCTGACAATTTGCCAATTTGCCAATATTTTCAATGATTTGGGCATTATTGGCACTCTCCCAGTGTTTTTATGTTCCATACTCCGAAACAGGAGTACTGATCTACGATTCATACACAGACAGACAGTTCGGATCTGTTTTGAAGCGCCACCAGTTAGTTGTTTCCTTATTTGTCAATTTCTCCGCCCCAGGTGTTGAAGCTTACCTCGAAATTTTCTCAAAGTTACCAACCATTTTCTCCGAAGATGTCAAGTTCTGCGTTCTTTCCTCCAAACATGCAAAGAGATTGACGATGCAATTCACAACTTACTTACCACAGATCTCCTTCTTCAACCATGGCGAGATTGCATATTCTATCCCATTCCCATCTACAGAGGCCGAGCTTTTGTCTGCCGTTGATGTCTTCCTTCGACCAACTTTACCAACTTTCAATGATGAGAAGGAAGTTTACGCATCTTTCGGCGAAACACAGTTCACTGTCATCAGCCCACCAGCTCTCGTCCAAAAGGCTCGCGATTACGTCATTTCCATCGCAGATAATGCCGGATCTTTCAACCTCATCGCCGCTTCCGTTGATACATTCAAGAAGATGAACTTCTCAGGTGAATACGTCTGCATCTACCGCAAGGAAGACAAGATGATCAAAGAAGTCAAGAATTTCAGAGAATTCATGAAACAAATCAGACCAACCTACTATCCAAAGTTCGATATGGACCTCTTACTCTCTGTAGAAGGCCCAGTTGGTCTCCTTTGCGTTAAAGATTCCCCAACAAAGGAACAAAAAGAGAGAATGGCCGAACTTGGCTCGAAATTCCAAAATCTCACCTTCGCAATCATTTCTGATGCCGACTTAGATGATATCCATATCATGACAAACGGAAAGACCCGCCAGTTCCCATGTTTCGTCATATTAAGTTGGGAATATTACGTTTACTACCCAGTCAGACCATTTGACAACGAAGTCGAGAACTACATCATGGACATTTCCAACGGCAAGATCGATTACGTGTTCCCATCTGAGGAAATCCCAGCAACACAAGAAGATCCATACGCAATCAAAGTTGTTGGCAAGAATTACGAAGAATTCGTTACAGATAAAGAAAACGACGTCGTCATGTTCTACATTGGATCCGACAAGGACGGCTTAAGAGCTGCCCACAAGATCGGAAAGTACATTAAGAAGAATAATGTTACAGGAGTCAAGGTCGGATACATCATTACATCATTGAACTCATGCAACAAGTCATTCCCAAGATTGGTTTTCGAACCACAAGTCAATATCTTCGCAAAAGGAAAGAAATCAAGTCACATGCTCTACTCAGCACCAACAGTTTTCAGTATCCTTGAAGGACTGAAGATGTACGCAAACCCAGATATCAACCTCAACATCTCTACATTCAGATTCTCAATGGAACTCGAGTACATGGTAGATCTCTTACAAGATTTCGAAGAACTCAGAGCTTCTGACAGAAAGGGAGCTCTAGCTTACATCTACGAGAGAGGTCAGATGCTCGGATTCGGAAACAACCTCGAAACAATAGTTAACTCAATCTACAACGCTGCAGGTGGTTTAGTCGCTGGTTACGACGACAAGAAGTTGGTCGCTGAGTTTGAGAATGATGCTGACGATTTCGTAGAGCCAGAGGTTGAAGAGGAACTCACAAGACAATCATACACAAAGTCCTCCCACAGAGGAAGTGGACGTAGATCTCACCACCACAGACGCTACTAAATAAACAGCCCTTTATTTTTTTAAAATGCTTTTTTATTACTAGTCTATAAACTCTAAACACCCTTTATTTTTTAATGGTTTTTATTATTATTTTGTTTTCATAGCAACTTAACTTCTGCTATAAACTATACATTTGATCTTTTCATGGACATAATTTTGTAAATGTAATCACTGTTACTATGAGCAATTTCTTATTAGGATCTTATGATACTGGTGTCAAAACATCCTATAATTCGTATAATTTTATATTATGGAAAAAATTGATTTTTGTCCAATATAATAACATTCATTAGAATCTTGAGGCTATGTATGCACATTCTGCTATTTGCAATTCTGAATTAAACCCATCAGATGCCTGACTATAAGCTTACAAAACTCTATCCAAAATGCAAGACTAACCAAAAATTTGATTGATTTAGTATCAATACTTAAATGTTAGCAATTGAAATTGTAATAATTATTACAGAAAGATATATTGGTATTGATATTGTTGATTCAGGTTTAACATCATAAGATAATTATTATAATGTTTATTATGTTTTTATTCAATAATAATACATATAAAGACAAAGATATTTGGTATGTTGAGTGATAATGGAGATCGTTTGCAGGAATGAATTGGAACTTTGCATTTTTCATCAAATGGATGCTTTAATTGGAATCTCCCGCAATTGATTGGATCACCGTTCTTGTTTGCTGTGCTAACATCAATATCGAGTGATTTCGTACTAACATTAAATTTCATGATGTCTCGAGGAATCGTCATGTAGAACTTAACACCAATGAATGAATCACATTCGTCTAGACATGTTGAATTGAATGTGATGATATCAGTACTTTCGATTGGGAATATCAAATATTTCAGATTCGCACAATTCCTGAAAGAATTCGAATCGATAATCAAATTATTTTTTAATTTATGAAATCTGATCTCTTGTAATTCTGAGCAGTTTGTAAAACTATCGCTATCAATCCTTTCTATATCAGAAAAGAATTCTATGCATTTTCCAAAATAGTAGTCAAATACACGAGAGTGAACAACTTTTAGGATTGATGGCATAATAATTGGTGAATAATTGTAAGCGAATATTTGGAAATTTGGAGTTTGAATCATATAATTCTGGAAAATGATAGATTTGCAATAGAATTCACGGAAGCTTCCAACATCAATTTTTATAATACTTGGAGGGATAACTAATGCGTATTTTGTTGAGTATCCTCTGAAAGCTTCAAATGCTATAATGGAACAGTTTGGATAAAATTTGAATTCATCAGTATATGATCTTGAAGCCCAATAAAATGAATTATAATCATAGCTGTAAATGCATTTGTTATAAATTCTATGATATTGGTTTCTTGAATCAATTGTAACGCTGAGATTTGCCATTAAGTTAAAAGCGCCTGCATCGATTCTGCAATCTTTAGGAATAAAAATATTTGTTACTGGTGACTTTTGACTGACTGCATAACCAATTCTAGTTAAAGCGCTATTCTCTGATATAAATATATTGGTTAGAAATATACATAAACCAAAAGGGCCTCCAATAACTTGGTCATCGTAAAATCCAGAAATTTGTCTAACTGAGTCTGGAATGGAAATATTTTTAAGTTTTGTTATAAAGAATGCGCCAGACTTTATACTTTGTAACTCTCCATTCATTGGAAGCAATACTTGCTTTAGATTAGAATTCAAGAAAGCGCCACTACTTATAAGTTTGAGATGATTGCACATGCTTAAATTAGCAACAATAAGTTGTGTGAAATATGAAAATGTTCCAATACCAAGATCTTCTAATAATGATTCTTCTTCAAAACTCAAATATTTTAAAATATTTCTAAGTGCATAAGTGGATGAACCGTGACTTTTTGATCAACAACTTCACTATCTTTAATTCTGACAACATTTTTCGGAATTATAATTGATTCATTTGGAGTAACATCAATTAATGTAGCATTAAATACGTCTTCATACTTGAATTCAATAAACAATAATGATACAAATATCCATAGAAAAGTCAATTACTTAGGAATATGAAGCATTGAAATTTTTGAATATTGAAACCTTAAAACTATGATCCGAAAAGACAAACACCAAACTTTTTGTAGGCCAATCCCTGTGGGAGCTAGTGGTAATTTTTCATGGAAATCACACAGTAAAATTTCATACAGGAAAAAGTTCAAGAACTTGTCACATTATTTTCTTTTATAAAATAAAAAAGACTTTTATTCCAAACTGTACTTGTAATTATCAGATGCCTATACTTGATATTTCTGAATTAAACCCATCAGATGCCCGACTATAAGCTTACAATATCTCATCTCAAATGAAAGAATATACAAAATTTTGAAAATATTTATTGATTAAATCTCATGAAAACAGGACAACTGTAAGAATTTAAGAATACAGTAAAAATTATGAGCAAGAGAAATTTTCTCTTCATTCCTAAAATGAAAAATCTTATTGAAATTTCGTGAGTAAATAGAGATTCATTCAGAGGATATATAACTAAAATTAAAAATTTTGAGCAATATGGTAAAGCCAATTAGTAAAATAAGTAATAATTAAAAATTTATTTTCAAAAAACTCATATCACATTGAAATTCTCCTAACACAACCATCAATGAAATATAAATATGCGTCCTGAGTTAGAATCACTTCTTGGTGGACAAAATAAATTTTGTTAATTTAGAAAACTTCATCGTTAAAGTAAATTTCAGCCAATGTGTTAACATCAATTGGGCGATCGTTGCTTTGGCAGATGCAGTCTAAAAGAAGATCTTGATCTGTATATCTTGTGTAACAGCTTTCAAATTCACTTGGATTGGCCAAGAAAATATCGATTGCATTCTTGCCATTATAGCCCATTTCATATGGACTGAGGCCAGTCAACATATGGAAAAATATGAGACCGAGGGAATAAACAGCTTTTGATGGCCAATTGATTGAAGACTCTTGTATGAAGACAAATGGCTGTCTGTTGAGATAGAAGCCACTGCCGAAATTCATGATGTAAACAAAATCATTTTCATCAACCAAGAAGTTGTCAGTAGAGATGTTGTAGTTGACAAAATTAATTTTGTGGAATTCTTGAACTATCTCGACGAGTTGTTTCATGATGAAACGAAGCCTTTCTTCTGAAAGTTTATTGATGAGCTCTGTTAAGCAGAATGGGACCCTTTTCATTGTTATGTAGACCCATCTTCCAAAAACCTTTGGGCTTGATGTCTGAACAATATGAGAATTTGGTTTTTGTGAAAACAAATCAAAAATTTCCTTTTGTTGCATGAAAGATCTGTAGTTGGAAACAGCTGTATCATTCTCAATGACCTTGAGAATTGTTGTTTCGTTAAGCTTATAAAGCTTACTATGAACATTAAGCTCAGTAAACTTCATTTTTTCAAAAATGAAGTTTTGAACGGAAATTCTCGACTCTCAAATTTTAGCACGAATTATTTAATTCTACATGAAGATGCAATTAAAATAAAGCATGATTCATGATTTTCTCACAAAATTTTAGATAATTTTCAATCAAATAATTTTTTCAATATTATGAGAAATTTTGCGGTTTTATCCATTCAAAATTGTGTCAGGATAACGGTTTTGAATAATTATAGAAAAATAAAATATGACTAAAATAATTAAAGCACATGATATCCATATAAATTTTTATAATTCCAAATTTCAAATTTCAATGACTTCTTACCTAAATCAATATGATAGCTATACCTATGATATATGTGAATGATGATATAAATATAATTAGATTTTATTCCTTGTTTTCAGCTTGTTTTTCCCATATTGGAAAATTTCCAAGACTAAAGCAGGATATTTCTTTCATTATCGTGTATTAACACCTATTTTTATGATTAAAGACATGATTTATATCATCCATTCGAATTTAATTTCCAAGATAAAAATGGAAAAAGTATAAAAAGTTGTTTCCAAGATCATATAACAAAGAAATGATTCAAAATTAACAAACAAGGAGTGTTTGAATTCTAAATTTGCAATTTTAAATCGATATTTAATTTGAATTCATATACGTCGCGCTTTTTAACCATAATTCATCGTTTGAAATGATATTTGTCAAGTGTAAATGTGTTCTATATTGCCATTTGAAAAAAAAATAGATGAACAATTAAACAAAAAAATTAATTAAATTTTTGCACAGGTGTTGATAGATGAATAACATTATTGATAAACAAAACTATATGAGATAATATTTATTCTAAATCAATAGGTAATAATGTCAATTCTTGTTCTGGAATGTGCTTATTATCGCACCATTTATCCCAATTCTTACTTAAGAACTGTGCCCAAATCTTCTTGAGCCAAGGAGACAATTCTTGAGGTCTTTCATTTAACCATTGCTCAAATTCGGTTTTTGTGACCCATTTAACATTTTGAACTTCCTCTGGGTTTGGACTAATGGCTTCAACATCATAATATCCTAAAATAACATGGTCAAGTTCATATTCAGCCCAGCCATTCTCGTAAATTGCTTTGTAAACGAAAGAACCTAATTCCTGGAGTTTGGAATCTTCGTTAAGCTTTATATTGAGTTCCAAATTAACACGTCTGACTGATGCATCAAGTATATATTCATTTGGTTCTGGATGAGAGCAGCAAGTATTAACCCAAATGTGAGGAAATGTGATTTTATTTGCAGATCTTTGCTGTAAAAGTAAACGTTTCTTTGAATCAAATAAGAATAATGAAAATGCTCGATGTAAAAGTGGTTCTGGCTCAGTTCTATGAGCTTTATATTTACTTACTTCTCCCAATACATTGTCGTTCTTATCTACTAAGATAACATGGGCGTTTTTCATCTGGTTATTTTGCTCTTCAGACATTTCTTTATTTTTATCTTTTTCCGATTTTTCATGATAAGATTGTAACTCCCTAATGCATGATTAAGGATGCATTGGTATGTGAACAGTTTGGAGATGCATACCATTCTCTATTTGGTTTTCAACTCTCATATTTGATCACCAATATATAATATTTTATCATATAGGATTGAATATCGTTGGCACTGTGTTATATTAAATTTGGCTTATCAAGTCCTATGTATTTCGAATCTCAAAAACGATAAAAAATTTGATCAAAATATAATATCTTGAATATTCGATCAAGTTATAAGTTTTTATTTTGTTAAATAGCGGTTTTCAATACATGACTATCTCAGAGCAGTTTATTTAGAAAAAAATTAATAAAAATGTAAATTAACATAAAATAACCGCTTTATTAATGAAATACAGTATTAAGGCCAATAAACTTTGACGCTGTGATTGTAATTTTCGAGTTATTGGTCGATAATTTCGAATTTCAAACTATAAATTTTTTGAAATGAAGGAATCTTAAAAAAAATTAGGAACAAATTATTTTGCAAAAGGATTATCTTCTGGGTTGACGAAGTTTGCTGGAGCCAAGGCTTCAAATGGCTCCATTGTATCGTGAAGATTTCCGATGAATTTTTGATGTGTCATTATGAAGTCCGAATAAGCAGCATCGAGGTTCTGAGGTCTTGTTTGGATGAAATTGCCTGCAATTTTGATGAATTTTGCTGTTGTTTCATCAAGATTGTCTTTTATTTGCTCGAGCTCTTCCGGTTTCATCTTCTTATCCTTCTTAGCTGAATCGTATGCTCTTTCGAGTTTTTTTCTATTTTCATGAATTTCATTAATTGTATCGACTTGGTTTTCGAATTTAGTGAATTCAGCAAGAATAATATTTTCGAGTTCAGGAATGAAATGAATAAAAATTTGTGAATCTAATGCACGTGAAAACTGTACATACTTAATTGAGTCTTGTTTTACTTCAACTGATGCTGTCGAGAAGACACAGTTTGCATCTTCAGCAAGCTTTGTTGCTATTTGAGTAAAACGTTTCATTTTCAGAATGTATTCTTTGAGTTTACTTGAAAGATCTTTGTAATAGTCTGTGATCTTCCTAAATTGATCTTTAATGGCGTAATATTCGGCATCTTCAGGTTTTCTTTTATGAAAAATACCCATCTCGGAAGTGATATAAAATTTAACGCTAGCGGTTATTTTTTATTATTAATAAATATAGGATTTAAACATTGTTCCATTTCACCGAGATAAAATAGCAAACGTTTTCTTATTCACAAAAATTGAAGCACAAATCAAATCCCGCGACTTTGGAAATCAGCTAATAATACAATAATAAACATTTTCACATGATTACAAAACGGCAGTTTTTGATAGAAAAAGAAAATATTTTTGTAGGGTCTAATAAGATTTTTTTTTAAAATAGAGAGGGTTCAAAATGTCGAAAACTACGCGTGTAAAAGAGCTCTCTAAGCTTATCCTAACTGAGCCAAAAGATTTTTCACTCGACAATTTCATCCACACCGAATTAGGTACTTATTTTGAGTCTTTATTGACTTATTTGAAAGTTCATCACAAACCTTATCAAGGCAAGATCCTTAAGAAGACTAAATGCATGAGTCCAGAAAAGATTATCAAAGCTATTACAAAGATTGTTACATTCTTTAATCCATCAATTCTTGAAAACGCACCGCTCGAAGTTATTGCAGGCTGTTTTACATATTTATTGCATGCTGATACTCCAGAAGAGATCAGAACACCATGCGTTCAACTCTATTTAAATATTTTAGCTGCAATTAAGCCAGAATGGCAACAACGTATGGATGCTGCAAATGTTTTGATAATTCCATTTATTAGATATGCAAGAACTTCCGGTGAAATAAATTCATTCAAGAAATACACTTCCAAGCCAGATCAAGAAATAATCGTGTTTGAAAAGGCAAAAGGTACAACAAAAGACTGCGAAAATAATCTTATCAAAACATTCCAGTGGATTAACCAAAACTGGCCTTACGATCCTAAAAGTATTTGCGATTTTCTTTACAAATACATTCTCAGCATTATTTATCACAGTATTGCTGAAAAAGCTGGTTACAAAGAATCCCAATACGGTTTTGAGGACTCAGTTCTCGAAAATTTCCATCAGCAAACTTTAATTTTCCTCCAACAAGCAGTTGAATCGAATTTAGACTTAAAACCACTTTTCGCATCAGACATGTTCATGACCATGTCAATACAGATCCTTGCTGTTACAGAACAGTATAATAATACTCAAAATGCTTTGAGAACTTTACAAATTTACGACATGATTCTTTCCAACAAGGATTTATTGGAGCAACTTTCTTCTGTCAATTTAAACCTTTATTTGACAGTTCCTTATTCCGCTGCAACAATTTCTACGAAATATCTCGAAAAAGACTGCCCAGAATCCGACCGCAAAGAGCTTATCGATATGATACTTAAAGTCTTCATCTCATCCTTCAATATGATTTACTCCTGCCTTCAAGATGAAGAACTTTATTCATATCTCCACAAATTCTTCGATAAGTTCGCTCCAACACCAAGAATTGCTTGCTACTTTTACTCTGCTTTCGTCCATAGACTCATTCTCGGAAGAATTAAAAAAGAAAGACCTTGGATTTTCTTAATGGAGTTGGCCAGGAAGCATGAAATCTATGCAGCAATATCTTGCAAGTACGCACAGCTCATGGGTGTCTTCCAAATCCCAACATTGCTCGAATTTGAAATAGAAGATTCAATTTCCGCGGCTTCCTCGTTCTATTCTCATAGATTCAGGGATCCAACACCAGAAAAATACGATTTCTTCCTAAATAACGCTGAAGATATCATTGATCATCCGAATATTTTGGTTATTCAGCAGTTAAAGTCCATGTGGTCACCTCTTGACAGTTTCGATGAAGTTTTTGAGGGATTCCCGTTACCGTTACCTCCGATTTCCTCGATTTCGGACGATGATTTTGAGATTCTTGCTTCGAATTTCATTACTCCGTTCGAAATATATGAGGATGAAGCCGACCAACAGTCAAAGCATCGTTTGTTTGGCCCGATCATCTCATTCTACGATACAATTCACCTTTGTTCTCATCTTCCTTCGAATATTCAATACGAAACTACCAATGTTTTCCCATATTCGAGGCACAGATTGTTCACAGCCCTTCTCCACGAGTCAGATCCATTGATTTTAAGACGTTCCATGGAAGTATTGACGCAAATTATGTCTTTGCACGAAGTTTGCGCCAAATTAGATGCTGATTCCCTCACAGCCTGGTACATTATCATCATTACATTGCTTTCCCGCAAAGAACCAGAGCTTGTTGAGGTTGCATCTCTCGCATTTGAACGTTCCATCCATTACGGATGCAAGGGAGCTTCCATGCTTCTCCAAGTTCTCATATCCTACCTCGAGAGCAAGATTATTCCAGCAAACGACAGCGTTATCGATATTCTTTCTTCAGTTCCTCTATTTTCAACCGACCAAACATTGATTCCAGACATAGAAAAGGATCTGAAGCAACGTATATCGAGCAAACAAGAGCTCTACCGCGAAAATACCGTCCAAGCTCTCACAAAACCAGGAAAATATATGCAAACCCGTCATATTAAGGTCATTTCGGATCTTTTCGATGCAGCAAAGGACGACAAGAACCTCTGGGATTCATACCTATGCTTAGTTATCCCATTATTAAGTGATGAAATGACACAATCTAAACCGAACACAACAACGATCGGTCTGATCATGACAGCGTTAGCCAATGCCATCAAAGTGCAAAACCTCAACGCTGTAAACATCGTTCGTAGTCAGTTGATGGTAATTCCGAGAATGACAGAATGCGCACCTCTCCAATTGAACCATTTCATCTCCACTTGTGTTGATTTCGCAAACGAACCAGCTGCAATCGAAGGAGAACCATCTTGGGTAAATAATTTCATTGAAATGGTCACTTCACTTTTCATTTATAATTATGAAGCGATGAGATTAGATCCATGCTATCCCAAATTCATCAAATTGCTTTATAGTTTGATGTCCAATCCCAAGAAGGACATTTCCAAGTTCGCGGCCAGTCTTTCAAAGATAATTTCACTTTATTTCGGCGCTTTTCCATTCAAAAACTCCATCTTGTATCCAACGAGTCAAACAGAAGTCATGGATCAAGAGAACACGATTGCAACACGTGCAGGAGCAATCCTTCAGTTCTCAACAGACGAAAAGACTTCTAATATCGAAGTTGTCGCACAAACAGCTGTTGGCAGATTTGAATGGGACTTCAAACCGATTTCAGGTGAATTTTACACGAAACAAAAAGAAGGCGAAGGAGTCACGATGCCACAGACTAAATCAACGCCAACACAAGTGTTTAACATGCAGACACAATTAGAGAAAAGTGCTGGAGAACTCATACAAGGCTTCGAACAAGACATTGGCGAGATTCCTCTGTTCGACATCAAACAGGAATTCACTGACGAATACAAGGAATACAATGAAAAATTCAAACAAACGACAATTGATGAAAAATTTGAAATATTGAGGCCGCATATTGAAATGCAAAACAGGAAAGCGTCAATTGTTCATGGCTTGGGATTCATGAGAGCAAATCATCTCCATGATGTTAAAGAGATTCCTCCAGAACAAATGCTTATTTTCTTACATAATTTGCAAAAAGCAAATTATAGATTCCATGAAAAATACTCTGTCATTTGTGTAAATCCTGAAACTAATGATGATTTGAGTATTTTGGGTATCCAATTAGAAGAAACTTCTTCGCAGTTCCAGAACTTTGTTACACAGCTCGGCTGGAATTTGTCTTCTGAAGGATACGTCGGACCTGATGCAGCACAGTTGGATAGCGACAGAACAGGAAACAATGTTGTTTTCTACGCTGATTTCGCGAGAGAAGTTTTGTTCCACATTTTGCCGTCGTTTAATCAGGAATTCTCGGACCAAGGACAGAATTTCAGAAAGATGTACTTGCACAATGTAAATGTTGTTATCGTGTGGTTGACTCCTGGAAGCAAATTCGACCCTCCAAACATTGCTTCTGCTAATAATTTACTTTTCATTGTAATTCATGAAAAAAGTGACAGTCCATTATTTACTGTTGAATTTGTAATGAGAATGAATTTCCAGGTAAACGGAAGAAGTAGTATTTCTTACATTGTAAGGAAGGAACAACTCCCTGACGTAATAAGAGGAGTTTGTTTCCAGGCACAAGAGCAGTATGATAGATCTCTTCCTCATTGGAAACGTCCAATTACTGAAATTTCTGAGACTTTGACTGAAGCAATCTCTCAGTCTCACTCAAAGAATTCTAAGGAATATAACTGCATTTCCAGCTTGATGTCTACTTCTGCATTAGGAATGTCAAGAAATGCTTCTTTCGTTTATACAAGTGGACCATTGTAAAATAAAAAGCATTTTATTATTATTATTATTTTAATTTTTTTTTTATTTCTGGCAACAGTCTTGATGCATCACAAACTTTAAGCAACAAAATTGAATGACGTGTCATAAGGGTGTGAGTGCTCCCTTAATGGTGATCTTATGTTCACAATTCATCCACTCATAATTTTGATAAATATGGCATAAATCTTAGAAATTTTGCCGATCTGAGATAAAAACATAACACATAGCATCTCATTTAAAATGCATTTTTGTTTTGTTTACTGTGAAATGTGCGTCACATGTGGGTGAGGTGCATCCATAATAAATAGTTATTTGAGCATTGTATTAAAAAATGATGTAATAAATTGAAGAAACTCAATGCGATTTAGAACAATCATTTATTAGTCACAAGACATGTGTTAGGGGAACTTTATGATAGGCTGGATTTTAATAATGTATTGGATCGTACCCCCATTGAATTGTATGTCAAATAGTTGAAAACGATACAGAATTTTATTGATTTTTTGTGAGACTCTTCAAATATTCTCAATTTTTTGTTAATGATATAACTTATCTTTGACATACTCTTGGAAAGCAGCAAATTCAACTCTAATCATCAATTCTGGTCCATCATTAGCGCCACCACCAGCAAATTACCAGTCTGCGGGGCATGTAATTGTATACGGTGAGGTACTAAATGTTGAATTCGAAGCCTTCAGGAATTTTACCAAACTAGAAACACTCGAACTTCCTGACTCGATTGTTACCATAGGTAACAGTGTAATCTTTTCAACAAAAATTAAAACTTTACATATTCCTTTAAATTTGCAAACCGTATCAACAGACGGCTCGTTTGATTGGCAATATACACTTGAAGAGTTTACAATAGATCCAAATCATCAATATTTTTCAGTCCTTGATGGAGTTCTTTATGACAAGAATTTCACGACATTAATTACATACCCATCCGCAAAGAAAACACCAATATATTCTGTTCCCTATGGTGTTACCAGTTTTTATGGCTCTGCTACAAATAATATTTGTTTTTTGCAGCATTTATTGATTCCTCAAACAGTTACACAGGTGGGTCATATGATGTATGCTGCCTCAACTCAATATTTAAGCTATATTAATATTTCAATATTCCGTTATATTAATCAATCAGATTCAACTTTTGAAAAAGGTTCCCAATCATTTAATAGCTTTAATAAATATGTTTACATTAACTATATTCATCAAGAATACTATTCCGCGTATTACGAAGTAAATCATTCCGTATACATCTTTACGACAAATAGAAATATGTCCATTATGTATACAGATAAGTACTTTTACAATATTCCTACTATCAAATCTGTTATTGTCGGCCGTGGAATAAGATATCTTTCCCATAGCAGTTTTTCCAATCCAAACATTCTTTACATATATGACAATAATCTTTGTACGCAACGGTTTTGCATATTCCGCTTTAATACTCAATATTTCCAAACTTTTCGCTCAATCTTGATAGATTCTACATAAAATATAAAAATCTATACTACAAACGTCCATACTTTTTATAACCTTTACTAAATTAATGACAACGACAAATAGTATATTCACAGTGTTCTAATTTTTTTTTCTCCAGCAACATCTTGCAATATTCGATGTTTACAATGGACAATTTGTTTCGAAACCATGGCCATTTAATAGAAGAGCTCGTATGCAGATTAATCCAAAAGGTTAGAAATCCATGACTAAAATATTCAATAGATTTTTACAACAATTATCCAAAGCTCCAAATTTTCTTTAACGAAAAAGTGACAATGTTAATTTTCCATGGGCTTTCAAATTGAATGAAATTTTGAAAACTAAATTTAAAGCGTTTATATACATTTCAAAGATAGGTTTCCGTAAAAATAATAAAAAATTCTATAGGAGTTTGATTGAAAAAAATACAAATCAATTTCCTCTCAATTTAACGTACAGTTTATTGAAACTTCAATGCTTATACATGTAGCGTGGTCTTATATTGGACTTTCACTTACAGAATGAAAGCATAGGAGAGCCTCATGTTACAATAAATTCCAATGTTAATTCCACAATATTTACATTTTATTATCCATGTCCTACTGCTTACAACTGCACGCCATATATTACAAAATTAGCTCCAGGAAATTACAAATTCGAACTCTTTGGAGCAGCTGGGGGATATGCAACTTCAGCTAAAGGTGGGAATGGAGGTATTAGTGTTGGATATTACAAAGTTAATGTTTCGACTGATGCATTTATTCACATTGGAGGAAAAGGTGAAGATGGCCCATTATATCATAATAAAAATAAAAACACTCCTGGAGGTTACAACGGCGGGGGTATTGGTGGATATGATACTGTTTTTATGCCTCAGGAGGTGGTGGCGGAGGTAGTACTGACATCAGAATCAGTAATGATGAAATTGAGAGCAGAATAATCGTCGCGGCGGGAGGAGGGGGTGCTTGTGGAAGTACTACTGTACTCCAATCCAGCACTGGAGGTAATGCAGGCGGAATCATAGGGGATGATGGAGCAACCATTAATGAATATGGTAAAATCGGCGGTGGTGGCTCTGATAAAGCAGGTGGAAAGGCATATACAAATAGAGGTGCCACTAACGGAAGCCTGTTTTATGGGGGATCTGGATCAAATATGAAATATTCGTATGGTGGTGGTGGCGGTGGAAGTGGATATTATGGAGGAGGTGGAGGGTCTTCTTCTTATGATTATGATAGAGGTTATTGCGGATCGGGTGGTGGGGGAAGCGGATATATTGGCGGTGTATGGAGTTCGGAAAAGTTTGGAATTATTGCCGAAACAAAGCCAGGTACGAATGATGGAAACGGATATTTGAAGATTACTTATTATAGCAAAATTTCATTATATAATGTATGCAAAGCAAATCTATGTCCTTTAGCACTTCATAGTGATACCTTTATTTTGCTGTTTTCGATTGTCCATCATGTAAACCTCGATGTCACTTTTACAGCCGAGCGGAGCGAGGCTGTAAAAGTGACATCGAGGTTTACATGGATGGGTTCTATATATATACAGCTTGACCGGTAGAAAAGCGGATCGATTTTTATCAATAATTGGACATTCTATTTTTAATAAAATAAACACATATTTATATGGGAAATTAGGGAGATCTGAAACTCAAAAATTATTTTTGAATTTTAATATGATAAATGTAATTGTGATAATATGTACATTACAAATAAAATATTAATTCGGAACAACGATGAGATGTGATTTTATTTGTATCTTATATGCATATAGGATATATAATAATTTTAAAACATCAAAAAGTGACAATTTGCGGTTAGAAAAAGTCATCAAAACACTTTTTAATGATTTGATTTCACATATGCATAGACCATCTCTTTGATGTTTAACTTCAATTTCCCGAAATGAAAAGGATTTGAGCAAAAACGATTATTTTACGATCATTTTTTGTAAATTTTTTTAAATTGAGACTGACATCTCTAAAATCATCTAAAAAATCCAAATATCCAATAAAATAATATCATTAAAATTCCTCTCAATTTAAAAAATTTTTATAAATTGAGACTTCAATCTCTAAAATCTTCTAAAAAATCCAATTATCACAAAAACTCACAATATTATTTTTATTCTCAATTTCAAAATTTTTTTTGTACTGACTTTCTTTTTGCCTAACAGCAAGGCAGAAATTTGAAACGAGGTTTCAAATTTCTCAAGCTTGCATTCTGGGCACTTACGTGCCCAAAATGCTAAAAGGCGCGTAGCGCCGTCTCTGAATATCAATTTTTTTTTAATTATTAATTTATGAAATTTCAAATAAAATCGATCTGTTATAACACATTGGTGCATGACAGCCTTGTCAATATTAAGTAAATTTTATGAATAAAAATTATGATATACTCAATTTATCAACAATTGTTTTAAAAGTAGGGTTGCTAAATTTTTTCCATGTTTAAATCTTGGAGGATCTTAAGATAATAAAAGTGACACAAGGGGAAAAAACACAAAATAATATGATGAAACGAGTCAAAGTATCTATATGATATCTAAGTATAAATAAAGCTATATGTATTCTAATTTTCAGAATTTAGCAAAAAAATTATTTAAATTTAATCAAATAAACTTTGTATTGGTTTAAAATGAATAATATTAGAATGGTAACTGAATGAATCATAATTTAGCTAAATGGTTAAGGTGGGTCTTTCGTTGATAAAATTGGAATAACTTTTGTATTGTGAACTATCGTTACCCTTCAAAGGTATCTTGTAGTATCATGTCTATAGAATAATATTTCAAAAAATCAAAAAATCTTTCAAGATCCTCCAAGATCATCAAAATCTTGAAAAAAAGTTTTTTTGAATGGTTTATACCACAAAAATCAATGGTTTACATAAGATCTTTAGGGGTGTGAATTGAGCCCCAAGGAGAATGTGACAACACATTCAAAATCATCCAAAATATTTAAGTTATGATATTTTATCAAATATATGCTCCTCATTAATAATAATAATGGTTTGCTTGGTATTTATACCTGTTTTAAAAATCCAAAACTCGAATTTAGGATGATCTTTGGGTTTTTCGAATTTGGATGATCCAAAAAGATCATCCAAATTAGCAACCCTAATAAAAGCTTTTTGTTAAGGATTTTAGTGCATTTTCCTTGAGATGTATTATATGAATAATTTCATTTTTGATGATGTTAATTTCGTTGATCTGCTTTGAAAAAAAGGAAAGATATGGAAACTGGATGGGAAATGCTAATGGAAGAGTTCCAGATCTCTCAGGATATCATGATTATGATGAATGCGCCGGAATTAAGGGTCCACTGTAAAAATTGAAAGTCTCTCAAAATTGAGAGGCGATTTGCAAATAATCGTTATCGTCTTTTTTCGAAAATCCACTTTTCCTAGTGTTATGATTAATATTTTGTGAATGTAACAATAAAGTATATGTTTTAGTAAGATGATAATACATTCTATCACTTCAAATCACATAAAAATTGCAAAATCAGCGAGTTTTATAAGAACATGATTTTTTCGAATTTTTTCGCTTCTGGATGCGTGTTTTGAAAAATAGATATTTTCGAATTTTGATTTTAATTTAAGTATAAATTTTATATTAGGAATTTTTTTGACCTATTTCCAATCATTAATTCCTAAGTTTTTCTAGGAATTTAATTGAGAAGAAATTAGGAAATTCGCTTTAATGCCATTACATCCTAATATTGTGATGCATGTAGTTTATATTTATTGAGGCTAATGCCGGAATATCGTGCATTTTATAAAAAATTCAAAGAATTGACAATTGGATAGCACAAATTTAATTCTCTAGACAAAGTATTATTGTTTATATATTCAAAGCATTATCCTTCGTTTTGAAATGTTGGCCAAAAATTTTCGTGTTATTTTTTGTGTTTCAGCATAAATTATGTATTGACTTATGAAAGATAAGCATTTTATTCATTATCATAAAGATATACCAAAACAAATTGATAAAATTTAAAAAAATGTGTATTTTAGTGGGTATTATTCTGGCCAATGCCCATTTTTAAACGATTTAATATTGACCATATCAATAGCCGACTCAATGTAAAAATTTAGATATTATTTTTTTCATTATTCAAACTTTGATAAATTTTAGTATAATGAATGATTTTGTTTCGTGTATGATACAGAAATGAAAAGCTTGATTAATATCATTTTGCATTTTTTCAAGAATGTTAGAGTACATCTACATTAAAAAATCGGATTCGAATTGCGATACTGCATCAAATTGTTGCATATCTGATAAGGATCTCAAAAGAGTAAAGTTAATTTTTTTGTGTTTTTTTAAGTTTTGGGCCTTAGTAAAAACACCATCTCGAGCAATATTTTTGGGACGACGATAGGCCTTATTTGGCCTTACAGTGGACCCTTAACACCATCATTGTTGATAATAAATGTAAATGTATGGATGGATTTCCATTCGGAGATCCAAATGGAAAGTGATGTTATAAGTGTATTGATCAATGCAATGAAAGCGCAAGTTGTGTTTATCCTGGAAAATGTGAATGCGAAATCGGACTTTATGGAGATGGTATAACTGAATGCTATGTTCCTGTCCCATTCGTAATTGATACGCCTTCTTCTGATTTGCTCTCCACTGGAAATGAAAAAGTAACGATTCAAATAAAGCCATTACCAAGATTTAAACCGCTTAAAGCTTATTGTAAATTCGAAAACGTAGTTGTAACAGCCAATTCAACAAATGCTCACTCAATAACTTGCATTTCTCCAAAATTAAATCCGGGATCTTACAAAATTTACGTTTCTTTTGACAATATTTTGTATTCGTCAAATTATGCATTTGCTCAAGTTACAGGAACTGGATTTATTTCAGTTGGTAAAGGAATTTGGATTATTTTAATTGCAATAATTGGCGTAATAGTTTATTACTTTGGATTTGCTTCTAGAAATGGAAATTCTAGTCAGCAAGATGAAGCAAGAACTCCTTTCATTGCAAATTCAGGAAAATATCAAATTAAGAAACGAAAAGGTGCAATTGACATGATTTAATTGGCTTGATTATGTATACATGTTAGAATTATTGTATTTGTTTTTGTTTAAAGCGATATATTATTTCCATAGTTTTTAATAATTCAAATTTTTTCTATTACAATACAAGCTTTCTGCAAGTTAGTTAAGGATCCGTTTCAATCTTTCGATTATAGCTCTTAAATCAAAATCATGAAAAAAAATCAAGAGATTTTCTTGGACAATTATAAAAAAGTCATGATTCTTATAAGAATTATATACATTTAGAAACAATTTTATTAAAAATTAACAAAAATTGGAGAATTTTGAAGAAAAGAGTTCATCCAAAGATTTTCTTACTGGAAATGTACCTAATCCAAACTTAAATGATAAGTTTGGCTTTCCTATATAAGTTAAATTTTGAGACATCGAGAATTCAAATTTTGGAGTAACCTGAGCAGATACTGTACATGTTGTAGTGTCATTAGTGATAAATAGTCGGCCGGAAACTGGTTTATCTGGTATAAAATCAGCAATAATTGTACGAGAATTTGAAACAATATCGTAGTATAATGAAAAGTACGAATTAAGATGCTTGGAGTAAAGATTTTTAATACCCATGCTAATACTTTCACTTACATCGTTGTGGAGACACAAATTTAGTTGTAGAACTGTTGATTTTACAGGACGTGGGAATATTTTATACTTGAAACCCGTAAATGATGGAAATGAAGGACCTTTATTAAAAGTTATTCCACTATAAACTTTATATCTTGGATTAAGATACGCCGCAAGCATTTTCCCTTCTCCATTATGGTAACCGAATGATATTAATCCAAAATTTGTGTTTATCGACCAATTGACAGATGGCTTTCGATCGTATAATCCAATACTTATAGATTCTAACCAATCTTTGTTATCTTGTGAAAAAGATAATTGCTTGGTAAAGGAAACTGATGAATTTGATACAATCAAAGTATTATCATCGATATTTTTGAATAAAATAAATGTTTTATCCGATTTTAATTTCAGAGCGAATGTTTTGCCTCGGTAAAAGAATGACTGAGTGTTTTCATCACCTTTTAGTATGATTCCATAATCTTTTGCCATCAATTTGAGAGAACCTTGATTTCCACGAGTGTTAATAGTTCCACCTAAAAATTTCGCGTCAATTGAGATCATGCCTCCCGAAAAATAAGGATCTTCCGGTGGAAATGTTTTACTGTAATAATGTTCGTGGTATTCCATGTATTTTTATAAAAAATGTCACTTTACATGTCATAAAAGATAAAAAAAAGATTGTCAAATGTCCTCGTTGTTGAAAATGATCACCCAATATAGTCACAATGGTTTTCTCTTGATACGTAAGCCTTAAACCGTTAGTATTTTCAATTGTTATTTAGAGAAAATAATAAATCAGATTTACTCTATCCTGGTGTGATTACACTTCTGAAAAATATTTAAAAGCGTGTAAAATCTTTAATATGTATGGATTTCGACCATTATTTCTATCTGACATGATAAAACTTTTTTTTTGAAGAGAGAAAAGTGACGTATTTAAGATTATAGAAAAGTATTTTTTGATGGAAATATTTGATTTGAAATTTTGCACTATATGATAAATCATTGATGCTTCATATTTGATTTAAATAATTTTTCATATGTTTACAATTTGAGTTAAATTATTATACAAATTTACTCTGACTTTTCAGAGAATTGAGCTGAGGCTCAATTCTCTGAAATAGTCAGAGTAAATTTGTCGTATACTCTATACTTTCAATAATTAGCTTGATTTTAAGGGAACCTTAAAATCGAGCATTGAAAAGTCAGAGTATACTTGAAATTTTATTGCGTCATCAATGATTATTTTCTAATATTTGATTTAAATAAATTTGAAAGTGATTTAAACATATGACGCTGGAACTAATTTTTCAGATTAAAATAATCGTCATGCAATAAATTCAATTCCAAAAGTTAATAATTTGAATAAAAACATATCAAATATATTTTTGTCTTATTTAAATTCAAAAGTTGATAAATATGACGCAAACTGGCGTCATACTTGCGCCATGCTATATTTCTTCTGTTTTAAAGCTACTGCAGCTTCAAGAAGCGCATTTGCTTCCTGCAATAGGGGAATGTTAAGGAATTTTACTAAAACTAAACCAACGCCATGGCTAGTTACAGGATATTTCAATTTCACGGACTCATTTCGAGTAAATAATGGTCAAACAAGCAACTTATACGGTTCTTTTTGTCCACCAACTACAGGCAAGTACATTTTTAATTCAGAAGGAGCAGATTGGGTTGGCGGATCTGTGAATAATGTCTTTTATGGCTATGATTATCGTGCTTCCGCAGCTTGGTGCTATGCAGCTCATGTATCCGAAAGCTCAAATCCAATACCACTTGAAAAAGGAAGATGTTACCAATTCCATTCTTGGTCTTGCGCTGATACATGTGGCGGTGATATATACCACTACGCACGTTATAGAACAGAAACTACAACTAACGAATTCGTTAACAGCTATCTCTCCTACGATTGTGTACACAATGATTGTGATATTGGATATGTTGGCTCATCCTGCACGCCAGTAGATCTAGATTGCAATGGAAATGGCGTTCCTAGTGATGGATTGACAGGTGATATCAATACCTGTGTATGTACAAATGGCCTTGAACCATTCTGTGATGATTTGACAACAGTTCCTTCAGGACATGTTGATCCAAAGATGCAGTTTACATATGGAAAAATCATTGAAAGTGAAACATCCGCTGTGTTTGGAGATGTACTTGAATACTCTTCATCATACGCTAATTATACCATTAAAGGTACAATTAGAATACCTCAAAATGGTCAGTATTCGTTCAGAATCAAAGCTCATACAGATGTAAAGCTTGAAATTGCTGATATCAATGTGAATCTTGGATCAATTGATTACAAGAAAATCTTTAATTGCCAAGAAGATGATCCTGTAGAATATGAAACAGGAAAAATGGCTTTAACTAAAGGAGAGCATCAGTTCACGATCACAGGAATTAGTGGATGTGCAATTGAAGATCAATGGCTTTCCTTTGAATGGATGTTCTATAGATACTATATTAGTAAGAACACGACTCCTGAATGGACTTACATTCCAAGAAGATATTTAACTGCTCCCAAATAAAGTTTGTTTGCTTATATCATGCTATTTAGATTTAACTTTAAAATAATCCATTTTGTTTCTAATAAATTTTTATGTGCATATCATATTTCAGCATAATCAAAGATAAGTTCTCATGCTCCTAATATATATTTCCAATGAAATAAGTGAAAGATCTTTTGCAATAAGGTCTTGCTCAGCTATCTCGTTTCTTTCATTATGGAAAAAGTACAAATTTTTTATCTAAAGTGCAATATCTGAAGTTTTTTCAGAGGTTTCGGTGGTGCAGCCGGTTAGCACATTTGTCTTATAAGCAGGTGGTCGCGGGTTCGAGCCCCGCCCGAAACACTTTTTTAATTTTTTTTCGTAATACTACAATAAAAACTTAAAAATAACTAATACTAAGGAAGCTAGAACAATTTTTATTTTCCATAACGTAATATTCGCCAAAAAGATTGAAGAATCTCAAGCATTTCTAAACAAAATTTATTAATAAATTGCGATTTTATTGTGGTCGCGATTTATATATTTAAATCGTGATTAAAAAATTTGTTGCGATTTTCCCTATTAATCGTGTTTCTGTAATAAATAACAATAAACTTTATTAATAAACAAACAATAAAAAATTTCTACTTTTTCTTTGCTGGCTTCTTTCCTTTTGCCTTTGGATCTGGAGGTGGCTCAGTTTGAATCTCAATTTCAGTAGTCGGACATGTATCAATAGTTGTTCCGATATCTTGTTTCGGCCTGCACAAAATTCCATGTGCTGATTGTGCAACTTGAGAAACTCTTGTCATGATTTCTCTCTGATGATTTTCTTTAGCTTCATTCATTATATCTGTTATTTTAGCTAAAACTTGCCTCAATGAGTTATTAAGGTCAGCATGAAACATTGGTTCTTTCATTTCAACAGTCTGTGCAACGTCATGCATCAATGCGATGTAATCAATGATTTGGACTCTGTTCGATCCGATAATTGAAAGCTGTGGTTTCTTTTCAACGTCTTTCACCAATGATAAAAGACTTGCCTGTGATGTATCAGCAGGTGTAAGTGTTCTCCTTGGCTTAGATGGTTTCTTTGGCATCGTTGGTTTGATCATGAAGAATTTTCTTGGATCATCCAAATGATGAGAACTTGTTTCTGTTTCTTCGGGCTGTGGAGGTGGTGGTGGAGGTTCTACAACCTTGTGAACAGGTGGTGGTGGAGGGATACGTGATAGGAGTAGTTCTTTCATCGAACTAAAGTTCTCTGAATCAATGTTCAAGAGAGACAAAGCAAAATTGTAACAAATATCTGTCAATGAATTAAAAATTGTTTTGTTCTTGTCATTGACTTTCATGAGGGCAATAGTTTCATCTGTTAAAGGTACAAGCTTCTTCTGAATGTCACAGAATAATTCATCGTAGTATCCACGCTGTTTTATCAATCTTTTGATTGTATAATTTAATCTTCTGACGTCTTCATTTGTTTTCTCGATTTGATCGCTTAATTCATGTATTTGCGATGAAAATTTATCATTTGTTGACCATAATTTTTGCAATCTCTCTGATGGTTCTGGAATTGAAGAATAATTTATAGCTCTAAGTGGCGAAAGTTCGGATAAAAGCTTTTCAATTGTTGCATTCTGTTGCTGTATAATATTTCTCATAAGATTGAGGAGTTCTGGTGGATTTGATTGTTCAGAAATTTTATTTACTAAATCAGGATCGATATTTGTTCCAAAATCTGCTTTATTATATTGTATTGACTTTGGTATATTACAAACATTATCAAATGGCTGAAATTGGCCATTGAAATCAGCTGATTTGTTTAGATTTGTTCCGTAATTCATAAGTTCTGTTAATTCTGTTTGCATTACAGTAGAAATGTTGGACAATAATGATGGTGATATGGAATTCATGTTTCTGCGCTTAGACATTGCATCTTTGATGAATTTTGATTCTTCTGATTTTAGTATTTCGTTTTCTTCCAAAAGCTCGTTATGGTAGTTGATTAAGCCTGAAACATTACCATATTTTTCAACTACAGCAATTGAAGAGTTAGTTGAGTCTTCAACAACAAGAATTCTTTTTTTAAGAGCGTAAGTCAGTTCTTCAAGTCTTGAAAATAGTAAATCACGTGTTTTTAATTCAAATAGATCCTTTTCTGGCGATAATTGCGATACTTGCGCAAGTGCTTTTGGTGATGCAAGAGGTTTGATTTGTAATATTGCTTGTTCAATTTCGTGTATTGATTCTATTAACTCTGATTTTGAATTTGGAGGATTTCTTGCAAGTTCATGAATAAATGATGTATTTGTATCAAAAGTATTGTATTGAGATGTGATAACATCTACCTTCTGTTGTAGTTTGTCGAGAACTTTTGCTTTTTCTTCATTATTTGCTAATACTGCATCCATAGAGTTATTTTCAATAGCGTATAATTTTTTTATCTGGTGGATTAGTTTATCTTTCTCATGTGTAGTGGAAGCTGTCAATGCCAACTTTATAGTTTTCATAATGTCATCGGCAGCAAATAATCCGTTGTCGATAATTTCATCAAATTCATCCATTTTTCGTTATAAATTAAAAAAAAATTCTAACAAGAAAAAAAAAATTATGGCACTTTTCTAAATCTTTGTCACTTTTGTAAATCCTATGGGAGAATATAGTGCTGTAGAGGACTTAGGCACTGAGCAGAACGACTCCTTCATGGGTATTGATGCGCATAATAGGTTCAATGACTTTATGACCATCTTATTTTTCATCCTTATGATTTTGGCCGCTGGAATTTCAGGATTATTTGCGCCAAGACAAAGACTACTTCATGGTTTCCCACAACTCATCGAAAGTGGAAATACTAAGAGGTTGCAGTTAAATGTTACACGAATTACACCAGCAAATATGTACTACAAAGCGTATTTAATGTTGAATTACTTTCCAAGTCAAAAAAGAGTAAATATCAATCTCGATATAAACGTAAGTTACGAATGTTACGAAAAAGGTAACATATCATGGTCAAATTCAAAAAGATTTTATCGAACTTGGAGATTCAACGAAATCGAAAAGCCACAAAACTTCTTGAGACTTGATATTGAAAGTGCACGCTTTACGGAATGCGAGGAAATGAGATACGATGTAAATTATTCAAAACATGATAAAACTTTTTCTTCGGCTTTGATGATTGAGCAAGGTAATAACGCATACTATGCATTCATGTCAAGCGTAAAATTACTGTTTTTCCTATCAATTACGCTCATTAATTTTTGGTTTGACAAAAAGATTCCAAAAATTACAGAATCTTCAATTGCTCCTCAGCAGAGATACACGAGATACCTTTTACGAATAGCCATTATCTGTATTTTCCCTACGAATATCCTTACAATGCTGTTTTTAACAAGTTTTTCGTTATTAGTTGACATTCTTGCATTTAATTTCTTAGTGGCATCGATAGCTCTATTTTCTCTTTACATTATTGATGATTTACAGTATCAAAACTCAAAAATTTACAAATCATATTTCAGAATCAAACTTTTTTATGTGATTATCTACTTTTTAGTAGGTTCATTACAAAGTTTGAAGGTTCCTTATAACATCAAAATCAATATTAGTGTTGTTTATTTCTTTGTTCATATGTTTTTGATTGTTTGGTTAATTTACATCATAATTAAGGTTTATATTCGAGTCAGTGGTGATGAATACTACAAAGTTCGTATATATTCCTTTGTTTGCATCTTCACGGAGCTTATTATTCTTAGTAATGGCCTTGGTTTCTTAAATAAGAAATATATTGCAAGTTCGGCAATGCCGCAGATGCTTATAAATTCCGTGGTCGTGTTTTATGTCAATATTATGGCATTCTTCCATTGGCCATTCGATAATGCTCGAGATAGAGAATATACAACAGATAATATGAAAGATAATATGATTGAAGACTTCGCTGATGATCTCATGATCAAGTCTAATGATAGCGATCCATTCGCTAAGCAAGAAAACCTTTCAGATCCTTCAGGAGAATCTGATTCTCAACTTGAAGCGACACCCGCTGAAACAAAATGACCAATTATAGTTTGATTGTTGTATTTAATAAAATTTTATATTATTTATATTCTGTTTATCAAAAATGACCCAAAATATTCTTTTTTTATTTACTTTTTTAACAATATATCTCCTTTTCTTAGATATAACATTCATTTCATAGAATATTATCTTTGTAATAATGCAGTATTCTGCTCATTTATTATAAATGTTTTTCATATTGACGATCAATCTTCCAACTCATAGAATTTGTTCGCGAGATGAAAATGGAAGTGTTACTTTCTGCCGTATGGAAGAATGGGACCCTACGTTGTCTCAAATTCCTTGCCAATATCTTCCTCCGAGATATGTCGAATGCATTACACACTCCTTCGATAAATTTGCAAATCAATTCGAAAATGGAACACTACCTAAAAATGGATGTCCTTCAACAACAGATGAAAACGCATTTGGAATGGCAATTTGTCATCCATTAAATGGAATTTATTGTATTGGAGAACAATATTGGATCAACAAAACCTATCCATGTTACGAACCAGGCGAAAAATCAGTAGTTACGGCGATATTATTTTCATTCCTGTTAGGAATATTTGGTGTCGACAGATTTTACTTAGGATATTACTTCTTAGGCTTTTTAAAGTTGTTTACGCTTGGAGGTTTCACTCTTTGGTGGGTAATTGATTTTATTCTATTATCGTTCGGTGTCTGGGGTCCAGTTAACGGAAATTACGTCGGATTCTACTGAAACTAATACTGTATTCATTTACCTCGTGTTTAATGCAATAATAAGAAATAATATATCTTTAAATTCATATGTAGTACTTCTTGCATACACGCAAGTATATTAGCCTCTATTTAGCTACGAAATATTAATAAAGTGTTTGTTTTCATCTTTATCTTTCAAAAGATTTGTTTTTCTCGCTATTCTCAGGTCAACCATAATATACCATATACGTTTTTATAGCATACACAATAGAGAAAATGTCTGAAATGACAAATATCAAAATATCTCGTTATTTAGCAATACTCGATATTTCGATCTGGCATTATGCAGATTAGCCTAATTTTCAGATGTCAATGTGATGTCAAGCATAATTGATGAGATTTATCCTGCATTTTATCACCAAAATTCCTTACAAAAATTTCTACAGTCTCTAACTTATTTTTCAAAGAGTAAATGAATTGGCATAAATATTCGTCATTGAATTTATTTGAATAAAAATCATAAAAAATATGAGAAAATCTTATAACGTTGAAGACCCTCAAAAGTTATTGCCTGTTCATTATAGTTCATTCCATTATAAGGCATTATATGAAAATCCGAATGAAACGCCTCCTCCTGTTGATCAATTTGCTCCGTTATTATCAAAAAAGATCGTTAAAGCAAAAATTAAATACAATACAAGGGGATCATCATCACAAGGATTTAGAAGTAGAGCTCCTTTTTCACCTCAAAATACAATCAGATCAATAAATACTCCAAATATAATTCAAAATACAGGAGAAACGCCTCTAGGAAGCTTAGACGAACATATAAGATGTGAAGATTGCTTTGATAAGATCATTTCTGGCTCTTTTGACGCTCCACTTGCATTTTTAGTCGAAACCAATTTTACAACGTTCTTTTTTGCACAGCGAGTTCACTTTTTCCACGATATATCAAGTATACAATACTTATATGGTCCTACTTTGGGCATTTCAGTTCCATATGGATCTGGATTAGTCGGATATTGCCATTATTCAAAGAAACTCATTCGAATCAATGTAGCAGAAGAACATGCTTCTTATCAGCCAGTATATGATAAGCGCCTTTGCAATCCTGAATCATCAATTATGTTAATTCCGATTTTTTCTGCAAATGGATCTACGAGTGCCATCATAGAAGTCGTCAGAAATACACCATTTGGCGATGAAGATGAAGCCCGCGCTCAGTATTTCCAAGAAAAATTCAAGTTATACTCAAAATGGATTTTAAATCCACAACTTCCTGATACAGCATTCTCAGATTTCTGTCTTGCCAATAGATATGGAGTTTTTGTTGACAGAACATGCCAACAGCTTACTAAATACTTCATGTGCAAGATTGCTGAGCTCTGGCAATACAATAATCAAACTCACGAGCTGTTTCAGCTTGTTCCTGGCCTTCCAACACCTCAATTTGTCCAAACATCAGATGCAGGAATTGTCGCGCACTCTTTAATCCATAAGGTCTCTGTTTCCGCTGACAGAAGTGATAAACACGCCGCATTTAACGCAAAAACTGATATTGCTGACCAATCCATTTTAGTTTTGCCAGTTATTGGACCAACAAATGCAATGACGTATGGTATTGCATTACGTGGTAAAAGACAACCTGCTTTCTTCACAGATTCCGATGAGAAACTATTAGCGAGAGTTTCTCCAATAATTTTTTCAAGTTTAGCAGCGAGTGAAGCGATTGAAGAGAGCCACAAACAAGTTGAAGCATCAAATGTTGCTCAGAACAGACTTAAATCTCTTCTTGATGTCGCTAAATCAATTTCCTGCCAATTGGATATAAGAGAATTGATCCCAATGATTATGAACAAAGCCTGTGATTTAGTGTGTGCGGATAGATGTTCATTGTTCATGGTAAATGAAACAAGAGACCAGTTATATACATCTTTCTCAGGTGGTCTTGCCAATTCCATTTATATCCCTATCAATGCAGGTATCGTTGGTTCATGTGCGATGTCTCAATCAATTCTAAATATAAGAGATGCTTACGAAGATCCAAGATTCAACAGAAACACTGATAAGCAAACAGGTTATAGAACTAAAACATTGCTCTGCGTTCCAATTATCGATGACCATGGAAATATCCAAGGTGTTACAGAGATGATCAATAAAATGGATGGACATTTCTCATCAGATGATGAACAAATGATGGAAGTTTTCAATGTTTTCTGCGCTTTAAGTATAGAAAACGCGAAATTGTATAATGCATCAATAGAATTGACGATGCAGCTTAAATCAATCATGGAAATATCACAGACTCTCACAAGAACATCTGAAATGCATTCAGTTGTCGATAACATTCTCAAAGACACAAGAAAAGTTATTGGAGCTGGAAGAGCACTTTTGTATTCAGTGAAAGGAGATAATTCAACGGAACTTTTATCATTGAATGAAGATGTTGAACTCAAGAAGAAGAGAGAAAGTAAGAGAACTGATGAACAGAAGAATTTGACTAAAAGAGCAATGATTAACGAAATGATGACAGGAAGAAAAGAAAAGGTGACAACAAATGATGAAGATGATAACGAAATTTTAGATACAATGTCTAAAGCGATTCTCAGAAGACAGTCTATTATTCTTGACAGCGATGATATTACTAAAGGAACTTTGGCTTGTCCAATCTTGACAAGAGATAGAGCAAATGTAATTGGTTGTTTGGTAATGCAGTGCAAGTTGAAGGGAAGTTTGCACTTCCAAAAGACTGATTCTGATATGATTGAGTCATTCTCTATCTTTATGTCCATAGCACTTGAAAAAATGGCTCAAGTTCAGACATCAGATGCGACAAGTTAAAATTTGTAATAATATTTTTGTTATATTTGTTTGATAAAAACTATAAATTAGCTTAATATATTAATTATTTGTTTACATTTTGATATTATTTTTTGATAATAAAATATCATTTTGTAAATCTCCCTATTTGAAGGTTTTATTCATTTCTATAAATTAGTTTAAAAGAATGACTGCATATTGTGTCCGGTAATTACTGGATATAATCCTAATCATAAAAAAAATATTGTATGAATTTGAAAGGACGTCTGGTCAATTTATCACTGATATGTGTATTTCATTAACAGCATTTATTTGTTGCATCTATATGCAATCTGGATATTGATCGGAAAAATTAGCCATGGTTTCAAAACATTGATCTAAATTTATCATATTATATCCAAAAATGTTAATGATGTGTTTTTGGATGATTAAAGATGCAAATATGTTAATCCCTTCAGTATACTGCTTCAAAATATGCGTGAAATCGGGTGACACTACTTGCAATTGAACAAACTCACAATTGGCGTGATGATGCTAAATTGAGAATGAATTAAATCAATTGATGTCAAAAATTTTATTTGACGCAATAAAAATTGACGATAATTTGAGACGTTAGAAACAGAGAAAATCAATGGATTATACAAAATGGAGCTCCAAGGACCTCGCTCAACAATTAACTAATCTCGGATTTTCGGCGTATGCTAGAAACTTTCGAGTAAATGAAATTAAAGGCTGTCATCTTCCAAATGTCACTGAAGATCACTTAAAAGAAATGGGAATTACTAAAATAGGTCACAGAATACTACTTCTCAAACGTATTAGGCAAATTGTAGATGGTGAAACACCAAAACCTGTGAAAATAAACGCGCAAGATTCTAATCCAAGTTCTAGACCTTCATCGAATTTGAGTTCTGCACCTCCAATACAACAAGAACAAGAAAATAATATTCCGCCACGTATTGCACAACGTCGACAACTTCAACAAGCTCAACAAGCCGCACCTGAGCCGCAAATGCAAATACAACAGAAAATGGCCCAACAACTACAACAGCTGAATCAAGAACCAGCAAAGGAGCCTTCATCTGGAAGGACATCAAAGATTCGATATCCATCTTCTCACTCTTCACGAGAACAAAAGGAGACATTTAGTTCACAAGAACCACCACCATCAGAATCTAGCGGTGACGGCGAAGAAAAAGTTACATGTCAATATTGTGGAAGAAAACTTCCTCCTGATGCTGCTAAGCGTCACATTCCAGTATGCGCAAAGATACGTGGTAAGACAGCTAAGAAATAATAGATGTGCATTTTTAATTTTCTGTGCAAAATAAATTATATTGTTAATTTTTTATAGTTTAAACCATATGTTTTTATCATGATTATAAACAGCTAATATATTTATCAGTAGTATGTTGATTATATGCAAAAACTATGATTGATTACCGATAATAAAAAATCAAACAGTTTAAAACTCTAAAACTAATGATGAACATGCCAGACTTCAACAGCAATGATCTTGAAGGACTCATTATTAGCCAGCGGTGGAGAATCAAATGTTTTGCACTGGGATGTGAAACAATTCATGAAGTTGTCATCGATATAAATGGCACTGCCATGATCGAGAGATCTTTGTGAACCACCACCGATGATAATATCCTTCTTTGAGCAAGATAAAAAGAGATCATTATTCTGAGTCCAACGGAAGCCAGCAAAATAAGGATTGAAGTGGAAAACGCATGTTTCTCCATTTCCGTAAAAGCCATCTCGGATCTGGATTCCTTCTGGAAGGAAAGCTCCGACTCTGGATCCATCTTTTCCAAGAAGAATGAGAACAAGAGCTGTTTTCTTATCAGTCTTTTCATAAAGGGTCGAGAATGAAACACCGTGTTCGGCTGCCGAGAAAAGTAACTTCCATGGGAGCAGACGGAATCTCTTTGGAAGGAAAAGTCGTATATTTTCTATCTCAGGAAGAGACACTATGGATGATTCTTGGCTCATGATGAACTTGTTTTCACGGAGCATTGCTTGTTCATTCATGAGTGCTTCGATTTGGAAAGATTGTGCACGTGTTCTCAACTTTTTGTGGAGGTTGTCCGTAGAAATGCTAATGTTGATTCCTGATTTAAGCTTTTGGATGATTGCTTCCACTTCTCTTTTGAATTTTTCGAGATCCGATCGGATAGCAGTAAATGTAATAACATTGACAGTGTTTTGATTGAAAACATCAGCTAAATGGGTGATTACGAGAAGTGCTGGTTTATCAGGATCGCTGGGATCCATATCGCCATGTGGTGAAAAATAATCTGAAATTGTTATTTTGATAATACCGATTATGCTTATTACAGTTGATCGTGGCATGTTGTATTCAATTGAGTCATGCTCAAAATATAATTCAATTCCATGGTAATATAGAGAAGACGGAATTTGAACACCTAGATTATTAAAATCTGCAACCCCGTATATCTTATGAACTTCTTCTCTAAGTGGCATGAATTCTTTGAGACTTGATGGCCTACATACGCTTACTGGTGACAATATAGACATTTTTTGTTTTTTGAAATCAAAAAAGTGACGAAAAATTTGATTTAATATCGTGAAAAATTTGCAAAATCTAATATAGTTAATCCATTTTTTCATTCAATACCTTTCAATTTATTTCAATACTCAGTAGATTTTTAGCATTAAATTTTTGATATAAATTGTTGTATTATTAATTCTATTTAAAATTTGTTTTATGTCTTAAATGTAAACCGCGATTTCTTCACAAAAAATAAAATCAACACCGTTACTCAAATTTAATCATAAAAAACTTTCGACTTAAGTCGTGGAGTTTAACATTATTATAAGAATGATCAACGGCGCTGCAAAATTTCCTTCAAAATTTGAAGTCTTACTTGACCAAATATGCAATTCAGATTTTTGAAGGCGAAATAAAATCCAAAGTCGTCCATTCAATCCTAACGTCTTTTTATACCACTAGTTGATTTTCCATTCATTTTACTCATTATTGTTTGCTGATTGATAAATTATCGGCAATAGTGAAAATATGCATAAAATCGAAGATTCAACATTTTATTCTCGCAAAAATAGTTTTAGTTTTCACAAATTAAATTTTGTAATTGATGTGTATGAATATTCTTTCATTTAAATAAAGAAAAATAAGGAATTGATGAAATTATACATAGAAATGATATTTTTCTTTTTCAGAAATGTTTTATTTCTTCAGTGTAGCATAGTTTTTTCTATTTTTCAGGAAAACTTAAGTTTTGAAATTTTGAATCGACACTTTTATGCACGTTTTTCTTTCTTACACAGAGTTTTGTTGAATGGGGTGTGGGCATAGCGTTTCTACAGAAGCCAAGCAAAGCCCTACTAGTCGTGTCCCAACAACTAAAGCACCGATTAAACTCTTTTATCTCCCAGGAAATGTTAAAATTACATTGACAAAGTTAGTTTCTGCGGGTGTGATGAGTTCCGAAGCGACAACGACATCTGCTGGAAATTTCAATCTCAATGCAAGATTTATTGATATTCCAAACCAACGTTCTGTTAGAAAATTTTGGACCAAAGAAATTACAAGCAAAACAGTGGATTGTGCAATGTTTATATATCTAGCAGATATACGAGAAAAGCCAACAATGCTTTTGAACATCAAAACACTCAATTGGTTATTGAAACAAATCGATCAAAAAGGACAGTTATATATTGTAATAATATGTAGCAACGAGCTAGAGCTCTCTGAATTTAAATCACACATAAGTGCACCAGATCTAGATTTAATTGTTATCAAAGATTCAGATCCTGAAACTGTTATCCAATTTACTGAAGTTGTCACTGGTGAAATCATCAAATTCAACGAAAGAAAGAGAAAATACAATGAGGCATCTCCAAGAACACGCTAATTGTGCTATTCTGTTTATTATTGTATTCATTTTTCAAATTATTTTGTTTGTATTAAATATTTTGTATGTATTTGAAAAGGTTATGAAGATATAATTTTGAAAAAGTAATGAGGATAGAAAAAAATTATTGAGTGTCGATATTTCTATAATTTTTTATTTTAAACTGGATGTAAAAGTGTTACCCATGATAATTTGTTAAAATTCGAGTTATGATATTTAAATGATGTAAATATATTATATTTAAATTATTTCAAATCAATGAATAGCCTGCGTAGCATAGTGGTTATTGCGTGCGCCTTGTAAGCGCAAGGTCGCCGGTTCAACTCCGGTCGTAGGCATTCATTTTTGAATTTTTTCCTCCCAAAATGAATTTCAAAAAAAAATTATTTTATAAGACTTCAGATTTTTTACTAAATGTATTTTCTGGCATATTCATACCAAAAAGTCTATTGAAGAATCATAGGAAAAAATTTTATTTAATATTGATCAAATGATTTCAATTGCATCAGGGAATTAACAATGATTTCTGTATTTCTCTCAGTATCTAGAACTAATGACAAGTTTATAGCTATTCAACAAAAAGGGTAATTTCTAGAAAGAAATGTAGCTCGAAGAATGATGGTTTTGAGTCTTTAGAACTCCAGTTATTGCAATTAACAAGTAGATCCGAAATAATTTGAGTAATTGGTAAAATACGATTAGTAGAACTCGGAATATTAGCGTATCTATCACGATGATAGTGCAATTTCCCAGTAACATCATTCAAGCTTGGGTTTAGATATTTATTTGCCATTTAATTGATAACAAATTGACAAATCAACTCTCATCAAAAGAAATATGTCAATTTTTGTATTAATTTGATTATCACCAAAATAAGTAAATTCTTTTCATAAATAAAATATGAGAGAACTGAGCTGCTTTTGTTGCAATAAAATTTTAAAAATTCTCAAAACTAACAAATTTTGAAAATTGAACATTGAGCAATAAATTCTATTTATTATAGATCAGTTTCTATTATTTATAATTTTGATATTTTATCTAAATCGATTTAAAGTTTGATATTAAGAGATAATATTACCAAAAAAATTACAAAATTTAAAAAATGTTATTATTGTTCAAGTAATTTGCAATCATTTTCAAGAATTTAAAAAAAATTTGGAATTCTTATGAAGCAGATAAACTCCAACAATAACCTAATAAGGCTATACCTACCAATAATTCCTTTCATATCCCCGAAAATAATTGGATACGCTGATTAAACAAATAAATCATCATAGCACAGTAGCTTGTTTTCAATACTTACAAAAACATCTTCTATTCTTTCTCCTGTTCAAGATTTTAACGTCTTTTCAAAATAATATCCCCAATTATTTGCAAATACAAATACAAAATGTTATGTCCATTAATTTTTATACAAATAAAACCATTCTGATTATCCAAGAGATTGTGTATTTTATTAGAAATTAAATAAAAATAAAAAATTACTGATGTTTTGATCAAAATGTATTTAAAATACAAGCACTAGAGTTAGATATCTCTTGAAGACAAGAATTGATTGCTAAATATGATATTAAAACCGATATTCCCTTCTATTACGGAAATTATAATGTAAAAAGAGAAATACACAATTACAAAAGTAATCTATAACATACATTTAACTAACAAAGGCTTTAAAAGCCCATATAAAAGATTCTAAAAAAATATGAAAATCATTCGATTTTAGCGTGCAGCCATTCGTATGTGACCCAAGATTCTCTTAATACAAGCTTCGCAAATTTGCTTTTGTCCAGTTCAAGACAAAATATTATCGGAGAATAAATGATAAACGAGATTAATGAACCTACTATTATCAGAACACCCAAAGCAATTGCCAATTTTGGGTATTTCCGCGATAACAAAAATATATTCGTCGATATCATTAAAAAGCCGAACATAAAAGATAGCAAATAATGATATAAAAACGTTGAACGATTAACAAATGAGAAAGGAATAAACGAAGCCAAATATCCGAATAAAAATATCGATAAAACGATTGATATCTTAATACTTTCATATTTAGCTTCTGGATTTAATATCGTTCTGTAGATCACATATAATGAAACGAATACCGTGATTAAAACCAAAATTGAATTGAAAATATTGAGATGAAGCAAAATTTTGTGAGTTGTATTGTGCAGGAAGAAAGGAATTAAGTTTCCACCCATCAATGGCCACTGCCACCACCTTGTAGCGTATCCTGGCTCAATTGGATAATATGAATTTTCAATATGAGCTAATTTTATCATTTTCAAAGCTTGCAATATTAAAGAACCCTTAATACAGTCTTTCCAATCTTCCTGAGCACTATTTAGTTTAAGTTTTGGACAAAATTTCCCAGAATCTTTTGGATTTACATTTGGAGTAAGTTTTAAATGCAATATTAGTACACTTAAGTATACGGTTATAAAAATAGAGGCGAATACAAGCGAATACGCAATAAATTTATAAAATATATCTATTTTGAGTTTTCCATTTGATTCTGTTAGAAATTCTGCTAAAATTTTGATAAATATGACATAGAATACAAATGGAATGAGCGAAAAAGAAGTGTGTTTTATAGATCCTGTAAGTGAAATTGAAATGCAAGTGAAAATGTATTTGATATTAAACTCTTTTGCTGAAACTGGTATATTATACAACATGGCAACCATTAGTATCGATAAAGACGTAAAACAATGAAGGATTCCATCAATAAGTATAAATCTTCCTTCAATTACTAAACAATCTTCAATCGTAGTCAATATCATTGCAATCAAAGAAGAAAAAATGTTGATATCAAAATATCTTAAGGCTAAATAATTAAAAGGGGCACAAAATGATGAGAAAAATACAGTAACCATACGTAGTTTTGTATATTGGCAGTCACTGAGATATGGACTGAAGCTTGGAAAAATGCATTTCCCATCATATTTAAGAATTCGAGCGCCAAAATATAATAATATCTTACCAAATGGCGGATGAACATCTATGAAGAATTGCTTTTGCATATAAAAGTTTGTAAAATTTCCGAAAAATTGTTCATCGAATGTGACCGCTTTCGGAACTGAAATATTGTAGCTTCGTATTATAAATGAGCATATATAAGCAATAACAGCAATTAGAATATCAATATATGATATATTTTGAGTTGTTCGAATGGTAAAATACGAATTAAGATTGAATTGGATATAACCTTGATTGATTTGCGATCTAAAAACGTTAGGACTGTTAGTTGTTTTGACGTTGCTCTTGTTTTTCTTTGGTTTAAAAAAGAAGAACAGAATCTCTGACAAACTTATATTGTTTTGACTGATTGACTTTTCACACATCAGTCTAACATGACCTTTGCTTATAAATTTAAACTCAAAAAAAGAATTATTATTATTTTTTTAAAAATTTCAAATTTACATTACCTTTTTAATCTGTGAAAGATCAGATTAATTCAAACCTTTTCTTATGCCTCAGCATTGACATTTTCTTCAGCCTTTTCGTCAACTTTATCTGTTGTCTTTTCGTTATCCAAATCCTTGGCATCGGCATCATCCTTTTGGTCACTGTTTGGATCACTATCATGGTCAAGAGCTTCTACAGTGTCAGGCTCATGAATAACAAAGAAGCCGAAAATTGTACCAGCAATAACGACAATACCATAAAACAAGAAAGTTCCGAGGGAACCTATCTTAGATTTTGTCATTGCAGGAGAAGCATAAACAATGATGAAAGAGAATAACCAAGATGTCATACCGTTAATGGAAGAAGCCATTGGTCTGACAGCAAGAGTGAATCTTTCTGGAGAACAATACCATGGCATTGGTGCAAGGCCTAAACCGAACAATGTTCCAGTCATATTTTGAGTTGAATCCGAACAAAATAAGAGATGCAGCGCATACAACGCCTGAAATGCACCACATTGCCTTTCTGCCCAGACACTTAACTAAACCACCTGAGAAGAAACAAGCGATAAGTTGAGCAAGTGTAGCAATAGTTGATTGAATACCTGCTGGAACACCTTCAATCTTAGCTTTATCGAAAAGCTGAGAAAGATCTGAGAGAATAGCATTAATGCCTGAGAATTGCTGTGTCAGAATAATGAGGATGAGGCATGTAAGATTCCAAATGTACTTAACTTGGAAAATTGACTCCTTTGTTTGATTTTCTTCTTCATTGGAAACATCACGCTTGCGAATAGCTTCTTTAGGAATAAGGAAGATCAAGAAACTTTGAACAACATGTGAGACAATACTGTAGAATGAAACCTTGAAGGATTCTGATTACGAAACCCATCCAAAAGAGTTTTTCTGTCATGAATACTAGAATGAGCCACAAAATAACGCTAGCAATATTAATGATTAAAGCAACATACCTACGACCAACATTAAACTTGAAAAGTAACGATGGAATATAAGGACCAATAGCACCTGTGAGCTGTGTGATAGCTACGAAAAGTCCCCAGTTATCTGGAAACGTGTTCCAATGTTTTCTGAAATAATATGCTGCTGGAGATGGATATCCAATGATATATCCAAAACCTAATGGCGTGAAACATACGATGGCTGCATATAACAGCTCCCTTTTGAAGAATGACATTTATTAATATTCGCTTCTGTGATAAATGAACTAATAAAGCTTTCAATCTCTGATCGTTTTTTCGCTCTCAAAAAATTGATATAGGTATGGGAATAATCATCATTTACTATTTGCTTTATAATAGAAGGAAGGTTGAAATAATGAAATGAAAGAAGATCGGCCATTCGATCTATTAATTTCCTAAAGCATCACATCAATTAAATTCAATAGGGGATTTGAAATTTGACGGTGACATGTTCTGAAAATTTGGATTGGTCTCAATTAATTTTGTTAAATATTAGTACGCGTAAAATTTTGTATATAGTAAAATTGATCTATTTATGCCGGGAGAATAAGAAAATTTTGCAAATTACCTCAGACTTTTCAGAGGATTGAGTGGCAACTCAATCCTCTGAAATAGTCTGTGGTAATTTTTAGTCTCTACACTATTTCAATATAAGCTCCATTTTTAAACAGTTTTTAAAAATCGAGCATTGAAAAGTGTGATGAGACTTGAGAATTTATGACATTATTAGATTGAAAGTAGATATTTGACAGAAATTCGACCACACAAGTTAGAAAATGTTCTCAATACTTTTAAGAAAGTTTGTTTAATAAGGATTATCCGTGATTTCATCAAAATATTACAAAAATCCAATTAAAATTGTTTTTAAAAACAAATTTTATGAATACCATTTATCTACACTGTGCATTCATATTATAATACATTATGAATTAAGAGTGTTACAGGTTAGAAAAATTAATTATTTTTGAAGAACTCACTTTAGCATAAAATTATCGTAGGTATAAATCAACTTAGGAGAACAAATAATTATGGCTTGCATAGTTTGTAATATTTTGGTTCATAAAGTTTATATTGTCTCAAATAAAAAAAATTATTATCTTATTTTCATTATAGGGATGTTATATTTGAAGAGAATGTAAAGTCCCAGTAGTATATTGGTTAGAATAGATCCTTGACACGGATCAGAGGCCAGTTCGATTCTGGCCTGGGACATTTTTTCTCAAATATTTTTTTCTTTGATTTTATTCTGAATTCCACATTCGAATTCTTCAAAATATCAAGTATCTTACCTTTACAATTGATTAAAAACAATTTGGAAAAAGAATTTTGATTGAAATCCGAATTTATTCAATTTTAAAATTTTGAATGGATAAAAATTTTTATAGTTTTACATAAATTTTTTGATAAATTTCATCAAAAACAGCACTTATCACAATATTTTAGACCGGAGAAAATGAAACATATCAGTCACATATTTCATTCTCTCATGTTAATCATAATATGAATCCAAAATCAAGTGGTGTTGAAATCACTGACAACGGCGGTGGGAGTTTTACTGTCACAGTCGAGTCTGGTACTCCCGATTTTACATTTCGCGATCGATCAGACGTTGTATCAGTCAATACCGTTGGTTGCACTAATTTACCAAGTAATTGTTTCTACAACTGCACATTTCGCGAATTCACTGCAGACCAATCTCTCACTACTATTGGCTCGTATGCATTTTACAAATGTAATAACTTAGAAACGATAACAACACCATCTATGTCTAAAATCGAAGACAACTCATTCTCATTCTGCACAAAACTGAAAACATTATCATTTCCAGAAAGTATGACATACATTGGGGACTCATGTTTCACAAACTGCACTCAAATCACAGATCTTTCATTTGGGGGCAGCATCACACACTGTGGAAGTTCTTGTTTCTCAAACTGCGATTCACTGATTAATTTAACATTCAACAACATTGATCTTAGCGATAATTCATTGAGTGGAATCACATCTATCGAAAACTTTGTTATTAAAGGAAGAATTTCTAAAATCAATTCAGCAAATATGGATCCATTAAAAAACTATGTCAAGAAAATAGAAATAAACCAAGCATTTCCAGATGAAATTTTTGGCAAAGCAGATGATTACGAATACGCAAATTCGGGTTGGAGTACTGTTTATAATACAAACACAGACTTATTTTCAAATTTTATTAAACTTGAGTTTTTTCAAGTAAATACAAACTTTTATTATGCAGATAGAATTTTTAACAACTGTCCATTATTAACTCATTTTATTATTCGAGGAAGTTTTTGCCATTATATATTTTGCTGGGATGTTTCTGAATGCAGGGATAGGCCATATGAAGGGGCTCGTTCTTTTCAAAATACACATATCAAATATATAGAGGTTAATAAATTTTTAACAGTTCTTGGTAGTGACTTGAACTGGTTAAATGATGCAATTTATATTAATATTTCTCATTTTTATATCCCAGATGAATTTGGTTCTAAAGGATACTCTGGTAGACCTCCTTTCATTCCTTTATCACAGAATGTTAAGGAAATATACGCATCATCAAGATTTTTTTATTATATAATTCTTCCAAATGATCTTCCATATTTAAACATTTTAACAATTAATAGAATTGATTATTCAGATGAGCTTGGTTATACATACAGATATGATATTATTCAAAATTCTAACCCTCTTTTATTTCTTAACTGCTCAAATGCCAGGAATCTCAAAGAAGTGAGATGTGCCAACAAATCATATGAATTTGATATAGGTTCATATGGATTTTATAATTGTTATAATTTAGAAGTCATTGACCCAAACATTAATATCAGTGGTGAATGGATTTTTTACAATTGTTCCAAATTGAGAGAAATCAGTGTAAGTGGTACATTATTACCAAATGCTATTTCAAATTGTGAAAATCTCAAACTAATTCATTTTAATAATGTTTCATTAGAGGAAACAAGTTGTATTTCCGAATGTCCAAATTTAGAGATATTAGATTTTTCTAAAGTTTCATCTTTCTCAACAGTGCCAAATTCATTTCTCGGACTTAAAAATATCACAGTTCTTCATCCATTGAGATTAATAGGTTCTAATTGGATGAATGAAATAGAAAATGTGAGTGTAATATTACCTAAAGGGCTTTCAAATGTGAATAATAATGCATTTTCAAATTGTCACACCTTAGTTAATATTGATATTCAAGATGTAACTACAATAGAAGAAAGAGCATTTTATTCATGCACTTCTTTGAAATATATAAAACATTCTAATCATATTATACAAATCTCAGATTATGCATTTTGGAAATGTACATCACTTTTAGAATTTCAATTTGGAGATCAAATTCAAACTATTGGTTCCTGTGCTTTTGCTTATAATATATTCCATACTATCACTATTCCTTCATCAATCCAAACTATTAGTTCACAAGCATTTATTTACTCGAGCAATCTTGATACAGTAATTTTTATGAAATCACCATCTATAATCGAAACACAAATTTTTTCATCATGCAATTTATTAAAGAATATAACATTTGTTTCATCCGATTCCGACGTTGAAATCGCTCCAAGTGCATTCTCCGACAATCCGAAATTAGAATATGTTCGATTGCCGTCTACATTGAAAACTCTAGGCGATTCGTCCTTCATGAATTGCGTTGCTCTTCCTACCATAACAATCCCAGATTCAGTCACAACAATTAATAATAAAGTCTTTACGAACTGTAAAACATTAACATCCATTCAACTCTCAAATACATTAACAACAATTGGTGAATCAGTTTTCATGGATTGTACTTCTCTTCCTTCAATAATAATTCCAAATTCAGTTACATCAATCGGAACAACAATCTTCAAGAATTGCATCTCACTAACAAATATTGAACTCTCGAATAACTTGGCAACAATTAGTGTTTCAGCATTCATGCATTGCACTTCTCTTCCTTCAATAACAATTCCAAATTCTGTGACAACAATTGATAATTCTGCTTTCATTGACTGCACTTCTCTTAGATCCATTCAACTCTCAAATAGCTTGATAACTATTGGTTCCAAATGTTTTTATAATTGCGCAGCATTGGACCAATTAACAATTCCTGACTCTGTTGAAATTATTGACACTGAAGCATTTTCAAAATGCAATTCATTGAGTAGCATCGTTTTATCATCTTCATTAAGAGAAATCCGATCATCTGCATTTTTCAGATGCACAAATCTTAACAATGTTGTTATTCCTAATTCAGTTCAAACAATTGGAACTAATGCATTTATGAACTGTGAAAATATGAAAACATTCACATTCAACAACAACATTCGAGTTATTGAAACAAGTTTGTTTGAGAATTGCTATCATCTTGAAACGATCACATTACCAACTTCTACAACGACAATCAAGAATCGAGCATTTTATTCATGCCGAGATCTTGAAACAGTAATAATGAGTGATGGTGTTACAGATATTCAAGAAGAATCATTTTCACAATGTACCAGCCTGAAAAATATTAACTTACCAAAATATCTTCGTCAAACAAAACGTAATATTTTTAATAATTGCCAATCATTAACAAACATTACATTTCCCGAAAATATTGATAGAATAACCAGTTTTACATTAGCATACTGCTCGAATCTATTAGAAATTACAATTTCACCTAATTGCCAGGTTCTCACAGATGCATTTAAAGGATGCATAAATATCAAAACCATCAAAGTTGGAGGAAATGCAGTATTTTCAACTAATTGTTTTGATTCATCTATAAATCGTAGTATAAATATTTACTATAAAGGAGTTCAAGATACAACTAGTAATGACCACAGAAATGAAGTAAATAGAATATATTATAAAATATTTGCTGGTTGTGGATATAAACCCGATTCTTATTGCGATATAACAGTTGGTAAACCAACTGAATGCAGTCCTGTTTGTCCCCAATGTCCAGATTTCCCTCAATGTCCCCCTTGCATTCAAAACGAATGTCCTAGTTGCAACTGTTTCTTCTCAGCAATCAAAAATGGACGACATTCAACAATAATCTTTCTTCTTGCTAGAAATAGATAAGTAAATTTTAAGTTTATAAAATTATATTCTTTATTGCAAGTATATTTTTCCCCTCTTTAAACTTGGTGTAAGAGATTTCCTATTTTTTGCATTAATATTTCTTAGATAAGGCAGAAATTGACTTATTCCAAAAAGAAAAATACAAAATCCTAGAATATTACAATTAACCTTAGCCATCAATTTGAACAAGATACTTCTTTGATATGGCTAACTATGAGAATGTTCTCTTGCCTTGAAAATAGTTTATTGAAAAGAAGCTCAATCTAACTTCATCTGAATAATAAATAGAAGCTTTATAATGTTTATCAGTCTAGAGAGACCAGGAGACAGAGCATATGGGATACTACAATGTCCTCTACAACGAAAAAAGGAAGAATGGTGGAAAAGCGTAATCGGGTAAGATAAAGGAAGATTAAACAGGAATATGAACAAAGTTTCAGAAAGAATGGATTGTGAAACGGAGTAAGTGTTTGCATTATTATACGAACTCGTCAATCGTATTGATAAGAGGTTCATTTTTCTTAAATGGTGGAAGAGCCCACATCTTATGATTATCTCATAGAGGCCAAGTACCGCAACATACAGGATGTTGCTGTAGCCTCTACATCCAAAAGGGTTACAGGGCGGAAAAGAGAAATCGGACAAGACGAAGAGTATCTCAATCTCAACTTTTCTGTAAAAAGGGTTATTGGGCCGAAAAACGAGATTGGGATTCTTTGAACCAAATAAAATGAAATGATTAGTATATTGGTCGCTAAAGAGGCCGAAATTCAAGTTCTTAGCAGGATCCTAAACTTGAAATCATATTATTCGCGTGTAAACCTTTCATTTCACTCAAATTTTGAGAGAAAGACGCGAAGAATATGATTTCAAGTTTAATAATTAGTGAGAACGAACAGCGATCAAAAATTGAGAAGATTTTTGCGGTTATGATGGTTTTCGAATGGCCATCAATGAGACAAGTTTTGGGCGAATTTAAGGCTTTCAAGACAGCAACGCCCGGTTTGCTCAGTCCCACACACTCATATAAGATCAGCGCGATCACCATTTTAGGAGGATATCCAAAACGAAACAAGAAATCTGATTTCTTTGAAAAGTTTTTTTCCCTCGAAATTATGACTTACTGATAGCTTCTTGGTGACATGCAGAGCCTACACACAGACTATCCAAAGAAAAAAGTAAAAATTCCGAAAATTCTTTTTGATATGGAAAAAGAAAAAAAGCTCCTCCCGTGTGGATAAATCAAAGTTTATTCGAAGGAATAAAGTTATTGCCATTGTATGTTCGGAAATTAATTTCACGCAGTTTGTAGTATGTGTAATATGAAATCTGATTTCTAAATCTTTTCTTGTCTTTTTAACACATCTTATTCGGCAAGATGTGTTTCAAGACGATACTTGAGAGAGCTATCGTCTGTGTACTGAAATGAATCTGAACGAATCTTCTCATGGAATCTAAGTTCCATATAAACGACAAAGAAATGAGTAATGAACGGGAGGTAAAGGCAAATGCAGTCTCGCTCTGCATATCAAGCCGGCAGCCCACGGGAACAGCTGCCCTCACGGTCATTTGCTCATTCAAGCTACAACGGAGATGATCATCGGCGGCACCCCGACCATAAGTGCGGTCTACATCTCTTTCGCCATTGGGTGTTAAGAGGCTTTGTAGGTTTTTGCATTGTGTTTGAAGGAAAAGAGAGATTATGAGGTGAGTTTCAACAGGAAACATATACAGTAAAGATGTAACTTTCTCGTTGTATCTCTGAGTTTTTGTTGCATTATCAGAAATCTTAAATCTTATGATCAGTCTATAGAGACCAAGGGACGCAGTATATGGGATGCTGCAATGTCCTCTACCACCAAAGAGGAAAGCAGGGTGGGAAAGAATAATCGGGTAAGATAAAGAACAAGGTCTCAGAAAGAACAAAATGTGAAACGGAGTAAACGTTTGCATTATCATATGAACTCGTCAATCGGATTGACAAGAGGTTCATTTCTCTTAAATGGTGGAAGAACTCACATCTTATGATTATCTCATAGAGGCCAAGTACCGCAACATACAGGATGTTGCTGTAGCCTCTACATCCAAAAGGGTTACAGGGCGGAAAAGAGAAATCGGACAAGACGAAGAGTATCTCAATCTCAACTTTTCCGCAAAAAGGGTAATCAGGCAGAAAAACGAGATTGGGCTTCTTTGAACCAAATAAAATGAAATGATCAGTATATTGGTCGCTAAAACGGCCGGGATTCCACTTCTTCGCAGGACCCTTATAATGCTTGAGAACGAACAGCGATCAAAAATTGAGAGGATTTTTGCGGCTTTAACGGTTCTCGAATGGCCATCAATGGGACAAGCTTTGGGCGAATTTAGGGCTTCTAGGACCGCCACGCCCGGTTTGAACGGTCCCCCGCACTCATACAAGATCAGTGCGAACACTGTATAGGAGGATATCCAAAATGGAACAAGATATCTGATATCCTCGAAAAGTTTTTCCGAATTTCGACTTACAAATCGCTTCAGGGTGGTGTACAGAGCCTGTAGGCACACTATCCAAAGCAAAAAAGTAAAAATCTTCATATCGAAAAAATCTCCTCCCGTGTGGATCGAACACACGACTTCCAGATTAACAGTCTGACACTCTAACCAACTGAGTTAGGGAGGATTACATTTAAAGAAAAAAATAATGAATTAAAAATGAAAAAGCATTAATTTGAATTGTTTACATTTTACAAGAAATCATTAAGGATACCCTTACGTGTCAGATTTTTTGCGCATACGAAGAAGTCATGCTAGACATGAGCTATAAACCTGAAATTTTAGCAACATATTTAAAACTTTTTAAACACAATACACTTTAATATCAAGAACAAAAAATATTCTTTAGAAATTACATAATTATTTTATGTGAAATCTATATAAAAACATATTTTGCGAGCGTAACTTTTTTCTTAAGCACCTTATATGACTGATAAACTGTGAAGGCACATAATTGTTAATTCATAGAGTTGATATGTTTCCAAAATTGAGAGGAAATTTGAAAATTGAATACCCTTTCAATTCAATTTTCAAAAGATATCAGCTCCTTCAATAATTGAAGGACGATTTTGATCATTTGCTCTTAAAACAAGTATGCCATGGAGAAAAAAGTTACGCTCGCAAATCTGAAATATAACTATCATATAAAAAAAATTAAATTTTCTAATTTTTTACTCTATAGATATTATTGGCCATTTGTGTAATGCATAAAAGTTTATGTCATATGCATACATTTGGAAGTAGGAGACGAGGGAAATTACTTCTATGAGGGACTAGGATTTTAAAAATTTCTCTATCGGACTCACCATTCAATTTCTCGAAATTAAAAAAAATCAATAATAGCTAAAATGTATTATGCAACAAATTTTCATGTTACACGGTATTTTTTGAACTTCATGACATGAATTTTCTTTATATTATTTTTTTTTTGGATTTTCTATGATTTATGCGATAGGCTGGAACAACATTGTTAAGTGCAATGATATCATTTATAGAGAATCTAAAACTTCAGCATTCAGAACTCGCAACCACAAAAATATTCATTTGCTAAGTAAGTAAAGTTGATTAAGTTTCGACACTTAGCTTTTATACGTAAAACCAAGTGTGTATTGTTATTTCTTGTTAAATTATTGAGAAAAAAATAAATTGAAGAGAAACGATACTGATTATTGAAATAATATTGAGGGTAGCTGCAGATTTCTTCATTAACATGCCGAAATTTGTTAATCTTGGTTTTCTTCATAAAATCTGTCGAAGCAGAGATTGAAATAGAATCAATCAGAGTATCCTGTAAATAGACTAAGCATGTAAATCTAGAGTATCCTGTCAGAAAAAATAGACTAAGCATGTAACCCTTTTTTGGTCATAAACACTTTTTACCACTTAGTCATACAGATGATCATTAAATTTAAACGAGCACTTTTTGTCAGAATTTATTCTTTTACAAAGACAGAAGATTTTAGTATTATTTAATATTAGTGCTGTAGCAAAATTCAAAAAACGGTGAAAATTCAGTGAATTTGTGAATTCACATTTTTTTTTCGACATTTTTCTTGATATATCCATGCACATTAAGAACACAGCTTTGATACGCTTAAAAAAAGCATATTTCATATGAAATTGTTAAAGAAATAAACAATTTATATAAAAATTGCACTTATGGGCAGTTTAGATATATAATTTATATATAACATATATACAAATCCATAGACAAAGTGCAATAACTACAATGTTGTAGAAAATTACAGCAGAAATACTGACTTTTTGAAGGATAATAAGAATTCTTCTAAATGTTGTATTTTTATAATTTGATTGATTTTTTTTACTATTTCATTAATCTTTTATGAATAATAATTATTTTTAATATATGTGCTATTAAAATTTCAAATTTGACTAATATATCTAAGTTATCTGAACGAAACATTTAGAAAATATCATACTTACATTGAAATAGCAAGTAGAGCATATTAATAGCAAGTTTCTTGGCTTTATATCTATCATCTATTGTTGTTTGATCAAACAAAATTCACTCTATTATATGGTGTCAATTAATTAAAACAATTTTTAATAGTTATTTATTTAGTGCGAATAAGTGCAAACTCATAAATGAATAACTTAATAGTAGAAATGAATTATCGGATATAAATCTCACATTTTGTCCATCAGAAATACTTTAATTGCATACGCATAACTATTAGTAATACGTCTGGAGTGTCAATTAATAACAATCCCACAACAAGTAAAATTCAGATTTTTATTAAACTTATTTTTTCCTAAAAGTTTTCTCAAATTACTATATATACATATGTGGATAAAATAATAGTAATATTGTAAAAAATTAGATAATTTTTTTTATTTGAGAACCTCTCAAAAGTTCATTCAATTTATCAATTGTTTCAGTTTGATGTATATTCATTTCTGGAGCCTAAAACTTTAGCAATCATGACAATATCATATTCTCTTTCTAACTACGCAATGTAAGGGTATCCTTAACTAAGTAATATATTAATTTGCATAATAATTATTGATATTTATTTACTAATCTAATAAGAGAGATATTTTTAATAATCAAGAACATCTTTTCGGATTGTTATCTTTTTTCAATAAATTTCTACTTATATCAGTATTCATGAAATACCATTAAATGTGTTATGAATATTATAAATAAATTATCTTAGAAATTAAATGCATTCAAAAATATTTTGAGAGGTTAAATTTGAATGCACTAATAATAAACAAATCACATTTTTTTTGATTCTGCAAATTATCTAACATTTAATAAATCAGAATAGATCATTATATTATTTCGCAATTGAACATTTCAATTATTTTTTTTTCTCTGAATTAAAACCGGTTTTTGAATTGATATATCTCAAATATTTATGAGAACATAATTATTTACTGAAATTTGCTTTAACAACTTAGGATAGAATATTGCGACTAATATGATAATTAATAATTCTTCTTTTCAAAATATATCTTATCAAATTTGTGAAAGGATATTTCAAAAAGAAATATTATCTTTCATTATTCACTTAATAACTTTTTTGGATTTGGTTCTGATCTGTTTAATAATAATATTTTCCCTTCTCGTTTTCATTTTTTTCAATGGATGTTTCACCTTCACAATTATTTTTTTAAAACCATTCCTGAAATATAATATTCATACTTCTTGTTTCAACTAGTTTTCCTTTTCAACTGAAGATTATTCAAATAGATATTCAAATTTTGAATCTTGTTCTCATTAAATAATTTCTCAAAATTTCCTATGGATCATTTGTATCCAAAACATATTAATCACAAAAAGAATGCAACTGGTTTCTTCCTATTTTCGAAAGAGATAAGGAGTCAGATCCATAAAGCCTGTCCATTTTTCTCACCGCTTGACATTTCGAAGGTCATATCAGAACAGTGGAAAAATTTACCAGAATCAGAAAGAATCAGATATCGAGAGATGGCTAAAAGCATAGTGATGCAATCCACCACAGCCCTAAATGCTAAATCGCCCCCTATTTCTATTACCAAACAAAATCTTATCCCACCAATCGAAACATTTGGTATTTGCCCATTGTTTGAAAATTTACGATATTTTGTGCCTACTCCACCAAAAATTATGGCATAATTTAATTTTCATTCAAAGTTAATTTTTGTCTCTCAATATATTTGTATATAATAGATATAAAATCATGCATAACAATATATCAACATATTTTTCATTTTATATTAAAGGTTCACCTTTTTTGGTTGCTATTGCATATAAGGTTTTGATATTAAGTAATCTCCCACAACATATATTAATTTTTACGATATGTCAAACGCGTTTTGATATTTTACTAAATATGAAAATGTATTATTTAAATAGATTTTTATATAGACAACTTACATAACAAACTTTAAATATCCTCTACATCTGCAATTTCTTCGCTCGTATCCGCGTTTAAAGCAGATATTCCAAGACTTGGAGAAGAAATCATTGAATTTTGATGAGCGTTATCGGCCCTGACAACAGTTTTTGAACTGGGCATATCCTTTTCCTTATTTAATTTATTTTTCTTGGCAATTTCTGTGACAATTTTATCAGTTTTTGAATAATTATTCTCTTCGCGTCTTTTATCTATTTCACCATTATGTGTACTTCTATCCGATTTTGTTGACCAAATGGGCAATTGATTTGGGTGTGGAAAATATAATGGTTTTAGTGGAGGTCGTCGCGAAATTTCTATACTATTCGACAATCTATTACTTTCTTCACAGGACAAACGTATGTAATCCCGATCCCAAATTCTAGGTGGCCAAAATGTGGGAATATAATTTTCTTCAAGATGAATTTTATATGTCTTGATTCTCTCCTTTTCTGATTGTAATAATTGACGAGAGTGCTGTGCTTGAACAATTTCAAAATTCGATAATGAAATTTCCGAATTTCTAGAATTCCTATTTTCAACCTCAAACATTTCGAACTTCAAGTGATCCATACTTTGATTTTCTTCGTATTTTATCCAGTCAGGTTTATTTCTTTGGAAATATGGTATGAATTTTTTCTTGAAATTAATTTCATTTGGTTTGGTCTCTGCTGAATTAGCATCCTGAATTATCCTATCATGTTTTCGAGATGTTGAGTCTTGCGCTTGACTTTCATTTGCTGATAATTGAGGTTGCTTTGATTCATTTGTGGATTCTTTCGGAGAAGAATCATCACCTATATTTGTTTCCTTTATGTTAGGATGTTCTACCCTGGTAGAATTAAGAGCATGAGATTCCTTATTATCCATGATTTTTCTCTGAAAAAAAAATATTTCAATTATTTTTTTGGCGGGAAAATTTTATTTGAATATTCAGAATTTCACATGTAAATTTTCTCATATTTTGTTTTACCATTTTGTATAGATTATTTTAATTATTTTTCTTTCAAAGTTTGTCATTTTGATTTGCACTAATACTTTAGCAAAATCCATATCACAATTCCTTGTTTATTCGAAATACTTAAACTCAAAGAAAAATGATGAATCAATATTGCAATTTTATTCCGGCTAATAAGATAATGATCAAATATCAAATACTTAAAACGAAATCAAGCTGTATAATATAACCAAACATTAGAAAAAGGAAAAATTCAAATTATTAAATTTTAAAATTCAATTTTTATGACAATAAAGTAGAATTTTAGTAACCATCACCATAAATATCAGAATTCCAGAATCTTCTTGGGTCGCAGTATCTAAAAGCTCTTTCTCTTCTTCTTAATCTTTCAACTTGATCCTTTGTAAGTTCGAAATCAAGGTGATTGTTCTTGTAAATACGTTCTGGAGTAATAGACTTCGCGAGAAGTGAAGCACCTGGTTCGATTGTTAAGAGGAACTTGAGTTCAACTTCGCCAACTGTTTTTCCTGTTTCAGAAGCAACCTTAACAAGCTCTTCATCCTTAATAAGAACTGGAAAATCTGATGTGGCAGAATCAGCTGTTCCAAGTGTAGAATAGCCTGTGAAGATAATTCCTTCTTCATGGCAGTACTTACGAAGTGGTCCTTGCTGATGGTAAAGGTGGAACTCGCACTGGTTTGTGTAAGGAATAAGCTTTGCATCAGAATGCTTGAGACGTTCAAGCATATTGATTGTAAAGTTAGAAACGCCAACGTGCTTTGTAAGACCAAGGTCAACAAGCTTCTCCATGGCCTTCCATGTATCAACAATTGATGTCTTGTTATCGAAGAAACCTTCAGTTTCAATTTTATCTGGAGCATTGAACTGAGATGGACAGTGGATGAGGTAAAGATCTAAGTAGTCAATGCCGAGATCTTTAAGTGTCTTTCTGCAAGCTGGCTCGACTTGTTCTGGTCTGTGCTGATCATTTCAAAGCTTGGAAGTAATCCAGAGCTGCTCACGCTTAATACCCATGTCCCAAAGCTTCTTGAAGGCTTGGCCAACAATATCTTCATTGCCATAAACAGCTGCACAATCGATGTGGACGTAACCTGCCTCCTTTACAGCATAGACAATGGCGTTGACAAGATCATCTGAGCGTGGTGATTTCCATGTACCAAGACCGATCGAGGGAATACGATTCATTTAAAGTGAAGTCATCAAGTATTCAATTTATTTTGAATGGAGAGAAAATTTTTCAATTATCGTAGCTATAAAAATATGTCAAATACTCATTTCCAATATAATATTCCATTCTTGTAGATGCTTGAAAATGCAGTGATTCTTCAAAAAAACTGATCTGCTTCATCTAATGATTGGCTGGACAATCTCAGGTATCGAAAACGAGCGGTTTATTAACTGACCAGTGTAATCAGCTTACTGGTGTTTACTATAGAGTATTTTAACATAATCTTTTACTTGACAGGTGTAATGAAATCGAGTTGATACGAAAAGAAGACTTTTTTTCGTACTCCTCTCAATTTAATAATTTTCGAAAATTGAAACTTTTCGCTTCAATTTTCGAAAATTAGGGTTTTAATCAACTCTATTTTGAGCCTATGTTTCTTTGTTAATTTGTAAACTTCAGAAAATTGAGTGTGGACCCAGCTCAAAATTGTGTTGATTAAATTTTTTTCCAGTTTTCGTACTTTTTTACAGAGTATAATATTTGATGTCCAATGTTTGCCTATGATCAGAACTTGTCTTTCTCGTGCTCATATTTCAATTTCTGGTCTATACATGTATCAATTCAAATATCATATTTGAATATTTACAATTATATAAAAGATTTTACTAGTCCAAGCATAATGTTTTGTGCAAAGTACAATTTCATTGTGTTAATATATAAAACTTGATTTTTAATATTCAATTTAGCATCTTTTTTAAAATAGAGCTTTGAATATAGGCATATATGGGAATGATATGTACTTGTTATTGTAAGTACATTTATTGTTATAAATTTACTCAATTATCTTAGATAATGAAATAAATATAGTATTATATAAAAAAGAGTGTTTATTCATTATAAATAGAGTCCAGTTAAGCAAATATTTTATCCGTAACGGATAAACCCTAAATTTGCATGTTTGAATTATTGAGATCAAATATTTGCATGCAATCAATAAATTTGCTGCAAAATTATAATCTCAAGCATGTATTATTTTGAAACAATAAAGCATCAGAGAGCCTTTTCACTATGATCTTTCAGAAAATGAAAGAACATAGAAAATCTGCCCTTTATAGAGATGCCCTGACCTCAACAAGGGTCAGAGCCTGTATCTCTATGTCTTTCAGGGCCGAGATAAGACGATATCGTCAATGATGCGCAAACATAGAGCTACTACTCATAATTATGAAGACTACCAATTGCAACCATATAAAAACACAATTTTTAAAAAGATATTATTATTCAACTTCCTGTGATACGGTGTTTTGTTAAGATTTCGTAAATTAATGTAAAACAAGTATAGATCTATCATGAGCAATCATACGATAGTAAATATATTGCTTCCATACTAAATTCAATTGAGATTATCTTGACATTAAACTTAGAATCCTCTCAAATCCAAGAAGATAATCACAATACAGCTATATTTTAATGCTGCTGTATAGCGAAAGCTCTATATGAGTACCGAAAAAAAAAATTGAGAGGGAGTACGAAAAAGTAATCTTTTCCCCAATTATTTTTTTTCTAGACTCATAATATATGTGCTACAAAATTTTTGTTTGAAATGCGATTCATTAAAAGCAGAATCTCTTATGTAAGTTCTTATATGAAGCTATCTACATATTCATCTTTGTCAGTAACTTATTTGGGACTTTTTTGGTTCTGTAATATAGCATTTCTAGTTAATAATTTCATGATGATTAGAATATAATTATACATGATAAAAATAAAGAGCGGAAGTCCACTGCGGTCTAATACTAGCTTATACACAAGGGGAATGAATAACATGAACAAATTGTTGGCAAATTTAACACATTAACTATACTTTTAAATTCGATTCTATACGCGTTATGCTTTATTGTTTCGAAATATATTGAGTATTTTTGACAATTTTATGAATGATGAAACTTTAGTTTCAATCCTTTCTCGCTGCAACTCTCAAGATAATGATATTCGTGAAGCTGCAGAGTTAGAGAGGAATGAACACCTCGAAACTGATACTAATACTTTTATAATTACACTTTTCAATCTAATTCTTGCTAATTCTTATCAAGAACTTATGGATTACTTTATAATAAACTTATATACTATCTTCAAACGACGAATCCAGCTAATTGATTTACAATTTTTTCAAGATTTTTTTCAAATTTATGATTCAAATTTTTCCAAATTAATTAATAACATCTGCAATGGTGATAATCAAAGTCTCCGAACCCAATGGTTCATTGATCTATATGCATTACTGCTTTCAGATGTTCATAAGTTATTTCCTGACTCAGATTTCAATGCAAACTCAGTAATTGAAGGCTTACAGAAGAATGTATCGCCAAAAGTATTAGTTCCTATCATTTCCAAAACGCTAGATCTTTCACAAGACATATGGAATTTTGATCTTGGCTTTTTACTCCAAATCATAAACGAACACGTCTCTTTCAATGCAGAAATCATCAAATTATACTTTTCTATTATAAGTAAGATACCAGAAAACGAAGAATTCAAAGAAATATTTCCTTCTATTCTAAATCTCATGAATAATGATATAAATGTCGGTCTTACGTCTATACTGAACTTCTGTGATAGTTCTTCACCATTTATTTCATGTATCATCACTGATTTGGCAAATTTTATTTTAGATTTGCTTTTAAACCAATCTGATGAACAAATAGGTATTACATGCTTAATGATATTAGAATCCATGGCTACAAACAACGCAAAATACGCAATTTCGTCAAAAGATTTTATTTCATTAATTTTTGATAACTTTGTTTCATTTTTTAACAATGCAAACTATACAGAACTAGATGATAACTCATCCACAATATATTCACTTGCTTTAGATACTTGTAAAACTGTTTTTGAAACAATTAGTTCAAATTCTTTGGAAAAAATCGATTCTTTGTTCGATTTTGTATCAGAAAATAACGATTATTTATTCGGATCCCTCATTACAATGTCAAATTTAATGGTTTTTAAATTTCCAAAAATTATTTTTTTATTAAACCAAATAATCCAATATATGGAGAATGATAACATCAGATTTGCTTTGTGCATGCTATTATCTAATGAACAATCTCGTATAGTCAAAAGTTCTTTGAGATTTCAAATTTTTCAAAATTTTATGGAATTTTTTTCTGAAAACGAAGAAGAAATATTAATTTATTGGCTTCTTAAGACTGTTACGACTCTTCTCATTGGCTGCTATTGTCCGGAAAATGAAGAATTTTTATTTAATTATATCCCGAAAATTTTAGAGGCTTTTGACTATAAAAATTGCCAGACGGAAAGAGTTATATCATGTCTTGTTGCATTTCTCAGTTTAATTTATCAGAAATTGACGAAATCAAAAGAAATTGAAGAAATTGTTGGAAATTTTAACCAATTGTTTGAAAGATATCAAGATTATGAGATGATAAGAGCTGAAATCATTAAAGAAATACCTGATTTGTTTCAAGCTTATAATAATCCAAAAAATTCTCAAATAATTTCAGAAGTTGCTGCAGAATTCTACAATGTTATCAGTCAGATATATACTCTGAATGCAATACCACCCCAATATATGCAAATTTATGCTGATTCTCTGCTAAAATTAATATCTTTTATTGATGACCAAATTGACAATTCTTTTATGACCATCTATCAGTCAATTATTAAGATTATTGACCAAAATCTGGTTTATAATGAAGCAAACCAAGAAATTATTGATTCATCAGCTTTATTCGTGGCCCAGAACATTAAAGAAGGGACAAAATATACAATTGAGAAATCAGTTGTTCAAATGATCCTCGAAGGCTTTGAAATTCTTCTAAAAATTGCCCAAAAAAAGAATTTCTTTTATTTTCTCGTAGAAAACAATTACAAAGTCTTTTCTAAGCTCATAAATACATGTATGTCATTTGTTTCATCAGATTATTTCTTGGAAACGCTTTTTAAACCTTCTTTGGAACTTTTAATTATTTTGACCGAAATTTCTTTTTCACATGAAGAAAATGAAGCGAATTTCATGAAAGAAAACATTATAAACATCATGAATGACGTAATACCGAGCCTTACTACGCTTCCAATCCAAAAATCAGAAGATTTAGTTGATTCTATCAAGAAATTTGCCAAATCTACCAAAAATTTCATGGACCAATACGACCAAATGAAAAGTGCCCTCGTAGAATTCGCTATCGTCCAAGTCCAGAAATTTTATAATATTTGGGAAACTTATCGCGACAATGACGACCCTAATTTCAACAAATTTGAGTTGATTGATAATTCATTTTACTTCAGTTCCATACAATTAATGGGAGTTATTCAAAAAATTGTTCCAAATTTGATAATCCAAGAATTTATTAGCAGGATCATTCCAAAAATCGAAAATTGCAAGGATGATTTAGAGATGATGTCTGTTAATAGCTTGTGTTTGATGAAATTCATGAAAAATTCTCCAGATTCTTCAATTTATTCTGAATATCGAGAATTATTGTTTTATTTCTTGAATAGATACATTGAATTAGGTGAGAATGAAGAAGAGTATTATGATGATAGCTTTGGCTCATTATATCGATTTTTGAACGAATATTTCCCAGAATTATTTAAATTAATCCTTAAAATAGATCTAAGTAACGAATTGGCATCAGAACTCTGCAACAACCTAATAAATATAGCTCAGAGCACAAATCTATGCAAAGAAACTGATTTGCCGAACTGTATTTTCCTAATTTACTACAAATACCCCGAAATTCTTCAAGAAAACCAGTTCGAACAAGTCTTCAAGTACTGTACATTCACGTTGGCTCAGAGCTATAAAGACGCTGACGATCCAATGACGTATCATTTTTGGAGTTTTTGGAAACTTTGTTTTCAATGGATTGAGCGGTTTCACTCGTTTTTCCAGATAATTTTCACTACAAAAAAAGGAAAATTTCCTATAATTTGGAAGGTTTTTCACGCTTTTACCTTCTCTTATATTTGCGAATCTGAAGAATTCTACGATAAATATTACGAAGAAGTTTTGAATGATTTCAGGAACATTTTATCGAAATACGAATTTGTTCTTCGTCTTTTTAAACTGTTCTGTCAGAAAGAAGAACAAAATACTAAAGTACAAAAGCTTTATCATGCAGTTTGTAAAAATTAATTCTTTTACTCTTTATTTATTCTTTAATTTTCCTCCCTTTCAATATAATTGAACGAACTTTGGAGTAATATATATATACACATGTTTTCCTCCCTTTCAATATAATGGATCATTCAAATTAGAATAGTGCAAAATTTTTATTATTCCATTTGCAATGTGAGCTTTCTTGAAACCTAAATTGTTTTAGAATCAGTCCATGCTTACTAGCCTTTAACAACAGTCCTTAAAATAGATTTTTTGAATTTTATTTTAGTGGCTGAATAGTACTTTCCTGTTATTAGCTCATACGACGAAATAACCTACGATATTATTCGCTTTACACAACATAAAATCTATCAAAATTTCCAATTTCTTTCCGCATAATATAAAAAAAAACTACTGAGACTATAAGTTTGACATATATCCTTCACAATATGTATTATGTAAGTCGATTTTTTTTTAATATGATAATTACTTATAAGGAAATAGCTATCTGATGATATAGCCTAAGTAATAAAGAATTAAGCACAAAATATTATATATCGGTGATCAAAGTCAATATTTCTCCTTTTCTATCTATCAATATGCATATTTCAATGTATGAATAGGTAGATATTGAAATATTAAGGGAAATTTATTTTAATGAAACAGACAAGTATGTGGTAATATGTTTGTACAACTGTAATATTAAAGTACTCAATGAATAAACATTAATCATTGAAACAAATTTAGGTTAGTTTAAAGGGTGAGAGCTGATACACTTCTCATGACAGTCTTGAGAACTTTAAATGTAAAGAACTTCTTTTTATCCCAAAAGCGTCATGTGTATCTTTTTTCCAGGCCAAAAACCAGCATCGATCCGTAAGATTTTTGAAAATTAATTAACAAAGGGTGCACTTACGCCCCTATGACAGGGCCTTCAATTCAGACGTTTAAAGTTAAATTTCAATGGCGCTTCACGCAAGTTGTCAAAAATTTGAATTAAAGTCAGATGGGGGTAATTGCAGCCTTAAATGAAATCAAGAGTATAAACAGTAATATCATTTTTTTTTCCTATATATAATATATATATGTGTTTATTTCTTAAATTTTAAAGTATCCGTTTCCTTAAAACTGGAGCTTACTGAGACCTTAAATTTGAAAAATTGATGCTATTGTATTTCCTAATTTTGATATTTTATCGATAAAATAAAAATTTCAAAAATATTCTTATCGAAAAGAGGCTATTGATTTTTTTTAAAAAAATAGCATTATGCATTTAAGAAATGAAAAATATTGATTTGTTTCAGCTCCATCTTAATTAATAAGTGAAAATATGATAATATCGTTTCAAACCACAACATAGCACTTCATAGCTACGGTATCTGATATTGCCTTAATTATTTTTTGCCCAATATCACTTCGAATTATATCCTGGATTTTTCAAATTGTAAAAAAAATTGAATTGTGGAAAAAAAATTTGAATTGTGGAAAAAAATCGAATTGTAAATAAAATGAGTGTAGTAGCAATTGCTAGTTTTTTTTCAGATTCAAATTTTTTTAAGGAGTAAAGAAAATCAACTTAATTTTGAATACATTGGATCTCACATCGAAGATTACCTTGATGATAATAAGTTGTTTACTACATTCGAAGTCGAAGACATCGATCAGATCATGAAATTTGCAACTTTGTCAACAAATGACTACATTAATATGCTGAAACAAGCCCATTCTACAGTAAATGCAAAAATACTATATTTTTCCACTCGAAATGCAAATGTTACGACGCAAAACCTTGGAGATGTCATAGAACTTCTTAAATCAGTCGGAGAATTCATGAAAATGAGAATACTTGATGGAGCTATTGACCTTTTAATACAATTGGAAAAAAGATTGCCTACTTCAGCTAAGCAAATCCAAAATTCTAATCTGAAATCAATTAAAGAAAACAATGAAAAAGAGATTCTGTCAAAAATTCAAGAACTTAGGCACTCTGATGATATTAAATGCATCTACAATTTCTTTGAAGAGCTTTCATCTCAAGGAAATCAAAAAATGATTTCAGAAGCTTGCAACAGAGGACTTTCGGAAAGAGTACCTTTACAAAAAACAGTGCTTGGAAATGAAAGAAATATACTTCATATAGCATGCAAAAAAGGAAATCTCAACCTTGTTAAATCACTTATAGAAAATGGATGTGATGTAGATACAGTGGATGATCATGAATGTTGTCCACTAATCTATGCCTCAATAGGAGGCCATCTTGAAGTTGTTCAATATCTTATCTCAGTTGGAGCAGATAAAGATGCAAAGAATAAAGATGGAAAAACTCCACTCATTTTTGCATCATCTAAAGGCCATCTTGAAGTTGTTCAATATCTTATCTCAGTTGGAGCAGATAAAGAAGCAAAGGATAAATATGGAAAAACTCCACTCTCAGTTGCAAATTATAATGTAAGAGATTATCTAAAATCTATTGGTGCCAAGTAAAATAATCTAATCCAATCGTATAATTATATAATAAAATTAACAATATTCTTATTTCCAAACTATTATTCATACGAATATTGAAGTTTATTATAAATTTCCCCATAATTATATATGATACATTTATAAATTGATTTTTTTTCTTTGTTTATAAATGTATCATATTGAATTACTGCAAATTAAATATGTGCTACATTTGCAATTGATTTTTAGTATTGTTGATATTGAATATAAAAAATCATTTCAATATTCTGTTGATATGGAGTAAAAAAAAGATAATTTGTATAATGTGTGAGTCATTGATCATATATCTACATCAAATAAACTAAAAACTATTTTTTTTTCTCGTTCAAAACCTCTAGATGAAAATTCCTGATATTCCATGGGTAGTTTTTTTCTTCGGATGCTTTCCGACGATCTACTTGAGCTTTATATCAGGATTTATTGATACATCTTTTAGTTTAACCCTATATGGGAACAGATTTTCCTGGTTTGTTCAATTTATTCGGCAGATTTCAGAATTAGCACTAATCGCATGCATACATTTCTGGGCAGATCGGTTTTTCTTTAGAAGGTTTCGATTTTCAAGTTTCTTTGTCAAGATTTGTTTTTATGGAGTTTATATGTCGATCTTTATATTAAATTTATATAATTTTATGCTTGCAAATAGTACAATGCAGTTCACTACGCCATCAATTTTCATTCAAAACAAAGGTTTATCGCTTGTTGATAAAAATTTACATTCAATTCCTCTTGATTACAAAATTTCCAACGACAAAATGCCCTCATTCTTCACAATGTCGTTTCAATTCTTTATTCAGCGTCATTTTAGCATATCAATTGTTTCATTAGTTATTTTACTAGTTTGGATATATGTTCAATCATATTTAATAATACATAGAATCAGAGAAATCATTTCAGAGATTGCAAAAAACGAATCTCATATTTTGGCATTTCCATCGAAGTTCTTTTTATATGGATCAAATATTAATGAACCAGAAGGTTACGAATTCGATATGATTGCTAAATTATTTCATGGAATAGCTTCAATTACGATTTTAACTCATTTTTCAATTTTATTTGCTTCTCCTTATTCACAATTACTGAAATTTTCATCGTATACCTACATACAAAGTACAATACTATCAATTTTACATCGTGAAAGGCGAGTTCCTCCAGGAATTTTACTTTCATCGAATTCGAGATCGTATCTTCCAAAAGGGAGGTATTGGCTCGATGAAAGACACAATCCTGTATATCCTGCCGTCCACGGAGGAATAAATGCTTTTTGCGCGTATAATTCTAACTCAAATCTATGTAAAAATCATACAAATACCAAGCCAAAGCCAGCTAAACAACTTCCTAATGTTGTTTTCTTGCTTCTTGATAGTTTGTCGCCATCTTATAATTTATTATCCAAAAATTTTATTCAAGAACACGTAAATACTAGTGAAAAAGATATCAGAAAAATCATATCAAACCAAAGCTACTTCAATCCTTCAATATTTCCAAATTTTGCGAAATATGAAAAAATAGGAATCACATTTTCAGGAGTTTCTTCTCTTGGCGGGTCACCAGAGTCAGGATGGCATTCTCTAATGACGGGAATTTATCCTTCCCAGACAATATCCAATTATTATGAAGGAGTTTTAGTTCATTCAGATGATTTTCCTTCATTTTTCCACTCAGGAGGTTACAAGACACTTTACTTCAGTGGAAAACCGATAAATACCGATTACCGTAAATATTGGGTCTGGAGAAGGACCGCAGAAGAAGAATCCGAGATTAGATATTATTGTAACACTTCAAAATACAATTCTTCGACTGATAAATTGTATTTATCGCATGATCTACACCACTGTACTAAAGCAGAGATGATTGCTCTCGTAGAAAAATATAAAGATCAAGATTTTCCAACATGGTACGATAAAACTTACAGATTCCCTGAAGACGATGTTAGTTCTATAGGATTATCTGAGAAAGAACTGCCAAATTCAAGAAATCCGATAATTCCTGATAGATTAATTGCTTATCAGCTGATTTCCAAGTGGAATGACACCAAGAAATCAAGTAAGCAGCCGATATTTGCTTCTTTCGAAGGTGTAGAAACAACTTTCCCCTTTGAAGGTTTCGATGATGAGAAATACTACGCTCCGTTCGACCAATCTCTATCGAAATCTACTCCTGAATATATAGAGCAGAAGTACGTCCAGGTTATGAAGTATTCTGACAAGTTCCAAGTCGGATCTGTCCTTGATTGGCTTTCCAAGAACGATAACAACACAATATTTGTTATCACAGGAAAAAGTGGTGCCAGGGAAAGCCCAATTCAGAAGCCAGATTTTCCGATTTTTGATGATATTGTTTATTCAAGTGACTGCGCAACGGGATCTAGTGGTTCAGACAGCTTTTTCACGACCAGTGCAATTATTGGATACCTTGGCGATGACGAAGAAGTCAAAAATATTCTGAATTTAAACAAAAATGCTGGAAAGACTCTAAAAATACCAGCAGATCATAACGACCTTATTTATACTCTTCAGGATATTATTTCGCAGCTAAATAACACAGAATTGCCTCCAACTCATCGAAGAAGCCGGAATTTAATTGAAATTTTGTCAAAATCCATCGAATTAAATGATTTCGACAAAATAAATTCATTTATTAGCTCTTCGGGATGGAATAGCTTCTCAATGACCACTTATTTAGCCGAATTCAGAGATGGCCATTCTCTTCTCAAAACTCACACTGCCCATCCAAAAGGATCTCATTATTACCAGTTCGGATCATTCCCTAACTGCCTTAGAAAGTACGAAAACGAGCCAATGAAGTTAGGCGGAGATATCGCTAAAACAAAGTACGATAGGATGCTGTCATTAATTGCAACCGAAAACTATATGACGTTTAGTAATCGTCTTTACAATTTCGGGTTCAGAAACAAAACATGTATAGAAAATGGGTACTGCGAGTTCCCGGAGCCGAAAGAGATTAAGATTAATGATAACTTCTATATAGCTAGTATCTGTGTGTTACCTTTGTTTTTGCTTGGTTTCGTTTCATTTTTATTGAATATTCTTGTTGTATTAATGCCTCCGTTTAACATCGGAACTAATACGCCTATGCATAAGAGAAGACAATCCTTCTATCAATTATAACCTTTATATTATGTTTTTTTGTTTTATTTTATATTAAATATTATTCTTCATTGTAATAGTAATAATTGTGCTTAAAAGCTTTTATTTCAATCAATATCTACAAGCTCTGCTCCGTCTAATTATCATTTTTCAAAAAATTTTTATATAACTTACTTGTAACAATAACCCATTTTTCAAAAAATTCCGCGGTCAAAATGGGTGTCAAAAAATAAAAAGCAGGAATTTTGGCAAAATAAATCGATATTTAAATTCACCATTCTAAATCACATACATTGTTAATAATAAAATAGGAACCGTTTACCTGATGGAATTTAGATTAAAAATTAAAAGCGAAATAATCAGAAATTTAAGGATGTCGTTTTGTCCCCCAGGGGGAATATTGCTTCCCCCACTTGGGGGACGCTGGGGGACAAAAATTGAGGAACTTTGTTTGATGGAGTCAGAGTATATTTGTAAAGTGTCAAAATAATAATTGATTAATAAAGTTCAAATATTATAATAGATACAGCATTTTGTTAATATTTAAAATATATTTATTTGGCTTTCATTGGGTTTTCATGTGTTTTTAGCGAATTGAAAAATTAAATTTCCTAAAATTTTTGCTATAGATGCTTTTTAATGGACTATTTTTGTTTTTAATTAATGGGAGTAGATTAATCAATAATAAAATCCGTATCGAAATTCTATCATCAAGCGTCACTTTTTGTTCCCCAGTCCCCCACCCCATGGGTGGGGGCCAAAAATCCATTCAATTTTGAATGTCCCCCAGTCCCCCATGGGTGGGAAAAAAAGTAACTCTCCATATAGGTATATGCATATTTTTATACAATCATATTTATGTTTTGATAACAATATAATTCAACCCATTAAAATGGAGATGAGGCTAAGATTTTCAAAAATCATTTCTCGATTTTAACTAAAAACCTTTGGTACCCATATAAATGCATCAGATATTAGGAGGTTAGTTGTATTTAACTTATAATTATCCATAATTTTTCTTATTTTTAATTTTTTTTAATCCTTTGGAACAATGATATAAAATCCCTCTATTTATGTATATTAGCAATCGTAAATAATATTTTGGAACCTAAGAATAAATACTTGTATTCTTTGGCTAATGATTATGACAATTTACAAAAATATTTGACACTTTACATGTCCCCCAGAGTTCCAAAATTATTTGGTCGGGTCCCCAATTGTCCCCCAAGCGACATCCTTACAGAAATTTATATGAAAATACACATAGTATCGTAGTATTTGTTTAAATCTTATATTTTCATTTTTTGCATAAATATTTCCCGCCAAAATACAAAAGTGCCATAATCACATGGTGGACCACAGCTGGAGTCGCCGCCGACTATCCACTTGCTGGGATGCTACGCAGCCTTTGATCTGGCCAATCATAGTGCTGCTCCCATTCACATCAGCAAGTGATTTCGGCTGGAGATCTCCAATGGGTCTTACATGATGGTTCTGCAAGCCAGAAACACAATATCTATGCAGCCTAGCTGCTATGATAACGTAGCTAGGCTGCGTGATTATTGTGCTTCTGGCGATATTAGTTATACGTTATTGCCTTCATGGACTATAGTACTACTCCCTGAACCTTTGAGGGTCAGGGATGTAAATTTACCCGAAATTGGCAATGTTCATTACGAAATCTCTCATTCGATGAGAAACTTCGTAATGAACATTGCCTTAAAGTACTCTTACTACTCTTTCCTGGTTCCCAAAAGGCCTAGGATTCTGTAACTAATCGAATAGAGCAGAGTTTTTCCGAAGTCTCTCATTTGATGAGAGGCCTCGGAAGAGCTCTACCCTAGTGTAATGTAGTTGTGGTACTTGGCCCACAAAGAGCGAGAGAACATGTCTGTAATTCGTTTATGCTGAAGTTTTCTGAATTTCTCTCAAATGAGGAAGGAAATCCAGAAAACTTCAGCACAAGTTAATGCAGATGTGATTCTCTAGCTCTTTGTCGGCCAGAGAACGAATAAAAAGTTTTTGTTGTGAGTAGGCTCGATGCATGCCTACTCACTGCAAACATACGTTATTTTTTTATTTCCTATGAGAAAATAGTTTTTCATTTTTATAATACTATATGCTTTGTTTCTTCATAAATTGTCTATTTTTCTTATTAAAGCCTAATTTTTCCGTGTGATCCAGAATCTATGCATTCCAAAAATGCGTTTTCCGCTTTCAGAACGCGAAAATAAGCACTACATGAGGAGATAAAGAAGATTCTTCCCCAAAAATTCCAAAAAATCGTTTTTCTTTTTTTTTCTCCGCGAAAAATGTGCTTTTTGATTTCGAAATTTTCGAACCGGGATTTTTTTGGAGATTTTTCAAAAATTTTAATATGATAGATCTGAGTTATTTTACGTATCCTAATAGATGGCAAGTTTATTTTTGAGTTTTGATTAAGAATGAAAAATTGCAAAAAGTATAAACATTAGAACAAGCATGATGAACATTTAAAACAATTGCATTTTGATATGGCATATTTTACCTGCCTGATTGAGTGAGAAAAATAAAATAAAATAAAATAAAAAAAAAGATTTCTTAGTCAAAAAACGAAATAGCACATCAAATTAAGAAATATTATTTACTAACTTTTAAAAAATAGGGCGAAAATTGAATGAGTGAAGCGGTTTTCAATTTTCGAACTATTTTATAATTCTTGAAGAAGATTGATAGCTTTACAAAATATGTTCCACATATTTTGTAAAACTTTCAATCATGGTCAAGAATTTCAATAATTAAAAAATATCAATGATACTTAAGTATCATCACATACAACACATTCTTATGATCATCATAATATAGATTATAGAATATTGCATAATAATCCAAATTCAATTTCAATACTAAAGTGGACTATCCATTATCTCTTAACATCATAACATACTCAACGAGTACTGATCATTTGCTATTGATCAAGCCTTTAAAACAAACTATAGTGGTCCCAAAATCTCAGTACGCACGTTTTTTCTCTCAAAAAAATTGAATTGCCTCTCAACTCCGATTTTGTGGGGACTATACATATATGATTGCTTTAAATTGACCAAAAAATTGAATACTTCCTTTAAATTGACATTTCAATTTAAAGTTTGTCCCTGATTGAGTGAGAAAAAAAAACGATTATTTTTAGTCAAAAAACGAGAGTGTGGGACAAACTATCCAGTGTCACTTTTTATTAACCTTATTTTAAAAAATTAATAAAATAATAATAAAAAATTATTTGAATCTTTTACATTAATTGTTTCTTTTTTAAAAGTACCTTTAAAGTACAATAAACAAGATTTGAATCTATTGATCCTTGTTGCAAACTTGAATATATTGCTTCAAGCATTTTCAAACATTCGACTAACTTTGAGTGTACATATATAATTGTTATACTGAGTACTTTCTATCTGTGTTACTTATTTGAGTCTAAGAGCCATTTGTCAGATTTTCCCGAAATGCAAGGTTAAGATTTTAGCAGCGACTAACTTTGAGTGTACATATATAATTGTTATACTGAGTACTTTCTATCTGTGTTACTTATTTGAGTCTAAGAGCCATTTGTCAGATTTTCCCGAAATGCAAGGTTAAGATTTTAGCAGCGACTAACTTTGAGTGTACATATATAATTGTTATACTGAGTACTTTCTATCTGTGTTACTTATTTGAGTCTAAGAGCCATTTGTCAGATTTTCCCGAAATGCAAGGTTAAGATTTTAGCAGCGACTAACTTTGAGTGTACATATATAATTGTTATACTGAGTACTTTCTATCTGTGTTACTTATTTGAGTCTAAGAGCCATTTGTCAGATTTTCCCGAAATGCAAGGTTAAGATTTTAGCAGCGACTAACTTTGAGTGTACATATATAATTGTTATACTGAGTACTTTCTATCTGTGTTACTTATTTGAGTCTAAGAGCCATTTGTCAGATTTTCCCGAAATGCAAGGTTAAGATTTTAGCAGCGACTAACTTTGAGTGTACATATATAATTGTTATACTGAGTACTTTCTATCTGTGTTACTTATTTGAGTCTAAGAGCCATTTGTCAGATTTTCCCGAAATGCAAGGTTAAGATTTTAGCAGCGACTAACTTTGAGTGTACATATATAATTGTTATACTGAGTACTTTCTATCTGTGTTACTTATTTGAGTCTAAGAGCCATTTGTCAGATTTTCCCGAAATGCAAGGTTAAGATTTTAGCAGCGACTAACTTTGAGTGTACATATATAATTGTTATACTGAGTACTTTCTATCTGTGTTACTTATTTGAGTCTAAGAGCCATTTGTCAGATTTTCCCGAAATGCAAGGTTAAGATTTTAGCAGCGACTAACTTTGAGTGTACATATATAATTGTTATACTGAGTACTTTCTATCTGTGTTACTATTTGAGTCTAAGAGCCATTTGTCAGATTTTCCCGAAATGCAAGGTTAAGATTTTAGCAGCGACTAACTTTGAGTGTACATATATAATTGTTATACTGAGTACTTTCTATCTGTGTTACTTATTTGAGTCTAAGAGCCATTTGTCAGATTTTCCCGAAATGCAAGGTTAAGATTTTAGCAGCGACTAACTTTGAGTGTACATATATAATTGTTATACTGAGTACTTTCTATCTGTGTTACTTATTTGAGTCTAAGAGCCATTTGTCAGATTTTCCCGAAATGCAAGGTTAAGATTTTAGCAGCGACTAACTTTGAGTGTACATATATAATTGTTATACTGAGTACTTTCTATCTGTGTTACTTATTTGAGTCTAAGAGTCATTTCTACCATAGAACTAGATATTGTCTCTCATTAAATATATATAACTGTAAACTGCTTAATTCATTTATCTATTTAGATAAAATTATATTTATATAAGATTTCATGTTATTATTTCATCTTTATTATTTTTTTTATTCCTTTGAAAAGTGACACTGGATAGTTTGTCCCTTTCTCAAAAAACGAAATAGTTAAAAGTAATACATATACAAGAGATAGAGCAGTAGAGTAATATTTTCTGGTCAAAGAGAACCAAATTTTAGAAATTTCATAATTTTGATCTGAAATTTCCGAGAAAAATTGGCCTACTTTAAGGGCATGATCTTGGAATAGCCTAGCATTGTCATTACTTGAGGAGATATTGCTCAAAATCACAGCAAAATGGCTGATAGAGCACTGACTCGGTTTGTTTATTCAATTTTGTGATCTATTCAAATCAACAAATTTAGAATTATACAAGAATTCCAAAATAGATTCACTTTTGATACTCCGCTTCACTGCATCTCAAAAGTGACTATATTTTGTTAAAATTTGAATTAAAGTTAGATGGGCGTAAGTGCAGCATTAAATGCATTCAATATTTTTTTTACTTTTTTTTCTGAGTTTACAAAAAAAAAATACAAAGATGATGAAAATTTTGTAAAGCTCACAATTTGACTCTTGAATTTGTACTATTATAATTGTAATTCTTTTTTTAAATCTTAACACCGAGTCATTAAATACGTTTTTTCCTCTTCTGAATTCACTAAATTTTTTCCAATGTTAATTTTCTTTGTTCCATTTATAATTTCAGACTGCCATGAAGGATCAGTCTATGATATTCCTTCAAGTGTTACATCAATTGAAGATTCTGCATTTTCTGGTTGTTCTAGTCTTACAAGTATAACAATTCCTTCAAGTGTTACATCAATCGGAAATTCTGCATTTTCTGATTGTAAACGTCTTACAAGTATAACAATTCCTTCAAGTGTTACATCAATCGGAAATTCTGCATTTTCTGATTGTAAACGTCTTACAAGTATAACAATTCCTTCAAGTGTTACATCAATCGGAAATTCTGCATTTTCTGATTGTAAACGTCTTACAAGTATAACAATTCCTTCAAGTGTTACATCAATCGGAAATTCTGCATTTTCTGATTGTAAACGTCTTACAAGTATAACAATTCCTTCAAGTGTTACATCAATCGGAAATTCTGCATTTTCTGATTGTAAACGTCTTACAAGTATAACAATTCCTTCAAGTGTTACATCAATCGGAAATTCTGCATTTTCTGATTGTAAACGTCTTACAAGTATAACAATTCCTTCAAGTGTTACATCAATCGGAGATTCTGCATTTTCTGATTGTAAACGTCTTACAAGTATAACAATTCCTTCAAGTGTTACATCAATCGGAGATTCTGCATTTTCTGATTGTAAACGTCTTACAAGTATAACAATTCCTTCAAGTGTTACATCAATCGGAAATTCTGCATTTTCTGATTGTAAACGTCTTACAAGTATAACAATTCCTTCAAGTGTTACATCAATCGGAAATTCTGCATTTTCTGATTGTAAACGTCTTACAAGTATAACAATTCCTTCAAGTGTTACATCAATCGGAAATTCTGCATTTTCTGATTGTAAACGTCTTACAAGTATAACAATTCCTTCAAGTGTTACATCAATCGGAAATTCTGCATTTTCTGATTGTAAACGTCTTACAAGTATAACAATTCCTTCAAGTGTTACATCAATCGGAAATTCTGCATTTTCTGATTGTAAACGTCTTACAAGTATAACAATTCCTTCAAGTGTTACATCAATCGGAGATTCTGCATTTTCTGATTGTAAACGTCTTACAAGTATAACAATTCCTTCAAGTGTTACATCAATCGGAAATTCTGCATTTTCTGATTGTAAACGTCTTACAAGTATAACAATTCCTTCAAGTGTTACATCAATCGGAAATTCTGCATTTTCTGATTGTAAACGTCTTACAAGTATAACAATTCCTTCAAGTGTTACATCAATCGGAGATTCTGCATTTTCTGATTGTAAACGTCTTACAAGTATAACAATTCCTTCAAGTGTTACATCAATCGGAAATTCTGCATTTTCTGATTGTAAACGTCTTACAAGTATAACAATTCCTTCAAGTGTTACATCAATCGGAGATTCTGCATTTTCTGATTGTAAACGTCTTACAAGTATAACAATTCCTTCAAGTGTTACATCAATCGGAAATTCTGCATTTTCTGATTGTAAACGTCTTACAAGTATAACAATTCCTTCAAGTGTTACATCAATCGGAAATTCTGCATTTTCTGATTGTAAACGTCTTACAAGTATAACAATTCCTTCAAGTGTTACATCAATCGGAAATTCTGCATTTTCTGATTGTAAACGTCTTACAAGTATAACAATTCCTTCAAGTGTTACATCAATCGGAAATTCTGCATTTTCTGATTGTAAACGTCTTACAAGTATAACAATTCCTTCAAGTGTTACATCAATCGGAAATTCTGCATTTTCTGATTGTAAACGTCTTACAAGTATAACAATTCCTTCAAGTGTTACATCAATCGGAAATTCTGCATTTTCTGATTGTAAACGTCTTACAAGTATAACAATTCCTTCAAGTGTTACATCAATCGGAAATTCTGCATTTTCTGATTGTAAACGTCTTACAAGTATAACAATTCCTTCAAGTGTTACATCAATCGGAAATTCTGCATTTTCTGATTGTAAACGTCTTACAAGTATAACAATTCCTTCAAGTGTTACATCAATCGGAAATTCTGCATTTTCTGATTGTAAACGTCTTACAAGTATAACAATTCCTTCAAGTGTTACATCAATCGGAAATTCTGCATTTTCTGATTGTAAACGTCTTACAAGTATAACAATTCCTTCAAGTGTTACATCAATCGGAGATTCTGCATTTTCTGATTGTAAACGTCTTACAAGTATAACAATTCCTTCAAGTGTTACATCAATCGGAAATTCTGCATTTTCTGATTGTAAACGTCTTACAAGTATAACAATTCCTTCAAGTGTTACATCAATCGGAAATTCTGCATTTTCTGATTGTAAACGTCTTACAAGTATAACAATTCCTTCAAGTGTTACATCAATCGGAGATTCTGCATTTTCTGATTGTAAACGTCTTACAAGTATAACAATTCCTTCAAGTGTTACATCAATCGGAAATTCTGCATTTTCTGATTGTAAACGTCTTACAAGTATAACAATTCCTTCAAGTGTTACATCAATCGGAAATTCTGCATTTTCTGATTGTAAACGTCTTACAAGTATAACAATTCCTTCAAGTGTTACATCAATCGGAGATTCTGCATTTTCTGGTTGTTCTAGTCTTACAAGTATAACATTAAAAACACCTCAAGATATCTCTGGTTCTATCTCATCTAATGCCTTTGCCAATTGTCCAATTCAAGAATTAATTTATGAAAACGAAGGATTCACACTCATTAATTTTTTGTCTCTCAAAGAAACAGTCACAACAATAAAATTCGATTTTTTACATACAAATACAAATAAACGACTTAATGAAGAGAAACATTTGCCATCACTTTTAAATTTCAACAAATTAATCAATATCTCAATAGGAAATATCAATGATTACACTATTCCTTCATCATTTATTAATGTTAATAATGTAAAAATCTTTATTTCAAATGATATTCAGTCAATTAATTCTCAGGCATTTTCAAGTATCATAAGACAAATTACGGAAAGTGAACTCAAACAAAAAGTGACACAATGCATTTGCCAACCAAATAACTTTACAAAGCAAAAACTTAAATTACTTGTCAAGCTTACTATTCTTATTTTAACAATTAAAAAATTAAATTTTATTTTTTATTTAAAAAAATCATCTTATATCATCTGATATATATATATAACAGCATTAATATTTCAATGATTCACAAATCAACTTTTTCATTATTTTAAATAATTATAGAATATATACCGACTTTTTGTACATAAATATTTTTAGATTCAATAATGATTTACGGTTTTTTTCAAAACTTATAATTTTCAAATGAGTGGTAGAATCTTCGATTTAATTGATTTAGAATGGTTAAATCAAGCTAATCAACAAATTCAAAGCGGTATTAACGTCGAAACCGTTCTCCAAAATGTCCCTTTAACAGATGGAAGAATTCTTCCCACAATATCACATAAAACTTTTAAAAACGCTCTTAATTTCAATCAAATTGAAATTCCAAAATTACGTACAGGTCCAAAACCAAAAGATCCACCACAATGTTAAACTATTCAGACAAAGTTTCCCGCTGTTTGCGAAGGAATTGTTGGCTATGATGTACTGATTCATGATCAGTGCATCATAGCCAACAATTCCTTATACAAAGTTCAAAAACTTGGGTGCAATCAGTTCTGATTGCACCCAAGTTTTTGAACTTTCTCGAGGGAATGAAAGGGTAAGAGGTATACGTTATGAATATATACCTCTTACCCTTCCCTCTCTGACAGCGGGAAACTTTGTCTGAATGTTAAACTATTCAGACAAAGTTTCCCGCTGTTTGCGAAGGAATTGTTGGCTATGATGCACTGATCATGAATCAGTACATCATAGCCAACAATTCCTTATACAAAGTTCAAAAACTTGGGTGCAATCAGTTCTGATTGCACCCAAGTTTTTGAACTTTCTCGAGGGAATGAAAGGGTAAGAGGTATACATTATGAATATATACCTCTTACCCTTCCATTCCCTCTCTGACAGCGGGAAACTTTGTCTGAATGTTAAACTATTCAGACAAAGTTTCCCGCTGTTTGCGAAGGAATTGTTGGCTATGATGTACTGATTCATGATCAGTGCATCATAGCCAACAATTCCTTATACAAAGTTCAAAAACTTGGGTGCAATCAGTTCTGATTGCACCCAAGTTTTTGAACTTTCTCGAGGGAATGAAAGGTAAGAGATATCCATTTCCTTTCACCTTCGTTCTCAATAATTAACTTATAAATTTTTTAAAGCAAAAAAAGTCTGATTTTTTTTGACAAGTAAATATATAGGGAATTTATCCGACCAAATAAGTGTCACTTTTCGGTTCACCTCACTTTCCGTAACTCGTCTTACAACACAAGTGTTGACATTGGATATTTCATTTACAAGGGATCATCATTCATTGAAGGAGGTGATTTTCTCAAAAATGCGCATTCAGTCAGCGAATATTATGTCACATCCATTTATTTGTTTGATACAATTGGTGGACTTCCAATAGAAGGGCATGTTATTGTTTTACCTCAACGAACACCAGAACCATCTATATCTCAACAAACATCTATATCTCAACGTACACCAGAACCTACATGGAATGGAAGATGGGCAGATCCTCCTAATGAAATTATCCGAGGCGAAGATATTCCAGAAATCAGAGAAACGCATCCTCCAATTCGTACAAAGTACCAAAAAACACCGGTATCTAAAAAGGCTTCCGCAATAAATATAGGGTGTCCAAAGGTGCGTTTAGCACAGCGCTCTATATGAGACTATTAAAGGAGATATATGCTGATTATAAATATATAATAAAAAATATGAATATATGTATATGATGAGTATGTTGTATTTTGGCGCCATGCTGGGATATAAAATGAATTTTGAGACAAGAGGCGGTTTCGCGGGAAATTTTGGCGGGATTTTTTTCATTTTTTTAATGAATCATAAAGAAAACATCCTCGCTCTTGCAAAAAAATGCAAAGACTGTAAAAAAATCTACGAGACATTGGTAAAATGCTTCGGTATGGATGCTCCTAGCTATTCCACTGTAACGTATCATGTTAGGATGTATCACTTCATGAACAAAAAGGCGCCCATCATAAAAATTGACAAAAAATCGCCGGATCAAAGAAAAATCAAAGCAATTCTTCAAGCGCTAGATGAAGACCCAAGAGCATCACTCAGAAGGATAGAGGAGATGACAAAGATACCACGTACAACAGTCAGTTATTATCTGCACAATTATTTGAACTACAAACTAGCGTATACACGTTGGGTTCCGCACAACCTTAATTCAGTTCAAAAAAAATCTAGAGTCCAATCTTCGAAAGAGCTCCTCTCTATATTGGGTGCGTATCAATCCAAGAAGTTTCGCTTTTTAGTAACAGGGGACGAGTATTGGTTTCAATATGCAACAGAAGCCAAAATCATGTGGATCCCGAAGGATGAAAATCCGCAAACATTCCCGAAGAAAAAAATTGACACACCAATGATGATGTTGTCGGTTTTTTGGGGCGTGAATGGCATCATCGCAATTGATATTCTTCAAAAACCTAATACGATGAATGCTCAGTATCTAATTGACAATGTTCTTACTCAAATTATCAATTCTGATGAGTTTGAGAAATCCAAACAACAAAAACAAAAGTTTGCAATTCATTTTGATAATTCAAGAGTTCACAAAAGTCATAAGGTAATGAATTACTTGGTGGAAAACAATGTCAAAGTTGTTCCAAACCCAATTTATTCACCTTATATTGCACCCTCTGACTTTTATTTATTCGGCACGCTAAAAAAGAGAGCTGAAGGACGCGAATTCGCGAGTCCAGATGATCTTGAAAATTTTGTAAGAGAGCAATTTGAGCAATTTTCTCATGATGATTTAAAGCGTGTCTTTCAAGCCTGGATCGATCGCTGCGAACGCGTGATTGAATCCAATGGTGATTATATTTAAATAAACTTTATATATATGTAACTTGTTTATTTCTATTCGCAGTATTCAGGTTTGTGCTAAACACACCTTTGGACACCCTATATTTCATTAGGAACAATTGTGGTGATTATTGTTTTGATGTTTTCAGTATTTAATCTTGTGAGATCATGCCGAGTTTTGAATAATCTTGACGAAGAAGAAGTGGATGACATTCAATCTCAAAATGAATTTTCATTTTCATCAAGTGGCTATTCGCTTTATTCAGCTAGTGATGAATGAATATTATACTTTATGTTTATTGGGATGAATAATCTTTACAATGAAGTGGATGACATTTAATCTCAAGATGAATTTTCGTTTTCAGAAGAGTTCTCAAAAACTCAAAAACATTATGAGCACCCAAAGCTAGTTCAAACCCAAGGTGTTTCTCGACACCTTATAACACTTAATTGAATAAAAATTTCCTTATAATAACTTTTCAAATATCTGACGATAAATTTAGAGAAAAATATGTGATTAATTTTATTTTAAACAAACATCACAATTCATAATTATATATGAAATTCAAAAAAAGGGGGAACACAAATTTTTTGGACCAAAAAAGAGGCACCTGAGTATATTGTTTCTGTTTTATCTGATCATTGAAACGGAATTGATCCACGTTATTAGTATGAAACAATGATATACTAGGGACTAAAGAATATTAATATTACAAAAACCCCATTATTCGATGTTCAACTCATCATATCTTGCATTAAAGTTGATACCTTTATTTTTTCGAAATATTACAACAGTAGCAACCTTACGTATTACCAATGATAGCCAAAGTACTATTTTGGCATAAAAAATTTAAAACGATATTAAAACAACAGAATGACTAGTCATTCTGGTATAGTATTATGCATACTACCAGGTGATAAAATCTCAAATATCTAAGCTTAACGTCCGTTTGATTATGAGATACATATCTAATGTTGCTTGTTTTGTAGCCATAGTCACTAACTGATAACATTATTATGATAAGAAGACTAAATGTGCGAGTTTAATATGCATTTGATTCAGATTTATTATCGAAAATCAAATCACAATATATATCTTGAACTCATCTGTTAATAAAATCATTTGATATTTGATATTTTTTTTTTGAAATTTAGTTAATTTGGGTCTTACACCATTAATTCCCCTTCCCTCATGTCATCCATCTTTTCCTATCTAAAAAAGAATCAAAAAAGGGATAGTACAGAGGGAAAGTTCAATCCAGAGGACGATGAAACACTGATTGATGGGGCTTTAGCAGTTCCATTTCAACAAATACGGAATTGTTATCGATTTAATAACGATTACACACAATTAGATATCGAAAATCGGTTTCATCAACTAGGGACAAGTGCATAAGTACTTGCCATCTATTAGGATACGTAAAATAACCAAACAACAGACTATATAGTATGCAGAAAATTTATGCTAATAATCTGATTTTGGGGTTCTGGATATCGAATTTTATTTTGAAAATTTATCTGACAATTTTTGGATTTTGAACAATTTGATCGCTTCGATCATATAATTTTAGCATAATAAAAGCTTAAAATAGTGTTTTTGATCAGCACTTTCTCATTTGATATCTTGATGGATGCTCATTACCAGTTAGATCGAGATCTTCTTAATCTAACTAGTAGTAATGTGAATGATATAGTAGTGCATCTATCGTACACCGTTTATCTCGAGAAAGAAAAACTTATGTATCGATTTGTTGATACACTTGTAACAAGAATTCCTATTAGAGTGCAATCAATCGATTCATATGCTACATTAATTCATTTCTTTGCAGTTAAATCCACAAAATTTACATTTAAAGAAAAATTTAAATCTTATTTACTCGATAAAATATTTGAAAAGCCATATATTGACTTCATATACAACAAAATTCCACTATTTGCAACACTTAGACAATGTATCAAGCTAAAAGTATTCGCTAACGAAGAAATCAGAACAAGAGCTCTCGAAGACTTCAGCTTTACATCACAATACTCACTTCTTAAGGCGTTATTCTTTCTTCCCGAAATAGAAAGTCAACAATGTAATGATATTTTATCGAATTTTGTCAGTATTGCGTTCAAAAGAAGCAATCTCGGCATAAATGCTCAATTTTTAGAGTCCCATATACAAAATCTTACAGAAAATAACTATTCTCTACTATTAGAATGCATTCATTCCGGTAGTTTTTATAATGATATAGCTAATTCAATAAAAAATGACGATATCAATCAACTTATACATTTAACTAACATTACAGAGTTCGATATAAATGGAAGAGTTCAAGATAATCTCTTTGAACATGGTTTATTATGCCATTCCAATCCAACTTACATTTCTTACTCATGTTTCTATGGTTCCCTCAAATGTTTCAAGTTTCTATTACTTAACAATGCGGATATGAACATTACAGACGATCAAAACGGTTTTTGTCCAGAACATTACGCAATTATGGGTGGAAATGCCGAAATCATCAGAATTGTGAATCAAAGAAGGTTCGATACCAGATGTACTCTTCAGCTTGCAGTTCTTTTCTACAGGGAAGATGTTTTCGAGTGGCTTTTAAACACCAGAAAAATTTCTGTCAAAAACGATGACGAAAATTTCGGAAATGTTGTTCATATGTGTTCAATTTCTAACAATTTCAGGGCTCTGCAGCATTGTATCACTCTTGGTGCTGAAATCAATGACCAAGGTTTGGACAGTTTGACACCTTTACAACTGGCCATTTGTTTCAATTCAAAAGAATGCATTCAATTATTATTGAATACAAAAACGATCAATTTGAATACAATTAACAAAAAACAGCATACAGCGTTACATGTTGCCTCCATGACAGGGAATTGTTTTGCCATCAAAAAGATGAGGAAAAAGGAATGTAATCCAAATATTTCTGATGCAAACAATTGGACAGCTCTACATTTTGCAATTTCAACAAATAATTATAAGTGTGTAAAAGCATTGTTGAAGTTTTCTGATATTGATTTGAGTAAGAAAACAATTATAGGTGAAACACCAATGCTTTTGGCAATGCATTACGGAAATAAGGAAATTATTGATTTATTTGTTAAATTGAATGTTCTTGACCCTAATGATAAAAGCAATAGTGGTGTTTCTGCACTTCACATTGCTTTCTCGCAAGGATTGACTGATATTATTAAGTATTTCTTGTCTTTGCAGAATTGTGATGTTAATATTGCAAATAGTATGGGTCAAACTCCAATTTTTGAGTGTGTAAGTCATGGATATGTTGAAGGACTGAAGATATTGATGTCTAGAAATGATGTCGATGTGATGAAAAAGGATATATTCGGCCAAACAATTTTTACTATTCCAAAATTAGTTGAAAACGAAGAAATTGTTTCAATTCTGAAAAATTATGCTTTAGAGCATAAAATCAAAATTTGATACTATCTTTATTTTATTTTCTTGTTTGTATTTCTTTATAAAATAAAATTAAATGACATTTGACAATTTTTGTATTTCCGGATTTTCACTTTTCTGACAATATTTTTCTATTATCTAACTCTCAAAATTGAAGGTATTTGCAGTGATGATTCCATCTAAAAATCCTAATTAAAGTCTCTTAATGGTATTCCTACATCAATATTGAGTGAACATCTTTCAAGAAGAGACTTTACGAAAAAATATGAGTTTAATTTCATATATTTTTTATTCCATAATTTAAGGGTGCACTTACGCCCCTATGACACGGCCTTCAATTCAGGTGTTTAAGGTTGATTTTCAATGACGCTTCACGCCAGTTGTCAAAAATTTGAATTAAAGTCAAATGGGCGTAAGTGCAGCCTTAAAAGAAAAAAAATTTAAGGGTCCATTGTAAGGCCAAATAAGGCCTATCGTCGTCCCAAAAATATTGCTCAAGATGGTGTTTTTACTAAGGCCCAAAACTTAAAAAAACACAAAAAAATTAACTTTACTCTTTTGAGATCCTTATCAGATGTGCAACAATTTGATGCAGTATCGCAATTCGAATCCGATTTTTTAATGTAGATGTACTCTAACATTCTTGAAAAAATGCAAAATGATATTAATCAAGCTTTTCATTTCTGTATCATACACGAAACAAAATCATTCATTATACTAAAATTTATCAAAGTTTGAATAATGAAAAAATAATATCTAAATTTTTACATTGAGTCGGCTATTGATATGGTCAATATTAAATCGTTTAAAAATGGGCATTGGCCAGAATAATACCCACTAAAATACACATTTTTTTAAATTTTATCAATTTGTTTTGGTATATCTTTATGATAATGAATAAAATGCTTATCTTTCATAAGTCAATACATAATTTATGCTGAAACACAAAAAATAACACGAAAATTTTTGGCCAACATTTCAAAACGAAGGATAATGCTTTGAATATATAAACAATAATACTTTGTCTAGAGAATTAAATTTGTGCTATCCAATTGTCAATTCTTTGAATTTTTTATAAAATGCACGATATTCCGGCATTAGCCTCAATAAATATAAACTACATGCATCACAATATTAGGATGTAATGGCATTAAAGCGAATTTCCTAATTTCTTCTCAATTAAATTCCTAGAAAAACTTAGGAATTAATGATTGGAAATAGGTCAAAAAAATTCCTAATATAAAATTTATACTTAAATTAAAATCAAAATTCGAAAATATCTATTTTTCAAAACACGCATCCAGAAGCGAAAAAATTCGAAAAAATCATGTTCTTATAAAACTCGCTGATTTTGCAATTTTTGTGTGATTTGAAGTGATAGAATGTATTATCATCTTACTAAAACATATACTTTATTGTTACATTCACAAAATATTAATCAGAACACTAGGAAAAGTGGATTTTCGAAAAAAGACGATAACGATTATTTACAAATCGCCTCTCAATTTTGAGAGACTTTCAATTTTTACAGTGGACCCTTAATCAATAACAAAACAATATCAAATGTCATTTTCTCAAGTGACTTATAGTTCTTGTTCTACTATATTTAAGAATCAACATTTGATACCTACTGTGGAATAAGGGGAAAAAAGTGCAACATTTTCAAATATATTGTGAGATTTAATGATTTCCAAAATTCTCCTCAGGCAAATAGTTCTTAAGCGTTAATTTCAAAAGAGAATTAGATAATATATTTTTTTGCAAAAAGATACAAATGAATAGAACATATTCACGATATAATACAGTACAGTGTTACAAAAATACAACAGATTTTAATGAACTCGAAAATAATTTCAATTACGCTCAATTTCATGCGTTTAGAAAGAATTATATGAAAAATAGGAATTAAATTCATTTGAGACTTATATATTTTGAAGAATAATAACCGAATATCAGTTCGAATTCTATAATGCCAGTTGAGAAAAGTGACACCTGCCGATTTTTGAGCGGAAACTTTTATTAATAATTATCATGTATTCATTAAATATGATCGAATTGATAGCGATAAATTCAGAGTTTATTTTTATAAAATTTTCTGCGGAATTCTCTTATGATTAGCAAAGAGGAATTTGCTCAACTTCATGAGAAATTTTTGCAGCAAACCAAAGAGAAAGAGGCTCTTGCCAAGAAAGTTGAAGAACTTCAAGCCGATGTCGACAAATTACCAGCGTTAAAGCAAAAGCTAGCTGATCTACAACAAGAGGTGCAAAAAGAAGATTTGAACCATATGAATGAACTCAGATCTACACAAGATTTATTAAAGCAGACACAATCAGAATTAAATCTTGCCAAGAATGGAGGACCAGAATCTAAAAAGAACAAGAAACTCGAACAGCAATTAGAATCATTAGTAGACAAAGGAAAGAAACTTGACGAGCAAATTCAGGAACTAAATAAACAAGATCTCGAAAACAACGACCAAGAAAACCCTACAGATCAAGAGATAGCCCAGCTTACTGAGCAGCTCGATAAGCTTAATGGCATCCAAGAAAGACTTGGAAATTCAAAAGATATAATGATGGCTCTAAATGATCTCGAATCTAAGAGGAATGAACTACTAAGCGAAGTTTCTGAACTCGAGAAACAGATGCCAGAGATTGATTCAAGGCTTGCAAACTCAGAAAATGAAAAAGTCAGTAAAATGTCAGAACTTAGACGAATTACAGCAGAAATTGATGCTGTTACAATGAGTGTTAGCAAAGCAGAAGCAGAACACGCCGAATGTTATAAGAAACTCAATAAAATTTCGATTGAATTACAACAAATCAACGATTCTCTGAAGACAGAGAAAGAAAAGACTGCTGGCATTCAGAAAGAATACAACGAGAAAATGCAAGAAGCGAAAGAGAACGAAAAAGCAATACAAGCCGAAATTGACGAATATAAGAAAAAGATTGTTGATTTTCCGAAGTACAAGAAGCAAGAAATTACTCATCTCGAGACCAAAGTTGCTAAAAGCAAGCAGATGACCGAACAACTCGAAGGAAAAAGGAAAGAACTTCGAAATCAGATTCAACAAAAAATTCTTTCGTCAGACATCGTTGTTAACCTTACAAACACCATGGAGAAGGAATGGTACAGTCATCAGAGCTTTGTTGACGAAGCAGAGAAGCTAAAACAGCAGCTGGACCGTGCAAAAGAAGATTTGAGAAGAAAAAGATTGGCCTCGGAAGAAATCGAACGATTATTCCCTAAAAACGCCAAACCATTCAAATTTACTGGAATGGCAGAACTCGAACATCTTTACGAAGTCACTTTGGCGCAAAATAAACAGCTTGGCCAAACTCTCGCGTCTTTGAAGGATGATTACGAGATCCACAAGAGCGATAACAAGTTGTTGAGAGATTTCCTTGAAAATGGAACTGCTTAGAGAGATAATTTTATATTGTTTTATAAAAAATTAAATATTTTATTCTTTTCTTTCAAAATAAGGTCTTTAAACTTCGGAAATTGAATGAAATCAAAACTTAATCTAGAATCCGTCGTTCCAAAAACCTGATATAATTAATCTTTGTTATGTATCTTTGATATGAATTTTTTTCAATAAAAATAATCTTACACTACAAAATCATTTGGAATTCACCAATGAATTCCAAATGATAATTTTGTAGCATATTTAGAAAAATTAAACACATTTTCCATCAGAAAGTCTCTCTATCGTTTTTCTGCCTCATTATTGAGTGAAACTCTATCAAAATTTTGAATAAGAGACTTTACGAAGGAAAAGGAGTTTATTAAATCAATGTTTTTCTCAAACAGTGCTAATACAAAACTATACACTTGTTTATGTTCTGACACCAAATGTCCTTTCACGTTTTTTTGGATTAAAATCTGCATGTTTTCAATTTTCAAACTCTCGGATCCATTTTCTCGGAAAAATTGTGAACAAAGTATTCCTTTAAAGCATGTACCAGTTAAAACGTGTAAAATTATCTTAAATAGTTCTTGAGAAAAAAATTGAATTGTGAATAGTCTTCTTCAGAAATGGATTTATAAAACATATTTTTAAAAAATATAAAATATAACAACTTAGGGAATCCATGTGTGATTTAATTCTTCCAATTATTAACATTGAAATTTTTGAATTAGGAGTAGTCGTACTCAGAATATTTTTCCTATTGAGATACGTATTCAAATTTGATCATTTTTAAATCAATGTTATTGATCACGTTGATTCAATTCCAATGGCTAAGATATGGTCACACGGTTCTAGATATTCCAACAGATAAGGCCTCTGACTATGCAATTTTATCAGCATCCAATTTTCATACATATGTTGTAATTCATAATCCTCAATATTTTGTTGACATCAACGGAACTGATCTTAAAACAATTTACAAGAATCAAACATCATTTACTTTCAAAGCAAAATCAAATGAAGTAACCAAGATTTATCTAGATATTTTTAAAATTAGTCCATCGAAATGTGAATCAGTCGATTTCTATTTAGGACCTGATGATAAACATTTATATTTTGCTACCTCAAATTCAAATCGTGGACCAATTCCTTTAAAGGCACCAATGAAAGCATGTTTGATATTTGCTAATCCGTTTTTAATGAGTTATGAATGTGACATGACAAATCTTAATAATCACATGAAGGTTTATGAGTATGATAACTCATTGAGGGGATCTTCTTATTATTATTCTGCTTATGAATATGAAACTTTAATATTAGAAGTCAGTTTAACAGAACCAATGGAATATGGATATGTTGGAATCAAACCATTAGTAAAAGACAAATCATTAGTGAACTATTGTGAGTGGAAAAATGGTCCCTTTTCAGCGTGTGATGATTTGTATTTAATGGAAAATTCCAATGAACAATGCTCAGATTCTAGCAAAAAAATTGATCAATCATGGGAGTATAATGGAAATTGCATTAAATTAAATAGTAACACAAAAGAGATAAATGTTTCACCACAAACAACATGTTTTGAAACTCCTGAGAAATCAGTTGTAGTTTTCCATCCCACAATTCAAATGAAAAAATATTTTGGAAAGATTGAAATGGGTTCGAATTCTTATTTTATTTTCAACGAAACAAACATTATTGGAGGTGATTTTCATAATTCTGGAAAGATTCTCATTAAGTCAATTATTAATACGAAACTGCCAATTTCTGTTTTTGATATGTCTTGGAAATTACCACAATGCGAATTCATTGATTTTATGATTGGTCCAATGGACGTTTTAATTGGAACATCTCGTATGAGTATCACAGGCCAGAAATATCAGTATTTTATAGAAGAAAATCAAACAATTTGTTATATTTCATTAAATGCAAAGACAGATAACATGGTTATTGATGGCAGTAGTATTAAATTGAAATCAACATTCTATACTAATAAAGGTGAAACGCCAGCAAATATTTCAAATTTACCTGAAGATTTTATGGTTTCAATTTATTGTGAAGATGGGAATGCAATCGCAGCTGCAGGGTATGAATTCAAAAATAATGGAAATGAATATCAATATAATGGAATAATTGGGAATGCAACTGGAAGAAATCCGTCAATAAAAGTTGACAATTATAAATACAAAATTATTGTTGATTCAGAAATTTCTGGAGATGATTCTAATTCTGATTCTCAATTATATTATATAATTGGTGGATCAATTGCTGCAGTAATCATTATTATTATAATCATTATTATAATTTGTTGTTGCTGCTGCAAGAAAAACAAAAGAACAAAAGATGAATCGATTGAACCATAAATTGCAAATTAATAACAGAATTTATTAAAATAATAAAAATTCTTTTATTATTATGTAGCATATATATTTCAACATTGATATATATATATATATTACAATATAGACTTTTGTTTCAATAAAATTAATGTGTTCTGATTTATCTTTCAGTTCTATTTCATCATCACTGATATTTGTTTATTGAATTTCCATCGCATTTGAATATATGTTTTTCAATTGCATATGTGCTTTGAACTTTCCATCAGTATTAAGATGATATTAAATCGTTGTGTAAATGCTGTTAGATATATGTTTATAAATTGCCATATATAGAAGCATACAAAAATTTAACTTCCTTTGCTAAAATTATAATTAATTGAAGATCCATTCAATGAATACCTGACTTATCTCGTTATGGTTTCATTTTAATGTTATCTATCACGCAGTATCGTTATGTTATATGCATCTGGGATCGTTCAAAGCATCTTTGATTACACATACTTTTAGCTCTGTGAAAAAGCAGGTGTAAATTAATATTTTCATTAATCTATGCTATTCATAATAATAATTTTCATACAAAATTATATGTTAAAATAGCGATACAAACAGTTTATTATCATGGTAAAAAATATATAAAATTATTTCTTTTTCTTTTTTGAATTTCTGAATTTTGCATCAATTTCCCAGAGCCTATTGGCCTCTTTAAGGATATTGAAAACGTTAGGTTCTTGCATATTTTGCAAAACTTCAACAATTACAGAAAATTCCAATCGAGTAAAGCGAGAAGATACTTCTTCGATGTGAGCGACAGCAACATAAAGAATATAGTCACTTAAATGCTCTAATCTCGAGAAGCAGTTATCCCATAAAAATAATAAAGATGGCAAATCGTGTTCTTGAGCAAATATCAGATTAAACCATCTAAAAGCATATATAAATGGATCTAATCCTAATGAATCAAATAAAGAACAGAGTTTTGGACATAATCTATTAAATAATGTATGGAAAACCTCTAATCGTTGTTCAAGTTGCGATGACTTATCTCTTGTATCGTAGTATTCACTAATAGAGGTCGTAGTTAGCAAATTTTGGAATAAATAAAAGGTTATTGCTTCACATTCAAGTTCATTTCCATCGAAAAGCCGTTTTGCCTTTGTTATAACATATAATATTGGGGCAACAAGTTCGTTAAAACCTTGCATGTAACCATAATTTTCATTTGCCCTAGCAAAGACATAGAGTATTCTCTCTAACTTGCGTATAGTAGAGTGAAAGGCATATAAGCATTCATCAGTGTCATTTTCAACTAAAACTGGATCTGGCGGGAAGAAAAAAATATGCCTTCCAGTTCGAATGATGTCCGTATGTATTAATGCCATAACTGAACTATATGGAAGATTTATATCTGCTTTGCGGGTGTTTTTCTTCATAATGACTGTGAGCCAATTTTCAACCCCATATTCTTTGATGAGTATATCATATAACGAAAGTATTTGAGCACGTATTAGTGGCCATTCGTTCGGATTCTTTGGGAATACGCCAAAAACTGAAAGCCAAGCCATACATCGATCTTCTGCGGGGCAATCTGATAAACCGCCTCGTAATTCCATCTTAATCTTCTGAATATCGATCTCATGACCGTCGGGGTTGGGCTGAACAAGTGGAAGAATGCGAAAATTTGGAATTTTTTCTTCAAAATCTACCATATAAAATTAGACTAAAAAAATTTTTGCCAATGTCGATAATTGAGTAAGGCTTTACATCAAAATCACTGGTATATAAATTGTCTATCATTAAGGTTGGTAATCTTCAAAGTTATTTCCTTAAAAATTTTTAATATCTAATCAAAACATTGTTTCAAAGGAATATCGTGAATTGATAAATATGTATTTGCCATACATCGATTTGTATAATGCGATGTATCTGCTAAAAATGCAAAATGACAATGAATTAGACGTGATTTAAAGAAAATTTCCACAAAAATCAATCTTTTCCAAAAAAAGCGCCATATCCAAAATATCATAAATGGCACATGATGGAAAACTACTGCTTATTGAGACCATGTAATAATAACAGAGGCATTCCTTATCTTTTCCTTTCAAATTGTGTAAATATCAATGAAAAATATCGAAAATGATAATAGCAACTCTTCATCGTGCTGCATATAGTGGTGGTAAAGAAACAATCGAACTTCTTCTCTAGCTGAGTGCAAATATCAATGAAAAAAATCATGATGGTAAAACTGCTCTTCATATTGCTGCACTTAATTATAAAAAATAATTAAACATTTTAATAAATGTATTAATAGAGCTTTTTTATTATGTATACAAGATCAAAATTGAGATAATTAACGAAAAAAGTGTGATCTAGGAAAAATATCAAACTAAAAGGTTTTTCTATTCTATTTTTCGCATTTCTTGATGAAGGCATTATATAATTGTTCTGTATGGAGGAAAATAGAGACATTGAAAGCCAATCAGGACAAAATCATATTACCATCATATTGGATTTCAGGCAAAAGTTATACTTATTGAAATGCAATTAATATTGGATATATATTAATAAAAAATAATACAAGATAAAAAAAAAAATTATTAATTTTTTATTGAATGTGATAAACAATAGATCATGGATATACTATGATCATCAAAATGTTAACAAAGTTGGTCATATTGATTAAAAATAGTTTTAGAAATTAAATGATGTAAAATCTATAATTTATCAAACAAAATTAACGATGGTTTTGTAGAATTCCGCAAAAGTTAGTTTTCTTCAGGACTTAATGTCTCAACTAATGCGATTAAAAGCATCCAAACAACTCCGATGAAAAACATTAGGAAATGCCAAAGTTTTTCACAGTTTGCTAATTGTCCTTTATCAGCGACCATGTATGACCATTCATAAGCTCCTACAAATAAAAATGTTCCGGCAGAAAATGCGCTGACAATTCCAAGCGCAAGATTGTTCTGTACGAATTCTACAACAAGAATACCTACAATAATGCCAAGAGGAGTCATGAGAGTGTAAAAAATAATCAATGGCCAAAACAAAAATTTGTGTGGACGTTCCTTTATGACTACAAGTGATATTGCAAAAGCTTCTACGGGCTTATGGCCAACAATAGCACATAGAATTGCAATAACACCATCTAATTTCTTCAAAATTCCGAGAGCCAAGCCAGCAGTAATTGAATGGATGCACATAATAATGTAGAGTGATATCGTAGGAATGGATAATTTTCTGCATTTATCTGAAAACATTTCTTTGATTTCTTCATCTTCTTCTAAAGGGCTTGCTTCGCTTCTTTCTGTAGCTGAATTTCCTTCATTTGCGTTGTGATTTGCATTTATGTGGAACTGAGATGCGTCATGCTCACCAAAAGTGAACATTTCTATAAATGTAAGAACGGTAAATGTAGATATTGCAACAGCAGGGGCTAATGGATAATCGATTTTACCCTGTAGTTCTTAAAATGAGTCTCCAAGCAAGTGAGCGAGGCCGGCACCCAAGAAAACGCCTGCTGCTAATGCTTCAAGGCGGCTCTGCCACTTAATACGCTTAATAAAGAGCACAAGAGAATTTCCGAACAATGTGGTAACTCAGATGATTGCAGCGCTTATATATTTTAACGCAACTAACTTCATGCTTTATTGCTTTTTGGCAGAAGCAATTTTCAAAATTTTTGTAAAAAAAAATTCAGAACACAAATATATAAATTCTATTTAAAATCATTCCTAATACATTTCTAGAGTAATTGTTTTCAAAACAAATTTTTTATGGAGAAATGTCTTTGATTCTGATGTCATTCAATATTGCTCATAATCACCATATGATGCTAAATATCAACTTGAAGCATATATGTTTTCATAAGAGAAATTTTCATCGTATTGTAACTATTCAAAATAAGGGGAAAAAATCTGAATCGTAAAATGGTTTTCTTTTTTCAGATACTCATATTTTTCGAAAATGTGTATTATATCCATTTGGATATAAATCCTTCTGAAATAAATGCACAATTACGATCTTTACAAAATCAATAATTTCCAACATTATACATCTTCATTCGTGCGTTAGTACATTTGTTTTTCATAGATCATTTATTTGAATTACACTAGGCATTACAGCAAATAGGATAATTGAATCTTGAGCTTATTCTTAAATTTCACTTTGGATCCACAAAAATGCAGGAATGCATTCTCATTATATGGGCTAGCGAAATTAGCTTTGGCATTATGTATTTCATCATAAAGAAAAAAAAAATTGAAAAATCTTTTGAAAACTCATTGATTAATTACGATAGCATAATACATATTTTATAAACATAACAAATTTAATACACAAGTTTATATAACATCAGTTCGTTCGTAAGCCTTCCATGTAGATGTTTCAATAATCAATTTCCACTTGGGGGAAGGCTCTATATCATGTTTTAGTTCATCACGGTCGGTCTTATGATAAGCAATATACTTCACATTATGTTTATCTAAATATGTTGTATTGTCTGGATTCTTCATTAAAAGATTTAATACTTCTAACCGTTTTTTATTGTCTAGGTTATGCGAAATCATCCATCCTCCATAGCCAACGAGAACTTGTCTTCCGGCCAAATTCGAAACAGGATGATTATGGAAGGTATCTGCTGCCCACACTTTCGTAGGATCTGTTTTAGCTATAACTTCTTCGGCAAACTCATATGGAAAATCATCATAATTCCATTGATAACAAATTTGAGGTGAAAAGTGAGCAAAACCGGCTATTCCTGAGGCAACGCAAGCTATTATGAATAGATATGCTGTTATCTCTAGAAAATTTGAATCTTGCTGCATCAAATATATAATATAATTGCAAACTACAGCAACAGCTAAAGGAGTCCATCCTCCATGGAAAACTTTTGTATTATCCATGTTCCATGGCTGATATTTTATGAAATTCGATACATAATAAACGAAAAGTGCAGGAATATATTGCATAAATTGCTTTTTTGTAAGAACAGAAAGCCCAAAAATGATTGAAATGGCCCAAAATATAAATAATCCATCCCACCAATACGTTAGAGCTCCAACACGATCATCTTTCCATATAGGTTTTAATTTTGTAAAACCATTAGTAGAAACTCGACCGAAAAATGGTATTAATTGCGGAATTCCTATTCCCAGAGCTGGAATTCCCATACATATATAGCATTTTATTTGGAAAATAGCCTTCTTTTTGTCTTTCCAAGGAAAATTAATGATTCCAAAAGCCAGAGCGAACTCAAATGCTGAAATACATGCATGTGCTTGTATATGTGGCATTATTGCAACAAGAAGTCCGGCCATTATAAATGGTTTTACAGATTTAAATTTTTGATTCAATAAAATAATGATAAAACCATAAGAAAGAGGTAATCCGAAGACAGTCACACGCTGTGGAAGGAAAATATGCAAAATTGTATGAAGCCAGTACCCTGTTTTCCTATCTCCCCAATGATGAACGTAATCTGAAATAAAATCTTCTCTAGATCTCGGCAGGAAGTAGCAGAAGACACCCCTTCCGCCCATAAACAAAAAAATCCATGGGCCAAGCATAGATGCATATCGATTTTCTGTAAAATTTGAAATTATATTATGAAGTAAAACAAAAATCGAAATAATTAATAAACTAGATGGTATAACTAATGAGTAATGATATCCGATATTAAAGCATACAAATAGTATGGCTGCTTGATAATCTGCAATAATTGGGTATGCTAATTTTTCATTTGCGTAAAATGGAGATAAAATATCAAAAAGATGCTTTCTGTGCATATTACATCCATATGCAAAGCTTGAAATTATATTGAGGTGAAATGGAAGATCGCCATATTGGGCACCAATAACGTTAAAATCCTCGTAAAGGAAAGTAGTTTGATAAAAGTACAATACTAATGCCGATGGTAATATGATTGAGATAATAAGCTCTGCCATTGTAATGTTATAAGATTTTCTGTATTTTTTGAATCGAAAACGAAGAAATAAGCTAATGACTAAGAGAACTAATGTTACACTCCATGCAAGTGTGGCAGATAATTCGTAATATAAGCTTAAAATAAAAATTATCCAAGTAAATATTCCCATTCCAAAAGGAACTCCTATTGAAAATACGACAGCCCAGTTAAGAAACTTACCAATAAATGCATGAGCAACTTCATAGCCAAAATAACTGCATATCAAAATGTGGAGAAAGGCTAGAAGGATGCTCAGCATCCAAATGACAAAATATATCTGAAATAAGATCTAACATCAAGTATACATCACTGATATGTATCAATATCAATCAAGTTTTTACTCTGAAATTAAAATACAAAATTGGATATGATTTAGATTCATTCATAGGTATACCGTGCAAATAAGGGTTGGTAATATGTTTAAATATATTTTTATAAAACTTTTAATTCAACAGGGGTAATTTCTGAAAATCCTGATCTCCTAAGTGGATCAATCTTGCCAGATGCAGCATCGTACAAAAGATCTTGTAAGAATTTATCCAATGATTCGAGCAGTTCTGGTTTCATAAAGCAAAATTCAATACTTGTAGACTGGCCAAATAGTAAACATTCAGGTTGCTTCTTATAAATATAGCCAAGAACTCTAAGAAGGAGCTCTGGGCTTTTAAGTAATCTGATTTTGTGAATAATTGACTTTGGTGAAATTTCTTCATCTTTCTGTGAAAATATACTTGCACATGGAGTATTTTCTGTTGGTTTGGTTGGTGTATTTGCAATAATTAAACTATCTGCAATTTCGCGAATTTCGTGCTCTGCAATTTGAACATTTATAATATGAGGTGATAAACTAGGGTGCATAGTGACCATTAATTTTTCGAATTCAGAACTTAATTGCATTGCTGCAGCTTTTCTAATACTGTTATCTGGAGAATTTTCATATTCTCTCATTAAAAATCGTCTCATATCTGATACCCATTCGTCTGAATTTGCATATACGTGTCTATCTAATCTTTGTTCAATAATATCTAATGTAATTGGCTTTGTAATCTGTTTTGGAATTAGATGAGCATTTTCATCTGTAAATAATTTTGAAATAGGAATTCTCTTTAACTCAGAGAGAATTCTTTTGCAGAGATAATCTTGTTCTTCAATCATAATTAAAATTTATCAAGGGGGAGAAAACAGTTTATAAAAGGTATTATAAAAACAAAGAAAGAGGATTATGAGTATTGATATTCTGTTCTATAAAAAGGTAAAAAGGGCAAATTCAGTAGCTTAGAGCTGAAATTAAATTTTGTTTCGAAAATATTGTTAGTAAAGAAGCAAAAGAAACAATTTTCCTATAATAACTCATCTAGCAGAAGATATATTTTTATCCTAAATGTTATGAATAAGAAAAAATTAATAATTTTTAAAGAGATAGAAGAGTGATAGTTTATTAAATACAAAATTATCGCGCTTATTGAGCAAGGTGGTTGAGAGCGATCTCCTTTTCGTGGAAGAGATCCTTCTCAGTGAAATCGAGCTTCTCACGGAGCCAATCGTTGACTTTGAAGCCTTCAACAACATGGATCTTTCCTTCCTTGTCAACATTGCATGGGAATGAGAAGACAACTCCTGGCTTGATTCCGTATGGATTTCCTTCTGGAACTGGGATACCCATTGAGAGAACTTCTCCTGGGGCTGTTCCGAAGAGCCAAGCCTTCATGTGCTGGATAGCAGCCTTTGTTGGGGAAGCTGCACTTGTGAAGCCACGGTGCTCAAGAATATCCCAAGCACGGTGTCCGATCTTCTTGAAGAATGTATCGAAGACGTAGTCATGGTCGAGGACATCGACAACCTTTTGTGTCTTTCCTTCCTTTGTGAATGTAGCTTGTGTAAGATCTGCAACCATTGACTCGCCATGGTTACCCCAAACGATGATATCATGAACATCCTTGACATCAACGCCGAGCTTTGAGGCAACTTCGTAGTAAGCACGGTTTTGGTCGAGCATGCTGAGAGATGAGAAGTTTTCTGGCTTGAGATTCTTAGCATGGAGCATTGCGATTTCGCAGTTAGTGTTATCTGGGTTACCGATAACGAGAACTTTGACTGATGGCTTAGCCCACTTTGAGAGGTATTCACCAGTGTTCTTGAAGATAACACTGTTTGAGCTGATGAGGTCAGCGCGAACTTGACCTGGCTTGAGTGGCATTGAAGCAACTAAGAAAGCGCAATCAATGTCCTTGAAAGCGGCTTTTGGATCTGTTGTAGCAACGAAACCAGCAAGATGTGGGAATGCACAATCTTCGAGTTCCATTGTAAGTGCTGTAAGTCTGTTCATTGCTGGTGGAATATCTAAAAGATGTAAGTAAACTTGGCGATCGCCATAGAGTTCACCGCTGGCAATCCAGTGAGAAAGGATGTAGCCGATTTGGCCTGCTGCGCCAGTGATAAGAACATGTGCTGCTTCACTCATTGAAGAGAAATGATTTTTTTCTAGAGTAGTCAATTGATGACCGACCTAGTAATCAATTTTTCTATGAGTTATGAAAAATTAGCGGTTTTTGAACCATTTCAATAAATAATTGTCGAACTATTGATCAACTTTATGTAGTTAGTATTAATTCTGATTTTTAGACCAAAATTTTTCTGAACCGTAAAACGATGAGAAATCATGGCCAAATATCCCTCAAAAATTATACAACGTCAAAGTTAAAAATTGGTATTTCGATATTATACTAAAGCATGATGTTAATTTATTCATTTCATTAATGACCTGGCATTTTCAATGAACTGTCAAAATAAAAAACTTCAAGGAAATTAAAGATATAGACCCTAGCTTATGTCTAAAATATCATAGAGAATAAATTAGAATTAGAGTTCGATTATTTTGTTATGACCAATTTTCTCCGAAGTGTAGAATACCATACTTTCGCCATAATATAGAAGAAAATTATAAAATCTATTAATTTTGCATGTTTTTCAAGTCGGTTATTTTGATCTTTTTCACAAGATGGCAAAGTATAATCTAAAATGGTTTCAACTCAATTATTTTGTCATGTCATACCATTTAAAGTTAAGTATGTCAACATACCTTTCATTTATCCACACTGTTGAAAAATATGATGAAACCAATTTCAAACTTCCACAATATACTTTGTCAATCTAAATTTAGCCTAAATTCCGTATACTCATAACATTCTATTTGATTTTTTATTAAATTAATAGAGTAACGAAATAAATCAGACGGCAACTTAACAAAAAAAGATCAAATGTTCTTTTAATTGGGGCAACTCTACTTACTTAAAGTGATCCGCTGAATTAAATATCCCAAAATAAATGTTTGATCTAACTCGGATTATGAATTATTACATTTACATAAGAAAATGAGAAATATATGTTCGAACAGAGCCGGAAGTGATTTCTATAGGAAATAAAAACGCCAAAAATGATTTTCAAATAATAATAGGAATAAAATTAAGCCAAATTTGTCTAAAAATGAAATTAGTGGACCAGAAAGATGAGTAAAAGCTATTTATTTTATCCGAAAGATAGAGATAGCTATTGATGTGAAACGAGAAACGTATTATCAAAAGTGCCTGTAATATGGTGTCCGTTTAAAAATTTAAGTATAAGATGTCGGACGACAGCCTGTTAATAATTGAATCCGACTCTGAAGAAGGACCACAAATATTGGATGCTGACCCTTTCCATATTGAGCCAATGAATGTTGCGATTCAAGCATTCGAAGATGAACCTCCACCATTAAATCAACTTGCTTACGATAATGAGCCACTTCAAACAATAGCAAAACATCTCGAATTTTTAATGACACAAGAAGGAAATGTTAAATACAATCAGAAAACTCGCGAAAGTTTATTAAAAGTAATTACCGTTTTTGCTTATCAATCGGGAAAGCATGCAATTTCTGCTTCAGCACCTGTCCAACTACCAGGTACAACTCCTAAAGTACAAAATCCCGAAAAACAGAAAGAAGAACCAGCAATATCTGCTCGTGAGTTCAAGAAGTTAACTCAACAGCTTTTAAGATCGCAAGAAGAGTTAGCAGATTGTCAGCATAAATATGCTCTAGCTGAGCAACGTGAGCAAATCCTTCGAAAAGAAATTCATCAATTACAACAAGAAAATGATGATTTATTCAAGGATAAATCTCAACTCTTATCAAAGTTGCAAACCACAAGACGTGAATTTGATGCTATTGAGGGCGATCTCAAGCAACAACTCTCAAAACTCAAAGATGATAATTCAAACTACCGTGACAACTTAAATCAGAGTTCATTTGCAGCAGAAAGATTACAAAAGCAAATTGCTTCTCTTAATGAAGAGCTTGCTACAGCCACATCACAAAATAACAGGTTGCAAACAAAACTTAATTCCAAGATTGAGAGTATGAAGCAACTTAGACACAAATTGCATGAAACAGAAATACAAATGCATAATACAGAAGCAGAAAACGAAGAATTTAGTATTCGGATTGGTGATCTTACCAATAAAATTGATCAATTAGCACAACAATTGCAGGATGAAGGTCCAGATGCATTTTCAAAGCTTAAAGAGGACAAATCTAAATTAGAGAATGCACTTAACATTGCTGTTAAACATGTTGAAGAACAAGCGGCCGAAATTAAGAAATTAAATAAGATTAACACTCAATGCTACGGAATTATTAACAGACAGACTGAATTGATCCGTTCATATGATGACTATTCAGATAAAATCAAAGAAAAAGCTGCTGAAGAGCAAATACAGAATAATACCTTAACAGCAATTCCTGCAACAACAATCCAAGAGCGCTCTATTCCTCCAATGCAAGCGCAATCATATGTTCAGCCACCTCGTATAAGCCCACTTACAGAATCCTATTTCAATGCAATCGTTGACGTGCTTCGTCCAAGATTTGGCGATATTGCAAACGATCAGGTACTTGATATTGTTACAAAGCTTTCCAAAGGAACAATAGATAATGAGATGACAGAACTTAATAAGAGGCTCATGACCTTAATTGAAAATCAGCTTAGATTCCTTTATCAAATGGCTAATAACGGTGCTCTTCAGCTTTATCTTTTATCTTCCGATAAAGCTGATGAAATTTACATGGATCAGATTCCATTTAGAGACCAAATTCTTGTTGAAATCGCCAGATGCCGTTCCTTCCTTACACTCAATAAAGTTGATCTTCCAGAACATGATATTACACCAACAGTTGCTAAGACAAAGCTTGATAAAGTTGATGATTCAGCAGAACTTCCTCAACGTGAAGCCTTTGATATTGCTGCATTGCAATCAGCTAATGCCAACATCATCAGAACTCTTGGTGAGAAATTAGCTGAACAAAATGCACAATTCATTGTTGGTCTTACAGAAATTGCCAAACTAATTAACTACGATGATAAGATAGAAACAATCATGCCTGTTTTAGTTGCAAAGATCAAGAACTTCATTGCTTGTGCAAAGGATTGTTCAGAAGCTGAAGGTGAATTCGATTACAACAACTTTGATGAATCAGTTAAGAAGATTCAATCAATATACAGAAAGAATGCCATTGTCTTTAAGTCTCTTGGAGCTGGGCTTCAGGAGATCACAAATTATAATGGCGATATAGACAAACTTCCAGCTCATGTTCATAAATATATTCAAGATATGAACAAAGAACTTGAAAATATAATTGCGGCCAGAACAAAGGATCTCCTTACACAGGCAGAAGAATTCGATAAGAAGATGGAAGATGAAAAGGCATTAAGTACAAAGAATTTAGCAGAGTTAGAAGCTAAAGTTCAAGAACTTGAAGAGCGCAACCAAGATTTGAATTCGGCAAATACAAAGCAAATGAATGAAATCTCTTCATTGAAGACAAACTTACAAGATGTTACAGAAAGAAAAGAAGATTTCGAATCCAAGTACAACCAACTTAATGAGAACATCAAAGAGATGGAAGGTGAATTACAAAGGATGAGAACAGAAAATAGTAATCTCGAGGCTGAAATGAGAAAGAGAGATAACAACTTCGAACAAAGAATCATGAAAGCACTTGAAACAGAAAGAGCATCTCATGCACAAGAAGTTGAAATTACAGATAAGAGAATGAAAGATCTTCAGCAGAAACATGAAGAACAAATGGCTGCCAAACAAGCTCTTCTCCGTGAAACAAAGAAGAAACTTAAGATGGTCATTACAACATATGATGACGCCTTCAAGAAACAGAAGAATTCAATGCAAGCACTTAGACAACAGAACCAAACTTTGGTTGCAAAGATTACATCAATGACAGGAAATGGCGGAAAGAATGAACCGAATGATGACGCAGCCAAAGCACTTGCAGCTGAAATACAACTGCTTGAAATGAGATTGAAACAGGCTAATGAAGATGCAGAAAAGGTTGCAAGTGTTAAGGATACCTATTGGCAGTCTCAAGTTGCTTTAGTCGAATCTCAAATGATGGATAACTTACAGAAGAAACTTGAAGAGGCACAAAAGACTCATGAACAATTTGTTGGTGCAATGATTGATGAATTCCAGAAGTATTGCTCTTCAATTTATGATGGCACTGAAGAAAGCGCTATGCAGATTGCTAAAGAAGTTGCTAATAAAGTTGAAACTGTCGAGAAGCAATGCGCGATTGCACAAAAGAAAGCTGATCTTATTCTCGAACAAAAGAGAAGAATGGAGCAGAACCAAACAGATGAAATTCCAAAGGTTGTCAAGATGATTAAGTCCCTTCAAACATGGGAGAAATGGGCAAAAGATATGTATTCAAATGCTTCCAACAGAGATGCAAAGGATGAAACACCAGAATCTTTGAGGGCAAAGCTTGGTGATATGATTATAATATCTTCTGCTTATGGCAAAGTTATTGGATGTCTTGACTCTCTCAGAGTACAGAAGAAAGCACTTCTTAATCATATAGGTGATATTCAACCTCCAAATTATATGACTTCTGGAGCGTTTGCGAAAATTGTCCTGTTTGCAGTCAGGGTTTCAAAGCTTGGCTGTAAAACAGTAGCATTTATTCCTAGTTCAATCTGATTTGTGTTAGTATAATGTTATTATTTATTATTATGTGTTTTTTATTAAAAGATACTTTTTTGTTATTCAGAAACATTTTTAACACAATAATGTTGTTCCTTTAAGTTCTTTGATTATAATAAAAACCAGAAAAAATACCATTATATTTAAATAATAAACATATTTAGTAAACAAAATATAAATCAATGGTTGATTGCTTTTGCTGCTCTGCTAACAAGCTTATACGCTGTATCTCTAGAAATATCTTCATTAGCTCCGAGGAAATCATGAAACTCAACTGCTATGTGGCCAAGCAATTCGTCTTCATTAACATTCCTAAAGAGATCATCAATTTCTTTTAGTTCCTTATGATCTTTATATCTTTGAACTTCCCTCTTTATTTTCCTCAAGTTCATCCTTAAACGGCAATTTTCATCTTCAATTTCTCTCATTTTATGGCATCTGCAATTATCTTTTCTGATTGTCCCGCATATACAATCTAATTCATTTGGATGAACTGTTGCATATTTTTCAATTTCTTCATCTTGAACTTGATAAACTCTATGTCCATGCCATCCTTCAAGGTATTCTTGCTGTTCTAGTCTCTTCTTCTCTTGATGTTTCTTGAGATACTCTCTAACTCTTTGCTCTTCCCTTCTATCGATTTCTTTTTGACGTTCTTTTGATTTTGATGATTTATGAGTTTTGTGTGAGATTTTGCTCTTGGATTTGTCGGATACTTCTGATGATTTGAGTAATGAAGATGTAGAAACCGAGTTAGTTACTATGCCTGATGGGCGAATTAAGTCTGATGTTGCAGTTTTTGTAGATTTTGAATCTGAAATCTTTGACTTTTTTGTATTTGAATCGGTGAATACTGGTATAGGAGCAGGTGATGAAGTATCTGAGATCTCTGAATCAATGTAATTCGTCTTAATTCTTGTGGCATTTTTATTAGATTTGAAATTGTCTTTTACTGTATTTACAACAATAATAGGTGTATCTGATCTTTGTTTCTCCTTCTTTTCTTTTGAATCAACAATAATAACTTTTGTTGGTTTAGATTTATGTTTTTGAGATAATTTACTATTAAAGAGTGAAGAATCATTTGTGTTTGATGATATACTTTGATGAGAATGAACAATTAAGATGTTATTGTCGCTTGATGAGTTCATCGATGAATCCGATGATGAATCTTCCGAACAACTACAGCCAATTAATGCTCTTGCTGTAATATTTTTTGAATGTGGAGCTTTATTGTTAGTTGTTTGAACTATTTTATTTAAGTTCGGCTGAGAACATGTTGATTTTTTGGATAAAAGATCTTCTAAAGTCTGAATTCTTTCTTCAGCACTTCTAATTCTTGTGCGTAATGCAGATTTTTCGTGATGATCTCTAATACCTTTTTCCTGTATTAAATCGATTATCTCATATTCTTGCAATTGTTTTCCTGCGCTATTATATATTTTAGATGTTGTAGTATCTAGGTTTTTTGCATATTCTATTAGAGAATTTGTGCTAGAATTCGTTGAAGAATGCATAAAACACTAATTACTAAACGTACATTAAAAGAATCCGATTCATAATTTGCGCAAAGAATCATATTAGTTTGTTATAATGTTCAATTATTGAAAATTTTGCAATTTCAAGCATCAATAAAATTTCGTCAATGAAAAATGCATCGTATGAACTAAAATAACTTAATAAATTAGATAGAAATTCATGAGTTCTACGAGATTTTTGAATGTTGATTGGTTATTGGTCGTTTTTGAATTGAGTCAATAATGAGATATCTTTGATCTTTGGCTCTCTTATATTGATTCGTTGTTCTTATATCATATGAAAGCATTTTTTCGTGATTACAACGATATTAACTTCTGATTACAATTATCGAATTGGCAGAATTTCTGTCATTTGATGAGATTTAATTATATGTCTTAGATACAATTCAAAAATGATGATTTAATTTTCTACTAATTAGCTGATTCGACAATCTTTTCGAAACCCACGAATCAAAAATTAAAAATATGTTTTCCTAATATAATTATTTAATAAACAAAGAATATAAACTATATAAAACTTGTAAAGTTATTATTATCCACCAAGTCGGAAACGTAATCACCAAAATACTGGTAATGGATCTGAAGAAATCTGTGTCTTGGTTGGGAGTCTTGTGATGTTATCATGGAGAGGCTTCCTTTCCTCTAATTTGGCAAGTCCTTCGAGTTGATCTTTCAAAAATGTTAATTTTTTGGATACATTTTGATATCCTTCGATTTTGGAAAACTTCTGGTTAACTATTTTAAGTCTTTCTCTTTTCAAATCCATGCATAATTTTGAGTTCTTAGGGATGTACTTTGGAATCAAATCATTCTGATAGGGAATGACGCAGATAATATCGCCATCATTCATGGAATAAAATTTGAATGTCATCGAATCTAAGAGCACTTTCTTTTTATATATGAAGATGCAATCATCGCCCTCAATGGTTCGTAAGTAGGATATATTGTATTCTGGATTGATCCTGACTTGTCTAATGTCATGGTCTCTGTTGAAAGTCCTTAAGCAGATTGTTGATGGGTAATCAACTTGATTCATTTAGAAAATGATTTCTTTTGAAATTAAAATTGAATAAATTTAGCAGATTAGACTAATTGTTCATGGATCTGATACGAAATAGAATTTGCAATAAATTATATTACTATAAAGCGTTAGAATTTAAATGATCACAAATCCGAATGTGTATTGAATTTCAATTTTTAGTTGGATTGAAACGAATTGAGAAGTTTATGAATTTTGCCGGATGAATAAAGTTAAGGGATGATAAGCAGATAATATAATGGTAACATTTTATGAATCAGTTCCAATTGAAATAAGATGGTTTCAAAAAATTTTCGGCATAATTTAATCTAATATTCTACACTAGAAAGGAGTTTTAGTTCCATTCAATACTTATATGAAAAGTTTGAACTCTAATAATTATAGTATCTTTCAATCATTCAAAAAACATTACTCTTGGAACTTTTCAAAAAATTTGTGAAGATGAAATGTAAAATTAATTGGTCTGATAAAATTTTGATGCAGAATTGAATATATCAAGCATTACAGTTGAATTACTAAATTGAAATTGAATTATGATTGGCATTGAAGGGAAAGCAAAAAAACTGTAGAGAAAATAGTTTAATATTAAACTATTTGTTTTGTATGAGATAATCCCGCAATGAGTAGCTAAGAAATTGATTGAAATTGATTAGTAGAATACATTCAATTTCCATCTAGTTTTGAGAGAAATATTTTTATACTACTGTTTCTAGAGCATTCAATTTGACTTTGAATACTACTATAACTATAATTTTGTTGTCATTTAGACCCATATTCAAGTTAGAAATTGTTGGTCTTATTTACTTTCAATGCCTGCATAAAATTTTTATCATTAAAAATTTGGATTGAAAAAACATTCAAGAATATTTGATTGCATACTATTTTTGTACTTGTTTCAACATTTTTCAAGCAACATAATTTGGTGAGCTCTCGCATTTTTATTGAAAAGCCCCTCACTTTATACCATCCATAGGAAATTGATATGTATTCATATTATACATTTTGTTATGAAAAAATGATAAAAAAAAGTCTACTGAAAACAGTATTATAATAATTCATCAAAACCATCAATTTACATCATAATTCTTTGAAAATAATCAAGAAAGGAAGAATTTTTAAAAATCGATTTCTAACTCTTTAGTAAAAACAGATTATAATAAGAAGATTTCCTTGGTTACTGGGATTACTGCAATTTTAATGAATTAATAAAGATAGCTAGCAATTAAATTTCAAAAATCATTGTTTATACTGAATCAAATAATAACCCTTCAAAATATAATTCTTCATTTTACAGCGTTATGTGTTTCTAAGAATATTTTTTCATTTTTTTAATTCAAAGTGTAAAGACAAAATAAAAGATCACCGCTGGTATCTTTCACATGCTTTATTTGAAATTTGTACCGATGTCCTCAAATTCAATAAATTTGAACATTACATTCAATGTTTTTTGTTTTATTTATCGATTTAAATCTTGATATAATTCTGATTATAATCATATTTATGTCGCTGAGCAAATACAACTAGGAATTCCACCAATATGATTTCTTGTTTCAATTATTCTTGAATTTTAGTCAAACATTTGAGCATTGATTTCTACTATGTTCCATGTTGAAATGAATCTCTTATCGAAGATCCAATGGCTTCAATAAATATTTGATACTTTAAAATATATAATTAGGAGACAAAACAACAATCATCATGAAAACAATTGTTCTTTTAATGTCTACTATTAAGCTAGATCATCATTTGATTTGATGGAGAAAATTAAAGCATTCAATACACTTTATGGATTTAACTGTAATGGATATTTCTTATCAAAAACCGGAACTGGAAATCCAATAGTACTCCATCGCTTTCAAAATTACCAACTGAAATGTGAAGAAGAAATTTTCAGATTTGTTGATACTCTACCTATAAGAATTGATACTAAAAAAATAGAATACAAAGATTTCATGATGCGTTCTAAATACAAAAGTACGTATTTTGAACTCATATTTTTCAACATTTTTGATTCAAATTTATTAAATGAACCGAAAACTATTTGCCTTCTCATTACAAATGATATGCATTCCCTAAACGATACGATGAACTTACAAAAAATCGCTAAATTCATTTACCAGCAAAATGTTCTTCAATTTTCGAAAGAAATTGTTACGAAAATACATGCTATCAAATCACAAATCAAAAAAGAAGGTATAGAAATACTATATCAAATAGCGAAAGACTTGAATCTAAACATTGATGATAAAAAAATGTTAATCGATGAAAGATTTTTAATGTCTGTAAAGAGAAACCCTGATTTATTATTTAATAAAGAGCTTTGCATAGATGCATTTAATGAATATGTTGCATTCGCTCCTTATCAATTTGAAACAAAATCCTCAAAAGAAATCGAATTTGGAATCGGAAACATATCGAAATTTAACCTTTTTACCTATGCTGCATCAAATGATCAACGATCTCTGTACGTTAAACTAGCAAATTCGACAATATTAGCTCATATCCTTTATACACTACTTATAGCAAGACCATTAATTATTAAAACTAACGATACCCAACGATTTTTAAATATGGCAGCTAAATTGACATGTTTTATACCGAATTTTAAAATTTCGAATGTAATAATACGAGATACTGTAAATCCTGTAGAATTATCTGAAGGTATGATATGTATCGCCAAAGATGTTGAATACGATAACATAGAAAATGTTTCTATCCTTTCTATTGATCAGAATTTTTATGAAGGAGTGATGGCAGAGAAAGATTCTGTGATTATGGACTTCTCAAGGCTGGAGCCTGCTCAGTCAAGCCCGTATTTCCTATTTACAGCTTATTTCAAAGCCCATCAACTTTTTAACAAAATTGAATTATGTATTAGCAAAACTGATAAAGAAAATAAGTCTGAATATAATATCTATAAGTCTTTGATCAACATAGGAATCAAAAGATGCGATTACCACTTAGTTTCGAAGTGGTTCCGGCTTCTGGGTTATAATGATGAATCAGAACTATTATTGAGGCATGCACCTCCAATTCAAAAAGGTGCCTGCTTCTTCTGAATGTTATTTGTTGTGTTATTTTAAATAAAAAAATTCGATAGTCTTTAGTTATTAAAAATTCTATTTGAAATAGCTTTTGCATCACATGTTAGACCATTACGACCTCTAAGTATTACAATAAAAATTCCAAATTTTTTTCAAAAATAAAAAAATAATTATCAATTTAACAATTTTTTAATTCAAAATTAGTATTTCAAAAAAAATTTGGAAAAAATTAACTCAGTGATTTAAACATATTTTAGGAATAGATAAAATTTTATTAACAAAAATCATTCAAATAAGAGATTTCCTATTTGGTGATATTAAATCAATTAATTCAATAGTTTCATCGCAACAAATATTTTTACATTTTAGTGAAAATTATGATTTGTAAATGAAAACCATTGAAATATCATTAGATAAAATAAGAGCCAAATATAATTTCTCAAATCCTTAATGAGGAATTGGGAATATATTTCGTAACACGATGAAAAAAGCTTTATGAAAAACTACATGTATAAAACAAGAAAATGAACTAAACAGATTTAACAGAAGAACCAAGAATCATCTTCACCTGGAGAGGTAAGGAACAAATCTTCAAGAATTGACACCTCTGGTGTTTTTATTTCTTTCTTTTCGACAATTTTTTGAGGAATTGAAAAAGAGTCTTCATTACCGCGCTTTATTCTTCTTTGAATCAAAAGGAAATGATTTTTCACATTTGCATCCGTTCTGGAGTCAAAGAACTGGCAAAGCACTGCCCATTTAGGCCCAATCTTCATATATTTTTCAATAAGTATATTTTCCTCGTCCGGAGTCCAAGGTCTGTTTTTAACGTTAGGATTTAGATAATAATTCCACCTGTCTCTGCATTGACGCGGAGTTCTGTTATTCATTTTTTGAGCAATAGTATCCCAATCGAAAATCCCGTAGTTCTGAACTAGTTGAGTTAAAAGAGCATCCTCGTCGGCAGTGAATTTGTTCTTTTTAGTTCCTTTAATCTTTTGTCTTGGTGATACACACAGCATAAATTAAAGGATAACTAATGATGCGATTCCACATCATATTTTCAGGACAACCGTTCCTATTCTAAAATCAGATAAAATATAATATATCAAATATTTAGATAATACTATATAATTTTATTTATATCATTCAATCCTTTGAAAGTCGGTTTATCTGCCATATAATTTAATAGTAATTTGAAGAATATAATACAATGTTCAAAATATATACTAATTTCTATATTTATTGAATTATACTTTTGTATTGAAAATGATCACATTTGTCAAAAAATAAACATCAAATAAAATCAAAATAAGTCAAGTTATCAATTTAAAGCGATTTTGATTTTAAACCATAATTCAATGAATACAATTTTATGGCGAGACAATCAATGTTGGATTGATTTATTTTGTCTTTTGGAGGTTTTTGGCTACTACTATTTTCTTCAAAATTCGAATGATTAATCATTGATTATTAAATCTCAGGTATCTTTACTGGAACACTAAAATTTTATGAAGACCACTACATTTCGATTCTGTTTCCAAATTTAAGGGTTCCATTAAATGCATTTCAAAACGTTGAAAAAAATTTATTGAATTTTCGAAAATTATAAGTCGAAAAATCAGATTTGTATTAAGAATAACTCATTAAAATTTAAGTATCGAAGGGTAGACTAAAATAAAAGTGACATTACCAAAAAGGGAAGTAAAAATGTGAAGTAGTGAAGGTGACCGTTTTCTTTCAGATTATTCACTTTTATCCAATGGTATTTTTAAATACCTCGTTATCCCAATTTTTCCTTTTTCTTAAATTTTCCTCAGCGGTTTTTTCAATTCAAATGGGTTCCTCGAGGAAGTCCCCTTTCATTCTATGGAATCTTTAGATCTTACGCCTGCTCTTGCTTTCATCAAAGATCCAAGAAACAAAATCAGGCTCACCAGAAAGGATAAAGCAACATCAGACCAGTTAATACTAATAATTCGCGAATTATTGTTTATTGCGTTCCGATCTGAACTTGACATAGAGTCGATACAAGCATTTGACATATTACGAATAGAAAATCCATTCATTGTAGAATCTCTTTCACTTTCCAACTTTTTTATTGATTATTTTACCAAATTTCCAGTATCAGATTGCTATGCCAGCAGGTTTTGTACTCTTATAGAGAACATCATTACTTACTTCCCGAAGAACGCAGACAAGTCAATACCTTTCTTTCCTTCTTTAGTTCAGTATTGCGATCAATACCCAATAGCAATGAGTCTTGAAAAGATACTAGGAGCTAGAATGAGGTGCAGAGTGTTTCACGCGTACTTACATGAAAAAGGCTTCGTCTTTCAGCTCATAAAATTTGCAGAAAATGATAATCTCAGGAATGAAGTCTTTGGACTACTAAACATACTCATACAGAACTCCTTATTCAAGAATGACTGTAAATCCTTGGAATTTCTCGAATTAGTCTCAGATATTTACGAAGATAATACAAATCAATGGAGATTGCTCTCTAATCTCGTAAACGAAGACAACATTGAAACACTAAGTGCATTGATACCTGCAGCCATCAATACTGTCCATCGCCAAGAAGATTTTTTTTATGAATACAAAGTTCATGCGATGAATTTCATTTTGGCAGCGACAACAGTTGATTCAACATGTATATTCAACATAGAACCACTTGTTTTGACCTCTTTGATCACTGAAATTTTTGATAAATTTTATGACAACTCAAACGCGTTGCATTGTGCGGAGACAGGTATCTTTGTACTAATGAACACTAAATACACTCGAAAAGCGTTTGTTAAACAAGTTGTTCCATTGATAAAACAATTAGTTTTTAATTACAAATCCGTTGTTCAGAGAAGTTTTATTATGCACACTTTGCATACAATAAACTCAACAAAGGATAGGAATCCTCATATATTTGATTTGTTTGATTTCGGTGAAGACATAATTAAACAAATTGAAGATTGGTCGTGTTTATTAGCCAATCCTTACGGACAAAGTAATAAATCTAATGATTTCGTCATTTCTGCTCCTAGTTCTGAATCGGATCATAGCCATGTAACTTATCCTACTCTATCTATATCTGATTTCCCTCAACCTCAATCTGTTTGCTAAATAATTTTTTTGTATTATATATATATTTTTAAAAAGTGAACTTACCACTTTTCTGACATCCTCTCAATTTTTTTGACAGTCTTGTTTTTTACAATTAGTATGTAGTATATTATGTTCGAGTTGTAAAGCTAAAATACTGATATTGAGAGAGGAAGCACTTCTCTTTTTTTACCAATTTTCTAAGTTAAAAAGTTAATAATTTTGATTAGGAAAAAGTTATATTAAATCTCAATATAATAACTTTTCAATAAAGATTGGGTTTTTGAGAACATGCCAGAAAGTGGTATAAGTGCTTCATTAAGAGTGCAATTTCGCTAATATGCATTTAATTCAAACTTCTGACAAATGACTTGAAGTAGCATTTAAAATCATATTTACCAATACTATATGTCGTACAGGAGTAAGATGCTCTTAAATCAGGTTATTGCATTTTTTTGTGTAAACATTTCATTTATCAATATTTTTGAAATAATTAGAGAACTCTTTATGAAAAATCGTCACGACTATTAAAAATTATGTCACTTTTTGACAAAAAGTCAATTTTTTATTTTATGGTACAAATAACAAAATTCTGCAATGAATTAAAGCGTGTGAATGTTATTACAGAACTTGGTATGTTGCATATCAATATTAATGACCGAATAATCAAAACAAAGAAGTCTTCAGCGATTTGTTTTTCAGATTTAATCAAAGAGAAGTATTTTATTGATAAATCCATTATGTCATTCAAAACACATCTAAATATTATATGTAAAGATTCAATTGATATACTTACTAACTTTATTGAAACAGGCAAACTTGAATTTGAAGCAGATGAGCCTCATTACCACGACATATTTGAAATTGGCAAATACTTTGGAAATCAAATTCTCATACAAATCTATTCTGAACATGTTAAATCAGATAAATCTCTTACAAATGAAAACGTTTTTCAGAAGTATGAAATTTCTGTTTTAGAAAATGATTCTACGACAATGAATGAGTGCATTGAGTACATTTCTTCGCATTTTTACAGTTTCAATGATGATGTTATTATTACAAATTTTGCCCAAAATGGATTTGAATTTTGTGAAAAAATTTTGAAATCAAAAGAACTCAAAATTGAAAATGAAGACAAACTATGCTTGTTACTTTTAGATAGGGTTTTGCAAACTGGCACGGGTTTCGAGGATTCGTGCCAGTTACGGGCGTAAAATTGAATGGACAAAGGGCAAAAAAAGGGAAATTTTTGCAACATTGTGCCACTTTACGTGCCACTTTGCAAAACCCTACTTTTAGAGGCGTGCAGAAGAAACAATGCATTATTCGATTTATTTGGCTATGTTAATTTACAATTTTGTTCATCGAAAGTTTATGATGAGATCTATAATTTTGCAGTTGAAAACTCGTTTGAATCAAGTCTTTTAACAATTTATAATGAAACTTTGAAGAACTATCATCTAAAAATAAGAAGTAATTTTGAAATATCAAATCAATCTATTGCATCAATTCAAGAACAAAAAATTCGAAATCAATTTCAAATATCAAACCAATCTATTTATGCTCCTCAATCAAAATGTGTTCAAAAAGTTTCTAAAGAAATTAAAATGAAAATGTCAGCTTCATCTGTTAGTAGTGATGATTCATATTCAAGCACAAGCACAATTGATTCCTATTCATATAATGATGAATGATCTAAAAAGATATAAACTAAAACCAAAATCATATATTCTACAATCAAGGTGTAAAGGTAATTTTAATTTGCTGAGAAGTTGGAAGCTAGAAGGTGTCAAAGACAATGGAACATATATTGAATTGGATAATCATTCCTATGAATTTCGACAAAAAGAAATTATGGAATTTCCAATTCAAACTAATGATTATTTTATTGCTTTCAGAATAACACAAACAAAGAATTCAGATAATTGTGGCATTTTCAATATTAATGTTTTTGACTTCTCAGGAGAGTTAATAGAAACTTAACCATTTATTCATGCAACCAATATAAACATTTCTTATACAACCTTAAACACCCTTATTAGACAGCTTTTTTAAGCTAGTCTCATCCTCATGTATACTTAGTAAACGATTCTGGTATGATAAAAAATTGAATTTTAGAAGTTTCATCAAACCATAAATTAATTATTGTGCCGATCTAATAATACAAAATCAGTTCTTATAAATATCCGATAGAAAGATGTTTTAGAATCTAATGATTCTACATGTCTTTTCTTTCTTTGATGTAAGATGAACTATATGAAATTTATTTTGATTTTTATTCTTAATTTAAGGGTTGACCTTAAATTGTTATCGATTCTGAGATTGACAGGACTTCCTTTTTCCATGGCCATAGCATTGCACTCATTCAATGTAAGCACAATTCCCAGTATGAACTCATTGCTATAAACGGTTTTCTCTTAAGCTCTTCAGATAGAAAGTTTGACTTTTCAATTATGGAGAGAGTTATGTTTTGAGTTTTGGAAATCTTGGACATTATTTCTTCAAATGAGATCCTTATTGCATAATAAACTAAAGTTTTCAATTTCATTTTTGAATTACTTGTACAGATTCTAATTTTGAGATGGATATTATCATTTATTTGGTATATACATCAAATACATTTATTCCAATTAAGATTTTACTAATCCTTGAAACTATACGTTTAGAGAACTTCAAAAAATGGATTCAGATACTCTTTCTTGCGAATGCTCAACAGATCTAGACGATTGCACATCTGAGTCTTCACAAAAGATAAGTAGTCTTCCTGAATTAGAATCGTCTCTTCTTCCAACTAAATCCACACCAGATACATCTGAATTACTTCAAGAAATCAATTCTCAGATTGACAATGATGAATTGTTCAATGAAGCCAGCAAGATACTTGGCAAACCTATCAATTCTAGTAGTGAATTGTTAAACGAAATCAAAAGATTCAAAAATTTATCTTATAAAAACGTCGAAGTTGATTTTGAAATACAAGCATCGTTTTTAAAGGAATTCAATAAGTATTTCGGAGTTTACGCAACTAATTTAAAGGATGCAGAGTCATATTTGCATGTTTTTCAAGATCAAATTAAACCTACTACTCAAGAAAAACCAAAACCACAGGTAGATAAACTATCAAAAGATAGGGAAGAATTGAATCGAGCTAATGAACAAATAGCAAAGCTTAAAAACGTGATTAACAATTTAGAAAGTCAAAAAAATTCCTATAAATCATCTACACTCACCAGCGACGAAATACAGTCTGAAGCAGATCATCAACTTGGCTTAGCAAATGCAAAAATCAGTTCACTTCAAAAACAGATTGAATCATTGGAAATTTCAAAAGCTCTTACAGAACATGCTTTTGCAGATCTTGGAAATTTGATTGAGTCTCAACAGAAAGAGATAGCAAGTCTCACAGTTCATAGAGAAAAACTTATCAAATTACTTAAAACTCATATTGAAGCAACAAAAGCTGCATTCAATTACAAACCAATTGCTGAACCTCCAGCAGCAAAACCAGTTATACAGCAACCAGTTATTCAACATGATGATTATGAGCTAAATCTGATTTTCAATATTGTGAAAAACTCTTCGATACCAGGCAAAATTAAGAAGGAAGTTGAGGATTTATACACTGATGTCAGATATTCTGAAGATGAGAGAATCACAAATATGATTACAAACCTATGCCAACAAATTAAACAATACGAGGTTTGTGGTAGCTCAATACGCAAAGAAAGAGAAGAAATGATTAAACGAAACAATGATGTTGAACAACATCTTGCTAATGTTCTCCAATTATTTGAAGAACAAATTAGATTCTTGCAAAAAGTTTCAAGAAACGCAGATCTTCAAGATGCTCTTATATTTAGGAAAGCCAATCCAACACCAATGCATTTAGATAAATGCACTCAAGAGGAATTAGTCAAGAAATGCGCTGTTCTTGGTAAATTCCTTGAAGATGAAATGGGATTCTTAAGTGAAGAAAAGATCAAATGCGTACTTCAGAATTCTCAAAACATCGACTCCAATCTTGTTTTCGAGCTTCAAAAGGCATCAAATATTGCATCAAGACTTGAAAAGCTCAACTCAATGCTGAACACAGGAGAAAATGCAGATACTAGAGAACTATTTGCAGTTCTCGTGGCTCAAGTCTTCATAAATGATGCTTTGTGCAATTTATCCAAAGAATTAAAATCCAAAATTGCATATTTGCAGCGTGAAATGACAAGACTGCCACAGACAACTAAAGAAGAAGTCGAAAAGTATGAGAAACAAGCAGAGGAAAACGAAGAAAGGGCAATCAAAATCCAAAAACTCGAAAAGCAAAAGAAGAAATTGATTTCTACAATTAAAGAGTTATTACCATCACAAGAACAATGCGATAACTTGAATCAGATGCTTAAATTAGTTGTAGAGCACAAGAAACAATTGAAATCTTCATTAATCATATTAATGAAAGAAAACCAAAAACTTAAAAACAGCCTGGAAGTTTCTCAAGAAAGAGTTCAAAGGAAGACAAAGCAAATGAAGATGATGGGAGCTGTCATTCAAAAACAAGGAAAAATTATTGATGAAAATGAAGGTAAGATTAAAGATCTTGACAAACAAAACAACCAATTGAAGACTGATATTGAAGCTAACAATACAAAGCACAAATCAGAAATCGAACAGTTAACTAAAACATATGATGAAAAAGAGAAAACTATGAAAGAACAAATGGAGAAGTCAATGTCGGAATATGAAGAGAAATTCGTTTACTTAAAGCAAGAAATCGATGCTAAGGATAGACAAAATCATTTCGTTAATGAGGAGAAAGAAGGCTTATTAGCAGAAATCGAACAAATCAATAGAAAGAATCAAGAAAGTATCGACAAATTGAGAGAAACAACTAATCAATTGAAGCAACAATATGAAACTGTTTTATTCGCACTCAAAGAATCTAAACAAGAGAAAGAACAATTGCTTCAAACAATCGATGATAAGAATACCGAGATCAAGTCGATTAAACAACAAATCGAATCTCTTCAGGTTGTCATTAAAGCAAATGAAGTTAAAACTAAAACACTTCAAGAGAAATTTGATACAGAAAAATCAACAATCCAATCCCAGTTTGATGTAAAATCAAATGCATTAGAAGCAAAGTATAATTCAATGAAACAAGAAATGCAAAAACAACACGAAGATTTCGTTTCATCTATTTCTAGATACATTCAATTCAATGATACAAATGAATTGGAGCAAAAGTTATCAGAGCTTTTGAATTTCCATGTAAAATATTCTCAGCAAGTTTCAGAAATGGAGAACATCCAGCTGATGTTGAATTGCCACGGCTGTATGAAATCTCTCTCTGATGCAGTGAAGAAGATAATAGAAGAGAAGCCTAAAGAAGTTACTGTAGAAAAAGTTGTTTACAGAGTTGATCCTTGTGTAGAAACTCAAGCAGCATCAAGCAGGAAATGGGAAGCTTGGGCAAGAAGAGTTCTTTCTGCAGTTTCAGAGAACAGACCATCAAATCAAGACACTGATAAAATGAGACAGTGTTTAGAAGAAATTATACTTTCTTCTGCTCATAATCATGTAGTCACAGATAGATTAGTAACTCTCAGAGCAGAAAAGGTTATTATGATTAACCATACACGAGAATTACTTCGTCAACGATCGGCTCCTCGTAGCAAGTGGACAACTGTTTTACCAATCGTTCTTTCTTGTATGCGTATGATGCGAGCAACTGGCTATGCTCAACTTAACAAACAGTAAAATTCTTTTGTTATTTATTATTATAATTCAAACACTGTTTTTTACATATTATGAAAGGCAATTTTTATGATTCTTTTTTCCCAATTCCTCAAGAAAGTACAATAATTGTTAAATAATTATGAAAAATTTCAATATCTAGAAGATGATCACTTATTGAGAAAGAGTGATTGCTTCATGGAATCGCTGATATAACAGATATTCAAATTATTTAACCAGTTAACATCATAATTTAAGTATTTTTCTTACCAAATATATTTTCATATGAATAACAAGCTTCGTAAATTAGAATAACTTCAATTTCCCTTAGAATTAAATATTCTATCGGCGTATGTTGCGCCCATAAGTTAAGATTTTTTTTAGAAAATGAAACCTAAGCGCTCAAAATTCTCAAGAGCGCTTCTGGGTGGTAGATACGAGATAGCAGGGAATCTTCCAAACATGTTTCTTACTATTTTACTACTTATTTCATCTATCTTATTCAATCTTACAGATAATATTCAATTTGATATGCGTGTATTCTTCGGTCTTACAACAATACCAGGAAAAGATAGCTACGAACTATATAATTCAGAAGTCATTGACTTTTTAACTCGAAACACTACAATTTCTAGAGAAGATTGCCATATTTGTCAAAAAATTCCACATACGCCATTCAATTATACTTATTCAACACCGCGAGATCTTTTACTTTTTATTTCTTTTATAGGTTTTAATCCATTTTCAAAAGTTTTAATTAATAATCTTCGATCTTTTGGATGTAAAGCCAAAATCCTTATATTATTCGATGACAAAGGTTACGAAGCATTCGAGAAATCTGGTTACAAAGAGAAAATTATAAATTGCTCAGTATTTCCATTTAGGGCAAATATTAATATTCTTCGAGATAAAAATAACAATAATAAACCACATAGACTAAGCGTATACGAAGCGAAAATTAAAACTATTGGAAAATTTATGGCTACTTACTCTCATCTTTTTGAGAATTACATGACTTTTGATCTCGCAGACATGTTAGTACAAGCAGACCCATTTATCCTAATTAACCATAAAAGAGAAGTACAGTTAATGCATGAAAATGCATGCGTTGCCTGTGATGATGAAACAAGAGTTCAATTTTCATACTTTTTGAAAGGAGATCTTGTCAAATATGGCAACTTTTCTCTTATAACAGGTTCAGTGACCATGGGAGACCCATTTGAATGCACAAGATTCTATGATCTCGTTTCATATTATTTAGTTAAAGACGGGCGTACTCCTCCTCAAATAGTTGACCAAGGAATATTTACACATTTATTTTTCTATGATATTTATAAGTATATTGGCCTCCCATTACGTGCTTATCATTTTCATCAGGGATATATTGCACCAAACATTGAACTTGTTCAAGGAAATATTTTCGGAAAGGTTACATTTTATAATACTAGTATTTATCCACCTGTTATCATTCACCATCCTCAGTTTAGATGCGGACCATGCGAAGATTACTTGTGGAAGTGCGCAGAAGTTAAATCTATATATACGACAAGCTGGAGTTAGAATATACATATTTGTTTTGTAATAAATTTTGTTTTTATATTGAATTCTTGTAATTTTTTAATAGATAACTCATAAACACAGATTTTTACCTCTTATATATGCAATACAATACTTATTAACCCTTCTAAATCAAAAATTATTTACTATTATTTCTATTAGAGTTGCAATTGTCTTTTCAAGACTTTTTGGATTAACATATTACAATTGTCCACGTACAGTTTGCAATTGTAATGTATCAAAATTGATTCTTTTGGCCAAAGAATCATATAAAGTTGATATCTTCGCACTTTAGATAGCAAAACATTATTCAGCATATTAGGACAAAGGATATACGATTCGAATGTCACCATATACTAAATTTCAAACTTATCACTCAATTATTATCAAAATGATTTTTAGCTAATCATATATTCTGAATCTTACATATTGGTTTGTCAATATTTCCATAAATGCAAAATAATCTTAGAATTCAACTCAATAGAAGTGTATGATTTATTTTCCTTTTATAATAATTCACTTTCATTCTTTGAAACACATGGTTCATATGTAATCGTCTGAGCAAATATTTTCCATACTTTTTTTTATTTAAAATGATTTGTTAGCGAAATGAGATTCAATTTTCAGCTGAATTCGGATAACATTTTAGTTCAATAGTTCAATGCATATACGAGGATTCCGAGTCCTATCCAAATTCAAAACGTTACTGTTCACACACAGAGTCATTACTCAAAATATAACGCAAATTCATTTTTCTGAATGTTGATTTTATGATGAACTTGCAATTTGCATAAAAACTTTTTTCTTTCAATTGAAGTTTCCCATGAATCAAATTTATATATTCAGGTTGATACTCCTCAAAAATATATATATTTTGATTATCCATGTAATTCCCCCAAGGAATGCTCCCCATACAAAATAAAATTAAAAAAGGGACTATATTACCTCGAAGTCTGGGGTGCTCAAGGCGGAAATTCTACCGCAAGACCTGTTATTGAATATGGCGGATTTGGCGGTTATTCTGCCGGAGTTTTCCTTGCGAACCAAAGCTCGATATTATATCTCCATATCGGAGCAACTGCCAACACATCGACATACTTTGGCCCAACCTATAACGGCGGCGCCAAAGGGCAAACAATTAATGATGGGTCCGGAGGCGGGGCGACTGATTTCAGGACAAAACCCGGCGGTTGGGACTCAAATTTTGAATCGAGAATTTTGATAGCAGGTGGTGGGGGGGGGGCGCGTACAGTAATGAAAATGGTCTTCATAATAGAGGTGGCCGTGGTGGTGGACTTAACGGTGAAACCGATGCCACTGGAAAAGCTCCTTATGGAACCCCTACTGGATGCGGCGGAACAATCCGCGATAAATGCGGTGTTTTAGGAAAAGGAACTGGGAATGTCTATGGGGGCGGTGGAGGGGGAAAATATGGAGGAGGCACAACAACTAATGGTGCCAATGGCGGAGGGGGAGGTTCCGGAAGTGTAGACGGTGTTGGTGAGCTTGGAAATTATAAAAGAATTTCAGATTTCTCAAAACATACCGGGAATGGTGCAGCAAGAATTACTTGTGTGCTACTAATAGATAATCCATCTGTTTGCGTATGTAATTGCATGTTATTTGCCCAATATTTACATTTGTTATTTTCAATTGTTGTTTCTTAAATCTAAATGAAAGTTTAATGATAATATTATCTTTTCAGATGACCGTATAATAAATATATACAATATGTGAATATCAAAAATCGAAACAGAATCAATTTGATGATTACAATTGTTATCAAAGCCAAGAGTAAAAATTTTGTTATCCCAATTCTATTAGCGTAACAAGTAAGAATTTAGCTTAAAAATATTTAGAAGATATTCGAAATTCGAAGAAATATTTAACAAAAAAAATTCTCAGATCCTAAAGCTACAAGTTACATTACCATAGTTTTGATAAATTTCAATAGTTAATGAATGCTAACAAATAAAAAATAAATATTTTGAAACAAATACAAACAATTTTTTATTAATTCCGCTTTAATTTTTGATTCTTTTTGGGAGTTATGAATATATCAGCATCATCATCGTCGCTTGAATTGGAAAAATGAAGATCCATAATATTATCTTCTCCATTTATAATTCTGTCAATTGATGGACTCCTTCTTATTGGAGAACCAACATAATCTGCTGGTGCCGGTGTAGAAAAGCATCGAATCTTGTCAATTGGAGAAATTGTTAAAGATCTTGCTCGTGCATTTATGAATTTACGTGGTTCTGTCTTAGGAGTTGACATTTGTATAATTTTCCTTTGTATGAATGTATCAATTCGCTTTTCATGCGAAATATCTTGATCAAGAATTTTATTAATTTCTTTAACTGGAGTAATGCATGGAGAAAGAATCTTAGGAGTATCAGTACTTCTAAATATGACAGTATTTGCTGATATATCGAGGTTATTCGTTAGATTATTTTCATTTGATTCTTCTTCTTCCTCTGGATCTATTGTAACAGAGTTTTTGCTAAAATCAACCAATTGAAGCTTAGCAGGCGGGCTCCAACCTTCTGCCATCGCAAATAATTTCCAATTTTCTTCGATGTCTGAAACAGTTTTGAATGCATAGGGAAAAGGAACTTCATGATGATCACCTTTGTATTTTAAAAGCACTGAATTGAATTTAATTGAAGGTTCAACATAATCCAAATGTTCTTCATAACCAAATGCAATTGTAATAACAAATTTCGCAAGTCTTTCTCCTGTTCTAGTATCTACTAATGGAAGATGTGCTTGTTTGTAAAAATAATATAATGGTTTCCTAAAATCTTCTGCTAAATGAGATTCTATCAACGGACAACGACATGTTCCAAGATGTTGAGAAGTTACTAAATGTCTAGCATGTAATTCGAATGATATATCCAATTCTTCCGGTGGAAACTGGAGTTGCTTGAGTTGAAACATAATTGCAGTATCGAAATATATATCTTCTCGATGACACCAAACAGGTTGCGTTATTATTGGTTCAACTGACTTATGAATTTTCAATTTTAAAAATAAAGATTGCATCGAAAACGAGTTTAAGTTTTTCCCTGTTGTAATACATATAAACGCGTATGATTCTCTGCGAAGGTCACATGGATCGATGCTTGAAGGAAACTCTCGATCACCTTCAAGCATCAAAAAATAAAAAACAAAATGATCGATATAGGGAAATACATTAACACAATAACATATAAATAGAGATATATTCAAAAATGTAACATAAAAAAACAATAAATAATTTTATTAGATAATAAATATAAAAACATTAGTTATAATCAGGATCAATCGCAGCGACATCTTTTTCGACGAAGTATAGCGACTGTCTCTTCTTCTTACAAACAATTATAGCAATAATTATAACTGCTATGACCAACAAAGAGCCAGCCACGGCCACAGCACTAATAGTTATTATCCTCTTCTTCTTCTGTGCTGCATCGTCTTGTTCGTTTGATTCTTCTGTTTGCGTTGGAGTCTGGAATGGCGTTGTTGGCGCAGGAATCAAAGTTGGCTTTGGCGTCATTGTTGGAGCTACACTTGGTGTTGCAATTGGTGATGGAGTTGGAGTTCTTGGAGCTGCAGGGCAAAATTCAGTGGTTTTTGTAACTTAGTGGCCGCAGAATAAAGGATCAGGGTAATAAACAGACACGAGAACTTTGAGAGCAGTACGTTCAGAAAGAACTGTAGAATTGACAATTCTTTGTCCACAATAAATTAAAGTTGCTTGTTCATTATCGAAAGCGCCTATAAAAGCATTAGGGTGTAGTTCTTGAATTTAATAGTTGTCAGAAGATTGTCAATTCTACAGTTGTCAGAAGATTGTCTCTAGAAATAAAACTTTCGCCAATAAAAGAAATTTCTCCAAGGAATTCAAGATATTGAAGAGATAAACAGTTATAGAAACAAAGAGCTTCAATCCTTTTAACATTTTCTGGTATTGTTAAATTCGTGAAGGGTGTGAATGAAATTAAATTTTCTGATAATGTAGTAAGAAGAGGAGAAAATGTTACATCGGTAAGAGATCTGCATAGCATGAATGCTCTTTGTTCAATAATTTCGATCTTTTCGGTCATTTGAAGCTTTTTAATACCCGAACCAGAAAATGCAGAGTCACCAATGGTTGTAACATCTCTGAAATCAATTTCAGTCAATGCGTCGCATCTGTAAAAGCATTTTTAGGAATAACTTTGAGTAATGGTGGAATTATAAAACTTGAGAGATGTGAACATCTTTCAAAAGTTGATTCACCAAGAGTTTTTACTGTATCTGGCATTGTTATTGTTGTTAAGGCTGCACAATAATAGAAGGAATAGTTATCTATATTTTCTATTGGCGCTGTGATTGTAACGCTAACAAGATCATACGATTCATTGAATGCATTTAATGGAATTGATGTGAGTTCGCCAGTTATTTTCAAGGAAGTATAGTTTTTGCCATCTGGAAATAATTCTATAATTTGATCTGCTGTAAATTCTCCACTACCACTTACTTGGAATTCTCCAGTATCGGCATTATAGTTCATCTGGACATCAGATCTAACTTTACTGAGTAAGAAGCAAAACATATTTATTGAATAGAAATAATTTTACAAACGATCGTCTAGAATTCAAAAATTTGAGAGTAATGCTAAATCAAGAAGATATATTTTGACATTTTAATGCTTAAATCACAAAATAAATATTTGAAAACAACATCAAAAATTAAGGTTATAGCAATTTTCCGTTCAAAATAGTTCAGTAAATATATAATGACGTCAAATTTGTCCGTGATTTTTCAATAAGGTTATTTAATTAAGATTATGATTCAGAAAAGTAAACTTAAATGTTGTAAATCAATCAAAATTGAAAGGAATAGACCTCAGTTTGGATTCATTACATTTCACCAAGTTTTCTAATCACGTAATCAGAAGTATTTTTTTATCATTATCTAACTTCATCTAAGATTTCCATGATAGGACACGATAAAAAAAAAAACTAAATTAATATTTTTTAACTAGTGATAAGTGCTTCACCGAACTTATCCTTGAGTCTATATGTCTGAAGAGTAGATGTCTCTTCATATGCGCTTGATTTCTTAACGTGGCAGACGATGAAATAAATTGAAGCGCAAATAATTACGAACAGAAAGACTCCTGATGCTATGAAGTAAGGAAGAAGGTTTTGCTTCTCAGGTGTAAGTGGTGGAGGTGTATTGTAGCATCTTGGACCAAATCCAATTTCGACACTGATGAATGTCATGCTTCTGTTGTAAGATGGTGTATCAAGATTGACAATTGACTGGTTTACATCCTTCTGGTCAAGCATTGAGTTCGAAACTGTGATGATTGACTTCTCAGAAGTAGAAAAGTCAACAAATGCTGTTGGGAAGGAGCATCCTGAAATACAAATGACTTGGAACTCAAGCTTTGTACCTTTGACACCAATCAAACCAGTATCAGTCGTAATATTTGCGAAAGCAAGGTTTCTGATAAGATTTTGTTCTGATGTAGAGGGTTTCATGAAAAATTTGCAGGCAACAGCTGATTTCCAGTGAACAAAATTGAGGTACCTTATTCTGGACGTTGTAAATTCAAGCATAATGGCACATTCTGTATCAGCATCAGGTAATGTGAGGTTCATAGCCGAAATATGGGCATATTCAGCTTCACCATAGATAGATCCGGATGACCCATCCTTGGCGGCGTTCTGACGTAAGAAAGTACTGTTGCAAAATAGAGAATCTGTGGATGTAACTGCGAAATCAGAGTTCTTCTGGGCTCTATTGTGAGTTGAACAGCATCCTAAGATTGTAACAGGAACGGAGATGGCCCAGAAAGCGGCTCCTGATGATTCTGTTGAGCAGTTATAGAATTTCGTCTTTCGCATTGTAACATTGAATTCAGGACTACGGCTTTGGCGATAAATGTAGATAGCACCGCCAGATTCTTTGCTCTTGATGCTAACAAATGATGATTCGTTGATTACGATGTTGCCATCAGAATTTTCAAAATTAAATCTAGTCGTATAAACATTATGATAATACTTATCTTCTGTATTGATTCTTATTGGATTAGCTGCATAGTTCTTGAAAAGAACTTTGTTAAGTTTTAAGGAAGGATGAGAAAGTTGAAATGTAGGGGCAATTTGATTTGAAAAAGCAGATCTTGAGAAAGAATAGCTATTTCTAGATGTAAATAATGGAGATGACTGCAAGGCATTATAAGTAAGCCTTATAACAGTTAAGTTTATATAACGCTAAAAAAATATTTTTTTTGTATCGTCAATCCTCTGAAAAAAATTTTGGGATCGATAATTCAAAAGACATCAACTTTTTGTTCTTCGAAAAAATGCTTTCTATCAGTCATACCCTAAATAACTTTCATTTTATTCAGAATCCGATAAATTTTACAATTCTCATTGTTCTAGAACTCAGAATTTGATCGAGAGGATGATTGATAAATTAAAGAAAGGACATGTGTTGAGAATACAATGCATTATCTATGAACAAATTGAGTTGTTGCAATTAAAATATTTATAGAAGTTAACAATCCCAAGGTCTACAACAAATATATATGATTCTATATAAATTTACATACACTATAGCAGTGGAACATAGTTATTAATTTAATTCTGTTTCATTATATTTAACATACACTATTTAACATGGTAGTTGAGCATAGTTATATCGTATCAGGTCAAGCCAATAACATTCCATAGCTATAATATCTGATATTGCTTTAAACATTTCTTCACAATCTCACTTCGAACTTAAGTTTTTTTTTGCCAAAAGTGCCAAAGCCAAAATATTTACCAACAATTTTTTTAAAAGTATGGCAAGTTCAGAGCAACCAAAAAATGAAAATGAATGTGATTACAGAGACATTAAGCCAATTAAAATATTTGAATGCCCAGATCAAGCATCAAAATTTATTTGGGGAGTTAATTCCAATACTATTTTACAACTTTCTTCACAAATTATCGAATTAATTACAGCTCACAAAATATCTATCCAAATGTCACTTTACCTGATTGATGTTATTTCACAAATTCGTGAAAAAGATATTAAATTATTTTCAGAACTATATCAAAAGATATCAAACACATTTTCATACATCTATAAACCGGAAAATGAGAAATTGGTTACGCTTTTACATTATAAAGGTTTCAAATTTGAAAATTTCGAACCTGAAATGAAAGAAGAAATAATTCTGAATTTGTATTCAACAGAATCTCCTTTATACTATATTGCATGGGATAAAGTTGATGATCTTAAGAATAAATTCCCAAATCTTGATATTAATCAGGAGCTTAATAATATCACTCCACTCGATTGTGCAATTAAATATGGATCAGAATTGTGTTTCAATTACTTGAAAAATTTAGGAGCTGAATACACTGATTACTCCGAAGAATGTGCTGTTCAAGGCGGAAATAAAAACATTTTTATGCAAATGATAGAAGAAGGTAAATCATTTGATAACATGATTAATACAGCATTGGATTATCGACACTATGAAATTGCAGAGTATCTTAAATCAAATTTTGGGCAATTTCCTAATTCAATAGCTGAATGTATGTATTTCGGAAATTATGATGTTGCATCTTATTTACTTTCTAATGGAAAAGATATCAACAATATTTATATTCACTTTCTTTTAATATTAATCATTGTTTTATAGAATTTTCTTTCTCTTCATATTTATCATTGTTCTGTGACTTTTTCTTTCTCTTCATATTTATAATTGTTTGATAGTATTTTCTTTCTCTTCATATTTATCATTGTTTTATTACGTTGTTTTTCTCTTCATATTTATCATTGTTTTATTACGTTGTTTTTCTCTTCATATTTATCATTATTTGATAGTATTCTCTTTCTCTTCATATTTATCATTGTTCTGTGACTTTTTCTTTCTCTTCATATTAATCATTGATTTATAACATTTTCTTTCTCTTCATATTTATCATTGTTTTGTTAAATTCTCTCTATATTAATGAATGCCCTCTTGGTATTGCAATCAAATCGAATTCAATAGAAATTGTCAAATTCTTAGTTGAACATGGTGCTGATGTTAACATGAAACCTATTCTCTTTATTTTCATATTTATCATTGTTCTGTGACTTTTTCTTTCTCTTCATATTAATCATTGATTTATAACATTTTCTTTCTCTTCATATCTATCATTGTTCTATTACGTTCTCTTTCTCTTCATTTTAATCATTGTTTAATGGAATTCTCTCTATATTCATGAATGCCCTCTTGGTATTGCAATCAAATCGAATTCAATAGAAATTGTCAAATTCTTAGTTGAACATGGTGCTGATGTTAACATGAAACCTATTCTCTTTATTTTCATATTTATCATTGTTCTGTGACTTTTTCTTTCTCTTCATATTAATCATTGATTTATAACATTTTCTTTCTCTTCATATCTATCATTGTTCTATTACGTTCTCTTTCTCTTCATTTTAATCATTGTTTAATGAAATTCTCTCTATATTCATGAATGCCCTCTTAGCATTACAATCAGATCGAATTCAATAGAAATTGTCAAATTTCTAGTTGAACATGATGTTACAAATGCCTAGTGAGTCCGGGATATCTACACAAATTTGCCATTCTTAGTTTACAAAGTTTACATTAGTAAAGTGTCAATTTTTTTTAAATTTCGATGTTAGATTGTCAAATTATTTTTAGGCGCCAAAACTAGCTCCACGTGATGGAGGAAAATCTTGTCCAACTCTTTATATGTATAATACACTATCCTTTATTATTATATGCTTTCTCAAACCAAAATATGAATTGAAATCATTGTGAACTACGGAAAGAAAAATAAATATCAAATCAATTTTGTCACTTTTTTGATTATAGAAAAAAATTCTTAACCGCCAACTGAAAAAGTGGGAAGACCAATTCACAATGATATCATCACTTCTCTTTTCTTACGGAATTTCTGCAATTTCGTATAAAGCAGTCAATGCTTCGTGCAATATAGCTGATGGTAATCCAACATTTGCTGAAGGAATCGATCCAAATGCCGCTGCATGGGCATATTGGGAAGATTCTCTCAACGAAACAGGCTGGTATAAGCTTCACATCAAAGGAAATAGCAAATACACCGATTCTGAAATTATGAAATGCGCTGGTTACCTTGAAGGATACGTTTCCCATGATAGAATTAACAACCACTTCAATTTAATCTTCGATATTCAGGAATGGACACGCAACAGAAAATATCCAGACAAAATCTACCAATATTTAAGCAGTAATCTTAGGTACGTTCGTCAATCAATCGAAGCTTACTCCGCAACTTCTAAATTCTGGCAAGAAATCGCTTTCATCATGAACCAGTTCGATGGCCTTGTCGCCGGCTACCAAGCTATCGACGGAGATGCTACAATGAACGAATTAGATCTTTGGTTCCTACAATCCGAAGGTGATATGTTTGATATCTCCGAAATGTATCCAGATGTCAAGCAACCAAAGGAAAAGACATATCCAGGCGAGCACTGCACAGGCTTAGTCCGTCTTCTTCCAGATTATTCCGATATCTTCTTTTCACATGACTCATGGAGTGATTTCCGTGAACTCCATGGCGAGCTTAAGGAATACGATCTCCCAATCAAGGCCTTCAAAGCCAAAAAGATCTCATTATCCACACGTATCGGAAAACTTTCTTCCTACGATGATTTCTACATCAACGACCAAGGTCTTTTCGTCCTTGAGACCACAATGACAAACTTCAACGACGAACTCTACGAACAGAGCAAGCCACAATCCTTATTTACCTGGATGCGCGCTGTCCATGCCACATGGTGCTCTGATTCCGGCAAGGAGTGGACAGACAACTTCGGCCAGCACAACTCCGGCACATACAACAACCAGTATCTCATTGTCGATTCGAAGAAATTCAAACGCGGCGAGAAACCAACTACAGACCTTCTCTGGATCATCGAGCAGATGCCAGGCACCTTCGAGAAAGCAGATATTACGGGCGATCTCCTTCGAGACGGCTACTTCCCCTCAATCAACACTCCTTATTTCGACCGCCTGTTCGAGTTAGCCGGCTATCCAGCCAAGATTGCATCATGGGGTGATGACGGCAACTACTGGGACTACAAGACGTCCTCCCGATACATTATCATGGCCCGTGAAGCCCCATTCATCAAAGATTTCGAACAGTTCAAGTCATTCATGCGTTATTCCAACTGGAAGAGGGATCCATATGCCCACGGCGATGCCGGCCAGATGATCATTGCAAGATACGACCTTCGTGACCTTCCAAATCCACATTTCGTAAAGAGAATGTTCGGTGGATTGGACACAAAGGCACTTAGACTTACAGAGGCGACAACATCAATGATGTTCCACGCACTCGCATCCCCAGAATGCCTCCACAACCCTGTTTTCAACTTCAACGACTGGGATGTTAAACACGACGGTTTGCCAGATAAGTGGAACCACACATGGCAGGTTTTCCAGTCTATCGACGGCGACAAGTGCATGGTACACGGCAGCAACAAGACAAGCTGCTTCCAGCAGGAGGGATGCGGGTTCTGCATGTCATCCCAGATGTGCTACAGCGGATACAAGGACAGCCCGTACGTCATGGAGTGCGACGCCGGTTGGGAGGTTCCTCAGCCTCCACAGCCTTGGGCTAAGCCAACAATCATTGCAGTCACAGTTATCGTTGTAATTTTCGTTTTGTCAGTTTACGCAATACACTTCATGAATAATAAGAAGAACTGATAAAATAAAAGAGTAAATGATCTTTAAATATATTATTATTTTAATTTTCATCTAAAAATTAATTTTTTTTTCTGATATACTTCACGCCTGTATTCCGATTTTTGAGCGAGTGTCAGAAAGTGGTGAGTGCACCCTTAAAAGTACTTTTTCTCTATGATGGAATAGATATTTTTATGAATAAACTTAAATATGGCATATATTGATCATGCTCTATCTTTTCATCGTTTCAAAATCTAAAAAAGATCTCTAGAAAAAGTCTCAGGGTGTAAATAACGTATTTTTTTTGTAAACTAAGGCGGTGATCCCATAATAAACTAATTTTCTTACGTAAAGTCTCCCTATCGTTTTTATTGAGTGAACCTGTATCAAAATTATGAATAAGAGACTTAACATCAACTGCCATGTTAAGAAATCGAGTGCATATGAAGGAGTTTATTTCAAACATTCACTCATGATCTCTGTATTTCCTCCTAAAAATGATAAATTGAGACATGTTTGAGTAATTTCTGAGTTGAATTTCGTTCTTAATAACTTGAAACAATCAACAGATCCATGATAACAACATAATTCAAGTAATGAATAACCTTTGTCAGAGTCTGGATATAATTTGCTTTCAAGTTTTTGATTTTCATTAAATCTTTCTCTTTCAGTGAATGAGATGAATTTTTCTATATAATTAAACGTAAATGATCTCTATTGTGTACAATTTAAGTGTGTCATTTCCCATTTTAAAAAAATTAATGTCCGTTAAGGGTGCACCCGTATGTACGTTTATTTGAGAGGAGGAGGATTACCCTCTCAATTTTGAGGGATTCGTTAGTTTATTTTCTCGATGAATATGCAATAAAATTTGATTTTTACCTTATCAATATACTTCATATAATATACACATGTTCATGTAAAAACTTTTTTCCAAAATCCTCAGGAATTAAGGGATTTCTGAATTTTAAGAATTTTTTTTCGAATTTTTTCGAAAAAAAATATTTTCAGAACAGCCTTAACGGCTAAGATTTAGGAACAATGTTAAGTATCAAAAAGAAAGGAGGTCTGATATAGACAACATATATCGTTGAAGGTTGAAAAAATCTCTAATATTTGAGCCCAAAATTTCAAATTTTAATTTTTTGAAAAAAGAGGCCACCCGTATGTACGTTTATTTGAGAGGAGGAGGATTATATTTTTGAAAGGGTGAAACATTATGAATATGTTAATTATATAATAATATGTATTATTATAAAAAAGAAAAAATAAAGCACGTTAAAATTTTTCTTTCTTGATTTTTTACAAAATCTACTTAGAATTATGCAAAATATGACTAAATAATTATAAATTTCAAGTTAAATTTTAATTTTGATAAATAATTTAAATTTCAAAATATCAAGTTCAGTTCGACTATGTATGTAGTAATTCCTCAATAAAGTGCCAAAACCCTATTAAAATATATGAACATTTTCAACGTTTTAATGTTTTTATTTAAAAATTTGATGGAATATGAGCTTCAAACAATTATTATGTAAATAAAAATAATTAAATATATGTATTTATTCGTATTACAACCGTAGTAAGTCGATTCTTCCTTTCTTCTACTGAGTTTTGAATTTGATTTCGAATTGTAAAGAGATTCAAAGGGAAAATACTAGCGGATAAAAACTACCTCCATGAAAGGGTCATAATGGAGTCAAGTTGTATTTTTTGATATTTTTTGCTTTTCGAGCCTAAATAGGTAGCCAAGATAATGCCTAAAAATAAGGTTCTAAATTCTGAAGTTTACATGATCATCTCGTGTGCACCCTTAAAGACATTGATCCTAATAAATACAGTGAATTCCGAAGTACATATAACTACTACATCGATTCATATAATACGTTGTATCGGTTAAAAACAGAAAATGAAGAAGAATTAAACAGGATTTACAAAATAATTAAAACAGAGTTGATTGATTCAAATAAACATTCTCCACAAAGGATTCTACAAAATATTTTGGATATCATTCCGTATAACAACCGCTATACAAAGTCATATCTGAAACTTGCAGAACGTTTGTATGACGAATATCATATAACAGAGGTCAACGATATTAAAGATATTTCTAACCACAGTTTTTATAAAGAATATGAAATTCAATTAAACAAATATTCTGATTTCGATAAATTTGTATCAGAAAATACAATTTATGGAGCAATTATGTTTAATGACATAGAAAAATTCATCTCATTCACTGAGAGAGAAGGATTTAATGAAAAACAAAAACTTAAAAGCAAATTATATCCAGACTCTGACAAAGGTTATTCATTACTTGAATTATGTTGTTATCATGGATCTGTTGATTGTTTCAAGTTATTAAGAACGAAATTCAACTCAGAAATTACTCAAACATGTCTCAATTTATCATTTTTAGGAGGAAATGCAGAGATCATGAGCGAATGCTTGAAATATCAAACACCAGATTCTTTTTGTATGGAATATGCAATTATTTCACACAACATTGACTTTGTTACATTCTTAATGTATGAATACAATATAAAGATCGATGTAGAATATTGTGGATTATTTAAAAATCTTGAATCATTTTTAGTTTATTTCGATAAAACAAATGATGTTAACAGATGCTTTATTTATTCAGCAATGTTCGATATTACATCCCTTTGTGAATACTTCCTTTCCAGCGGTGCAAATATGAATTTCAAAAATGAAGACAGGAAAACCGTTCTTCATTATGCGGCTCAATTTTGTAGAAAAGAAATAATGGAACTTTTTATTCCTCACGGTGCATATATCAATGAAAAAGATAAATATGGAAAAACAGCATTGTATTACGCATTAATAAGTAATAATAAAGAAATAGTCGCATTTCTTCTTTCATACGACGCAACTATAGGGTGTCTAAAAAGGTGTGATGGGAAAAAAGCTATTCATTTTGCAGTCCAATATAGCAGTAAAGAAATTGTCGAGCTTCTTCTTCATTTTGGTGCAAATATCAGTGAAGAAGATAAAAATGGAAAAACCGCTCTTCATTATGCAGCAAAATATAATAGAAAAGAAATAGCCGAACTTCTTATTTCACATGGTGCAAATATCAATGAAAAAGATAAAAATGGAAAAATCGCTCTTCATTATGCAGCAGAAAAGAATAGTAAAGAAACTGCCGAACTTCTTATTTCGCATGGTGCAAATATCAATGAAAAAGATATACATGCAAGAACCGCCCTTCATGATGCAGCAGAAAAGAATAGCAAAGAAATGGCTGGAATTCTTCTTTCACATGGTGCAAATATCAATGAAAAAGATAAATATGGATACACCGCTCTTTATTTAGCATTATTGAATAAAAGTAAAGAAATAGTCGAATTCCTTCGTTCACATGGTGCAAAAATCAACTAAAAAGATAATAATGGAAAACCCCCTCTATATTATTCACTTAAGGGTGCACTACGAGGATTAAAAAGCCCTCAAATTTTTCTGAGAGTTCTATCAATTTGCTAATCCTCCAAATTAATAAAAACTTATTTTTTTTCTTTACAGGAATAGATTTTTTTCGATTAATATGCATCATTTAGAATCACATAAGGTAGCTTCATATCATATATAACTTTGATGGTCTAATATCAACTCTTTAATGGATTTAGAAAAACACTCGAAAAAACTTGATTTTCGAAAAAATTTTAGCATGTTTATTTTTCTCATTATTTTGATCGAGAGCCATGATTTTTCTTTTTACCATATCATTGGTACATATATGGTGATGCTATTTATGCGATTTATTTTCAAAAAAAACTCGTTTTTCAAGGACCTAAAAAATGGGGGTATACCATTTTTTTTATAACGTACAAAAAAAAAAAAAAACAATCCCACGTCAGTAAAGAACGATAGAGATTGCTGAGATACTAAACGCTAGTTTTAGGGATGAATATGAGTTCTTAGATATTGCTATTTTGTGATATGATAGCATTGACATATATGAATGTAATTATTATTACAAACACTATTATTTATATTTTTTTAAAATAGATTAAAGTTAATTTGCTATATTTATCATGTATTTTGACCTCATCAGATTGATTACATTTTCTACGCAACATAACACATAATATATTATCATGGTGCATCCAGAAAACCATTTTTATTATATGAACATTGATTGAATATCTTAAAATAGTACAATTGTAAAATCTAATAGTGTCATTATCGATCATCAAATTTTTATATATGCTCAAGAGTTAATAATAGGCTAAAACGAGTTTTCAGTGAAATCAATTGTGCATTTCCTGAATGTTTAAAAATATAGGTATGAAAGTTATAATTCAGAATCTTCTCATCTATTATATGAATATATCTTTCATATATCCTAAAACTACTTAATTGGTAAGATAAATTGGGAATATTTTAATTAAAATATGTGTTTGTTATTATTTTAATAGTTCACAAGATATTATTGTCTAAACTATATATATTTAAATGAATGTTATTTATCAAAACTCCTTTGAAAATACGGATCAAACAAAATCATCCAATAAATGAATTTATTTCTATAATTCAAATGAAATATTATTAATTTTTCAATATATATTATGAAAGTATATTTGTTATTGCATTATATACGAATCAAGATTTGAATGATAATAAAATTTAAAAATATTCAACACAATATAGAGATATCGCTTTATAACATCGATGCTTTGTTAGCCATACTATAGATTTCATTCAAAAAAGCCAAAATTTTTATTCCAAAAAAATATAAGAAGAATGATATGCATGATACATTTTATTGACCTATGTACTATATATAATTGAATTCACTATAATAGTGTTGTGAATATTTACTGTTTGATAAAAATCTTTAATAATCTATTAAAAAATAGGTTATAGATGTAACATATGAATGACACAATATTACTTTATATAGTAAATTATAATATGAATGTTGTTGGCTACTAATACTTCCTTTATTCATTGGAATTGAAATACTCAATATTTAAAACGAATTTTAAACAATTTATGAATGTCATACGACTTAACCTATCTACTAATCTTAGAATTTATACATAATTCATTAAAAATCAATATTTTGAATATTAAATCTTTTGAAGTATGAAAAAAGACAAACTTATTAAAGGTAAATATGAATAAAAACATAAAATAGTTAGCAATGATAGATGTTATTTTTCCAAAATTTTCTTGTTTTTCTAATTTTAACTACTTTTTTATCAAAATTTGGATTAATTTTTTAAATTTTGAAATATTTTTGGATTTTGAACATCAAAAGATTGCATTTCTTTTAAGAATAATGCAAATTTCTAATGAGGTGAAACATGTTTCAAGACTTTTAACACAATTTAAAAAAGAATCTCAAATATCTTCAGGAAATTCAATCTATATTTCAACGAGGATAATAGCAACATTCAAGATACACTATATCATAAAAAACAACATCATTTTGGTTCAATGAATCCTGTTAATCTGTATTAACGAATTCATTGATTAAAGAAACCAAAGACATAAGTAATAAATATTGATATCACTCAGTTTGAAAATGTCAAGTCATCACTCAATACTCACCACAAATATATTCGATTCGCTATATTTTTCATTTCATTAAAATTCAGACATTTTTTGCACTAATATCGATTACAAACAATTCTACATTACAAACCATTACAATAAATAACGAAGATACTTCATTATTCAATAATTTGCATTTTTATATTTTCAAATCTCAAATTTTAATCAAATCAAATATAAATATCATGTAAAACATCTATATTTAGGATGATGTTCCATATTACCATGGAAAGTTAATCATCAATATGGATAAAACCAAATTCCTTCGCTTACCATAAACTTCAAGACTGCTTTCATCAGACAAACAAATGCACGAGCTACTCCTAAAAAAATTCAGGTTTTAGAAATTTATTTTCAATTATAGACATTATTTCATTACCACAGTTCACTAATCGATAATTTAAGTGTTGCAAAACGCATTATACTTTCTACTATTAGATTTATGAATAAAAATTTGAACTTTTTTTTAAATCTTATAACACATAGGTCCTATTTTTCTTCACTTATACCAATACATTGCATAGTTCAAATTCGTTTTAACACCATATTATTTTTTTTTTCACAATATCATAGAGAAAATTGATATTTTACAAAATGATATGAACAAGTACAGCTATAGAATAATAAATTTCAATATATTATATGATTTACACAGTTTTTTGCATGATATCTTTTGAATTATAAAACAGATTAACTTATAAAACAAATCCTCATCATAAAAAGCACAAAATAAAGATAGTATCTTGCTCAAACTATATGATTCAAATAATCAGATTATCGATAACATATATAACTAACAAGAGGATGCATGCACTCAATATAATAATACCAAAACTATGCCCTGATCAGCGGTATATTCAAATCGAGAATAAAACAAGTCCTGCCTAAAATCAAAGTCTATCGTCCTTTACTGACGTGGAATTGTTTTTTTTTTGTACGTTATAAAAAAAATTGGTATACCCCCCCCTAAAAAATGCCCAAAAATTTCATGACCTGCACTCGGAGGATAAGAAATTTTATAAAGTGGAGATTTAGTCTTCAAAATCATATCATAAATTATACAAAATGCATATATTCGATATTCCATATTATTTTGGGTAAAAACCGATGTAATTGAAATAATAATTCTTATTTCTTCCAAAAACACCTAAAACTTATAAAATCATCAAATTGTAAATTTACAGACAAATTGACGAAGGTAAATCTTCATTCTTCAAATAAATAAAAAAAATTATTTTATAAAAGTAATTAAAAGTTATTTGTTTAGTAACACAATAATCTAGTAATATTTAAATACAAATCATATTGCAAAATAGGTAGGAGAGAATTTTTTGAAATTTCCCAAATAATAAAACGAAAATCATATTGTAAGTTTTGAGATTTACAATAATAGAACGTAGTGTATGTCAAACAAACGAGCTGTTTGATTTTAAACTGTTGTAAATTCGAAATAATATTTTTAATTTGGTATAAATTTTGAATTCAGAAGCTTTGAGTGAAAGGCAAGCAAGTACTTAATGAATGAATGTGTTTGGAACAATGTTCACTTTTTCGCCTTTTTTCAAAGTACAAGGATTTTTTTTCGAAAAAAGGAGGATTAAAAAACCGTAATCCTCCTTGTTCACCCTTAACTATAATGGTAAAAAGGTACATTCACTATTTTTGACAAAATTTTAAATTTTCATGGGGTTGTAAATCTTATAATAACTAGATGAATAAGGAATGAATCCCAGTATAATGTGCATCATTATATTAAACACTATATGTAAGGCTAATGATTCTATTAACACTTATGAAGATCTATAGTATTTGAGCAGATAAATTTGATAATTTCCAAAACTCTTATATTTCAAAATTAAAGTGTGCGAATGCATTTAAATGAGAGCAAAAAGAGATTGATGCTGTTAAAATAGGTGTTAATTTGCAATTTTTCGCATTCACAAGAACTACCCAGTAAATTAGGCTATCTTTCTTTGCAATTATTCTCCATTATACATATATATAATGGTTAGGGTTTGAAGAAAAGTTACTCGAGAATTATTGACTTTTGAAATAATGCAGAATTTTACTTGAAGAAATCATTAATTTATGAGTTCCAAATTGCTAAGCATGACGAAGGATCATTAAATTTGCTACAATTAAATACACTTATTGCAGAATTAAGATTTTTGAAATTAAAAGTTTGAAATATTGCCTTTTTGAATAAAAATTTAAATTTTATTATATAATCATGATAATATCTTATAGAAATTAAAAGAAAATATTTTAAACCATTCAAATATTTTGAATGTCTTATCAATTTAAAATATTAAAAGATAGCTTGATTTTATCATCATTAGTTGTTATCAAAGTTTTCTTCTTTTGATGAACAACAGTAAATGATTTGTTAATTACTTGTCTTCCTTTTTCGCAGCAAAATCGAAAGTTATGATGATAATCTTGCTGTCAATTTTGAAACTCTCTGATTTACAAGTAAGCATTCCTTTGGAAAAGCAGTCCTATTCTGTTTTCAAGATATTTTAAAGCCTCCATTTCATACAATGCGCAGATCTATTCGAAATTGCAAGAACTCTCAAGAAAAATGCAGCAGCAAAGAAGATTCCATAGTTTCTAGCATCAAAAATTTACAACCTTAATACAACAGTTAAAGAGAAGCTCGAAAAGAAAATATTTAACCATAAAGCTGGAAACCATTCGATATCTACTATTGGATCTAATAAAAAGTTAATTATAACATATTTAACATGCTATTTGTTGACTTTGTTCCATTATATTACCATATATATCTTTTTGAAATCTAAAATATTTTACGATTTTAACCATGTGTTGTTGAAACCATATATCAATCTTAGCTAAAGTATAGTTTATGAGTCTGTCACCATCTAACGTATGAATTTTCAAAAATGTCAAATATCTTCATTTTTTCTGTAGATTCAGCCATAATTTCACGTTGTTATACTATTCAACTATTATTTAATATTTTTATCGATTTAAATATATGATGAGATGCTTAGTTCTCCTGGAAATCGATTTTTAATCGCAATTTTAACTTTCCAAAAAAATTCAAAAATAAAAATCCCTCTCAATTTTCTAAGTTTTATAACTCGCCAAATCTCTAGCCAAATTTTTTTTGGCCCGTATAAATATTGTTAGGCACTATATAGGGATGCTATTTATCCTATTTTCATCCCATTTTACTGTTATCGCCTAGTGAATGTACCTTTAATGGTAAAACATATGATTTCCTTCATTCACATGGTGGGCAAATTTAGCTAAAGTAATAAAATATAATTATTATTCATAAGAGAGCATGAAATCCAATTTTCAATTGAATCACTGAAAATTTCACAAACTTTCTGGTATCATCAGATCTCTGATTCTTTCCCCAGATTTTCAAAGCATCCCAATTTCCTTACAAAAGTTCTCAATTTTCACCATTCCGTAATAAAAATCTAGAGAAAAAGTATCTCTTCTCTCATAAACTTTGGATTTAGGTTTTTGCAAAGTGGCAATTAAACTGGCAAAAAGTTCGAAAATTTGCCATTTTTTGCTCTTTTCCTTTCAAATTTACGCCTGTAACTGGCACGAATACTCTCATCTCTCGTCCAAAGTTAAATATATCCAGTTTGCCAAATCCAAAGTTTGGATATACATAGTTTAATATTTAGATTTGTTAAAAAATACATTGCGTTGAAAGATGACCATTTAAACGTATGACACATGGATAAAATCAGTCATATATCATCAGATATATTAAAACAAAACTAATATTTATTAACAAATAATATAAATTAAAAGATTGGTTGAGGAAATAATCTTCACATTCCATCTTTTCCGACTGTTAGAAGTGATTTTGGATCATTCTCAATATTTTTATTTTACAAAGTTTACATTAGTAAAGTGTCAAAATTTTAACTAACGTCTAAAATTGTTTAATGTCTGATCAAGACATTCACCCAAACAAATACAGTGAACTGAGTAGTATCTTCAAAGACTACATCAATTTATATAATACATTGTATCAACTGAAGAAGAAGAAATAAACTCGATTTACAAAATGATCAAAACAGAATTTATTGATTCAATGAAATATCGCACTAAAACTATTATAAAAGACATTTCAAATATCATCCAATATAATAATCGCTATGCAAAGTCATATTTATCTCTTATTAAACACATTTCTGATGATTATCATGTCAAAGAGGTCAGCAATATCAGACCTATTTTAAATATCCTGTTTTATAAAGAATATGGAATTAAATTAGACAATTCTTATGATTTGGAAGAATTGTGCTCAGAAAACCTTGAAATTCATACAGAAAATACAATTTACAGAGCGATTATGAAAAATAACTTAGAAAGATTCATCCAATTCACAGAATTAGATGGATTTGATAAAAATCAAACACTTAAAAGTGTAATATATCCATATTATAATAAAGGATATTCATTACTTGAAATATGTTGTTATCATGGCGCTGTTGATTGTTTTAAGTTATTAAGAACGAAATTCAACTCAGAAATAACTCAAAAATGCCTAGAATTTTCATTTTTAGGAGGAAATCCAGATATCATGAGTGAATGCTTGAAATATCAAACACCAAAAGAATATTGCATGAAATATGCAATTATATGATGCATTATTAGTTTATTTCGATCAAACAAATGATATTAACAGATGCTTTATTTATTCAACAATGATTGATATCCCATCTATTTACGAATACTTCCTTTCACATGGTGCAAATATCGATGAGAAAAAAAAATGAAAATGGGTACGCAGCTCTTCATATTGCATCACGTGATAATAATAAAGAAACAGTCGAAATCCTTCTTTCACATGGTGCAAATATCGATGAAAAAGATGAATGTGGATACACAGCTCTTCATCATGCAGCAACAAATAATTCTAAAGAAACAACTGAAGTTCTTCTTTCACATGGTGCAAATATCGATGAAAAGGATGAATATGGATACACAGTTCTTCATAATGCAGCACATGCTAATAATAAAGAAACAGTTGAAGCTCTTCTTTCACACGGTGCAAATATCGATGAAAAAGATGAAAGTGGATTCACAGCTCTTCATATTGCAGAACGCGGAAATTATAAAGAAACAGTCGAAATTCTTCTTTCATATGGTGCAAAATAATACACCCTCGACTTTTTGATGGAAATCATACAATTAATTATATGAGTTTATCTCAAAAAGTCGATTTTTACCACGTCTATCTTCTGAAAGAAACAATAGAACTCACAATAATAGAAAATGGAATTACATCAACAAATGTTTTTCTTTGAAAGGGAAAATCATTGTTGGTTTGATAATTAATGAATCCAGAGCATTTCAATTGGGAATCATCAAATGTACTTTTGAAAAAACAATATTTTGTACTAATTTTATAGTATTTTGAATAAACAATTTGCCTATAATACAATTATATTGATTTCAGTTGTTTTTGTTTCATTTTTATGTATAAAGAGGAAGATGAAGTAACAAAAAATGGAACTTATGATCATGCAATTATATTAAACAATGATTTTGTAGTACAAGGAATAGATTATGATAACAATGACCTCTTTTCATTATTAGATACAGTTAGAGAACTTTCAAAAAAAGAAGATGATGAAAATCTTCTGCAAGCTCTTAAAGACACCGATATGTTTTGTTCTTCTGTTCAACTTTCAAGTCAATTGTCCTCCATTTCTTCAGATTTTTTTGTTTTATTAGTTGAAATATTCTTAAATTTCAATGATAGCATAGAAATACTAATTTTGCATATATTTCATAGCATTCTTGAGCATGAAAAAGAACCAGTAAATGAAATGAATCTTTTAATTGAAGAGAATTTTATCCAAAAGGTACAAAATTTGATCTATACACATCATAACATAGAAGAATTGAATGCGATCGTACAATTTATTTCAGTTATCTGCAGTTTTTCACCAGAATTTCGAGATAATTATCTTTTAATTTTAAATCCAACAGACATTTTTAATGAACTTGTATCAAATGACCAAGAGAGAAGGGTTTTATTTACATCTTTAGTTGAATCATTTCTTAATTTTGAAATGGAACCATCTTTTTACGAAATAATCCTACAAATAGCAAAACAAAGCATTAATCTTGAACCTTTAATGAAAGTTATTAACAAAATATTCGATTACAGCCCACAGATTATTATGAGTTCTGATATTTTCGAAATTATTTTTGATCAAATGGAAAAAGGCCTAATAAATCCACATTTAATGCAGCCATATCTAAATTTCTATACAAAGTATTTAGATTTTACTCAAAATGACATTTCTAAACCTCCCGTTTTCTTAGTTGATTTAATTTTATCTGATTCAAAGCAGATATGCAATTCAGCGGCTGTTTTAATAGTTAGATTAGTTGAATATGCAGAAAGGATCGTTCCGTTCCTTTTAAAAGCAAAGCTTCTTGAAAATACTTGCGAAATAATTTTTAATAACAAAACCTCTCAAAAAGTAGACGGGATTCATATACTTTTATCACTTGTTAAGACATGTGGATCAGATATTATCATAAAACTGTTAAAAATTCAGAATGAAGATAAAATTAATATTATTTCGTTCATTGCATCGCTAATTTCAGCAGATTTACCAGAGTTAGCAAGCGTTATTATTGAATTATTTGATACTTTGTTCAATCAAGGACTTGATGGCAATATAATGAGAAAAATTTTGAAAAATTTCATTAAAGGAGAAGGAAAAAAAAACTGTGAAGACTTATATGATGAATTAGATGATGTTAACGATCCAGATTCAACGTTTAGTGAAAAAATTTCTGGTATTCTTTCATTTATTGAAGAATCCGACTCAGCAATACATAATGACTATTCAAGTGATGATGAATATGAAGAAAATCATCGAATTTTAAATGATATAAGCGAAGATAACGATGATTACGGATATTCTGATCCTGAAGAGCATCAAATCAATAGAATTGCAGAAATTTATCAAATGAGAGCAGAGAAAATGAATCAAAATCCACCAGAAATTTATGAAGACGAAAATATTGAAGATAGCGAACCAAATGAAGAGGAAGAAAGCGGATTTTGGTAATTCCTATGTAATGTAAAGTATAGAGTATATAGTATTTTTATCCATTTTTTAAATTGAAATCATCAAATTTTGATTAATTTATTATTAAGGTTAAATTACTACTGAGAACGACAAATTGACCATGAAAATCCATATAATATGCTCAAAATCTTTTAATTTTTGAGAAAATTTTGAGAATAGAATTAATTCGGAGATTTGGCTTCACATTATGAAGGTACTGCTTACGTATTAATAGTCTGCCATATGTTTTTAAAAACTAATAAAAAAAATTTAGATATTATTTTTTATTCTACTTTTTCTATAATGAAAGCAGGTAGATACAGCATCCAATGCTATAGTAACATATCATTGCTTCATGTAAATTTTGAATAAAGTGCGGTTTCCGATCTTTTGGTTCTCAGTTCCGTGTTTGGGAGCTCTCTTGAGGAAACGGGATCTGTAGTTAGTCAGGAATATACGGATTCTCTTCTTATCGAGTCCTGTCAAGGATTCGAGTTCGACAAATTCCTGAAGTGATGGATATGGGTTTTGCTTGTGCTCTTCAAGCCATTTGAACAGTATTTCCTTTGAGGAAAAATCTATTTTGTTTGATGACTTTATAGGGTTTGCAGAATGTATTGGCGATGGTTGAGATTTATAAATTATCCTTTCTATTTGTATATCTTTGTAAAAGACCAAGAAATCAAGGCTTGTGTCGAACTGGAAATCGAATGCATTCGGTAGTTCTTCTGGTTCAAAGTCTATCTCGTCTCCAATTTCTGGCTGTAAAAATTGTGAACCAAAAATTTCGTGTTCGCCGTATTCTAGATCAGCATTAGTTGGGCCAAAAATGTTATCAGACATCGGCTCATCAGGTAACAGTTTGAACTCCATGTAGTCAGACATCCAGGGACCAGGATTTATTGTATTTGGACATATCCTTCATTCATTGCATCAATCATTCAATTTCTAGAATTCAATTCACTTCCCTACTTCCCTTTTAATTTTGAGCTGACATATATAAACTATACAAATTGTTAAAGCATTTTTTTTTCTCATAATTGTTTCCAAAATCTTTATTTTTACAAAATCCAAATTTTATTTTGGGAAAATATTAAATTTGATTTCGCGAAATAAATTTGTTCATGCAAATATAAATATATTTAGTATGAAATCTATGATATATCCCTCAAATTGATAAAATTCGGTAAAGAAATGATCTTTTCTTTATTTGATATGAAAAATATTTGTATTACATTCTTATATATTAAGTCAAAATATACTTTGAATTCAATTTTTTCTTTCCATTTTTTTATGAATGTTTTAAGTGAAGCCCAGCTGAAAGAATTATATATAAGTACTTTCAACCCTGATAAGAAAGACACATTGAAGGTTGCTGATGTCATAAAAAAGTTTACAAACGCATCTTTTTCAGAATTACAATTAGTATTTTCAATTTTATCACGATATGTTGAAGTACAGCCAGAATTAGCCAATTTGATGGTGAAAGATTTAAATAATCTCGCATCTTACGGAGTTCATCCAAAATTAACAGAATCAGTTGCTTTGTTTTATGTTTCTTTAAGCAAAGCAAACCCTACCGTAGCTTCACGTTTCAATGTATCATTGATTTTAAATAAATTTCAGAACCTCGATAAAATTGTTTCCAAACTTTTTTTAGATCAACTATATAAAACAGAGAAAAATATAAAATCAGTGTACAATGAAGAGAGTTTACAAATTATTTTGAACATTATTGTTACTTCTAGTGACGAAGCTGTTCGATTTAAAGCAAAAAAGTTATTTTCATGCACTCTTGGTCATTCATCGGAGAAAACATGTGACTCTACCTTGAAATTGTTATTTAGCATAATGAAGACAAAACCGGATTTTTTAATTTTCTTTTCCGCTCAATTATATTTAATAACCGAAAAATACCCATCGCTATCGAAAGAATTCGATGCAAACGCACCAATACTTGTAGATTGCCTCAGACAAAACTTCAATCCAAAATATCAAGAAATTGTTGACAGATACTCCGAAAGATCGTATAAATTACACGAAAATCCAGCAGTTTATAAGGAATTACTCAAAGTTGGCTACAAAAGTAATAAATTTATCGATGAAATGTTGTTGGATAAATATAATTTAGTTCCAACTCAAAACATGCAGCCAAATATACAGCAAAATACAATACAACAGCCATTCAAAGCTACTCCCCAACAAAATAGCAACCAAAATGCAGTAATTATATCTCCAGCATTTACAATGCAAAATGCAGCCATACAGGCTCAAGCACTAAATGGTTCAGCTCAAACATTCAATAACAACCAACAAAATCAAGTTGTTTCGAATTTACAAAATATACCAAAACAAATTTCTCAACAACAAGCACCTACGCCCCAGCCAACTCCTCAGAAAGCTCCAGGAGCTCCATCCAAACAGCAAGCACAAGTTTCCACCCCACAAAATATTAATAAATCAAATCCACTCCAAAAGCAACCCAATACGCCACAGACACCTCTCCAATCTCCTGCCAAGAAGAATTCCTTCCCAAGTTCCCAGGCCATGGCCGCTCCTTCACCACCAAATCTGAAATCAAAATCAAATCAGTCTCCAATTACTTCATCTCAGAAGCAGGCCTCTCAGGATGAGCCAATATTTATTGGTTCTTCTTCTGATGATGACGAAGGTCCCATTCCTCCCGATGAAATCGCAAATGAACTTGCTAAATTTGCAAAAATGGACAGCAAAACGTTTCTAGACAAATGCAACGAATGCGTTAACCTAATGAAACGAATTCCTAAACAAACACAGTATGAAAAAGCCATTAAAACCCACGCAAAGCAGATTTCGGATAAAGTTGTTAATCTTTACTACTTTATTTCGAAGAATCCGAAAGATTGCGACATCTACAACGAAGAAGACATACATAAGACATTCAAAATGCAAGTTGTCGTTGATAGTACATCATATGACTTCCAATTCCATTACAACGACACTTTTCTTTGGATATCTTTTTTAATTAACTTGCAAACAAATCAAGAACTGAAAGAAATGGCATCCAAACTTAATTCAGATTCAAAACTAAGGTATGCCGCCTTCTGTTTGTTCGCAAATGGAGGAGGAAGTGAAAAATACCAAAGATATCAATATAAATATAATTCAAATGTTTACAACGAAATGACATCGATTATTTCAGCATCAGCACAGATGATGAAGCACAAGAAGTATCCGGAAGCAGGTCTAGCATTTCGTGCAGAACCAATTGTCTTCAACCAAGACGTCTATTTCAAGTTTGCTGATTCTTTTTCGATGAATGACAAATTGGCCGCGAAAGTTCAAAATCTTTTGGGAACTTTGAAACTTTCGAAGAAATTAATTAAACCGGAAAAGCCAGTGGATATAGATATGGATAGATTTAACGAATGGATTGTTAAAAGCGAGCAATTAACGGAATTGGATTATTCTCCTGCAGCGAAATTTGTTTTGGAAGAGAGATTGTTTCCTTTGGATTTAAGATATAAAATTGCTCGTAATTTGGCATCTTCTATGACAAGATTTACTTGTAATCTTGAACCATTAAAACTTGAGTTTGATAGTTCGAATATCTTGGAAAAATGTTTCGAAAACTATCCAGTGATTTTGTATTCTAGTAATACTCAGTTTATCTACAACGGAAAACAACTGACGAATCGGGAATTCATGATTGAATTAAGTAGCAGGTTTAGAGCTACTCAGACAGAGATCAGTCCAGATAAATCTTTTAAGATGGGACTGATCATTGCAATGTGCTTTGTTTTGAATTCCAAACATGTCTTGAAACTCAACAAAGAATTCTTCAAGAAGATGAAAAATGATTCAAGTTCATTACTCATTACTTCTAGTTTCAAGAGAGGTCTGACAACTGCAATTCCTTATAACGTCTACCAAACTTTCTCTTGCAAAGATATTATGCAGTTGTTCCAAATTAATATTCCATAATTTTATTGATATTTTATTTTTGTTATTTTGTAATAAATTTTAAAATCGAATATATTTGAACATTGTACTTGAGATCGATAATTAGGATTTCTATATATTAAAGTAAAAGTTATATGACCTTAGTCCCACATCTATGAAAGACTGTGGTTTGATTACATGCAAGAATGCTAATACTTATAGACCTGTCAAAAATTCTTATCTTTATGTATTTATTTTAATGTAGATCTATTTCATACATACATCTTAAAAAGTTATATGGCCGCAAAACAACAATTCTTAAGTGAGTAAATTAAAAAAGAAAATGATAATTTTATTTATATTCATTAGTATTTTGGAGTGTATTTTATCCATATTCCGTTCGAGTTTATCTTCTCTATCGATTTGGGTGTGAATTCTACAGGGTCAGTGTTCATCATATAGGGATTTGCTTCGAATAGCGAAACGCTGTTCGTTGCGTCTGCTGTTGCAGACAATAGGAGGCTGACTTCATCAACGATCTTAGCTTTCAAAACGCTCCAGTTGATCATTCCTCCGCCTTCGACTGAGAGGACGTTGATGTGGAAGTCTTTCTTAAGCTTTGACATGACTGTCTTCCAGTCGACGTCTTCCTTGCCTGCGACGATGTAAGAAACGTTGAGTCTTCTGAGCAAGTTCTTGTACTGCGGTGACGCCTTCTCAGTCAAAATCTCGATCACGTGTGCTTCAGGGCGCTCGTTGAACTTGATCGTGTTTCTGTCCCATGGGAGCTTTCCTGATGGATCGATTCCGACGACGTATGCTTTCGCATCTGTGACAGCGTAGTAGTCGCCATCTGGGCATTCTTTTTTGTCAGGATTGACAGGTGGGTTCTCTGTCGATGGGAGGACTGCGTCGAATGTCTTCCTTCCCCAAAGCCATGCATCGATATTGTAGCTTGCTGATGTCCACTCATAGTCACTCATAGATGCTTTGCCGTTTTCTGTGTTCCAATATGGACCAACCATCTTGCCGTTCAGTGAGATCAGTGAGTGAATGTTGACGAATGGTTTATCGAAACTCATTGTTGAAAAATGAAAGATGATGTGACTAAAATTTTTTGAATGAATATCAATTGAATGAAAATATGATTTTTACATAGATATAACATACAACATACAAACGATTTATATGTTTTATTTTCATACACGATAAAAATTTTTTTTATAACAATTATCCGGCCAATCGTCTTTGTCAATTTTGAATCCCATCAACAATTTTTCAGTCGAAGTTCATGAAAATGATATGTATATATCATATTCGATCACTTTGATAAAATCAATCAAAATGAAATACGTTGATTTCTGATAAATCATTTTGTAAACATCTCAATTAATACAAAACTTTGAAATGATGAATGGATAACTCTCTCAATTATTCAATTTTGGCTTCCTCATCATGCAACACCACTCAAAATATTATAATTTGAGACATAATATACATACATTTCTTCATAATTCATGTTTTAAGATATATTTCTCAAAATTAACATTTCAAAATATCAATAATATAAATCCATATACAACAATAAAAAAAAAAAAAAAAAAGGTAGTGGGGCCTCCAGGCACTTCGTGCCCTCTAGCCCCGAAGATGTTAGTATAAAATGAAGTTTATATAAAATGAGGTTTTTTTTGGGTATAGGGGGGCTTCCCAGGGGCTGCGCCCCTTCTAGCCCATAAAATTTTTGAGAGTCGTTGCTGTTGACTTTTTTTGTAGAGGACTCAAAATAGTATAACTATGTCCGGACAAGTAAGGGTCTATCGTCGCTACAGGAAAAGTTACGGGCGTTCCAAGGAAGTATACTTTGAGAGACTCTTTAGAAACTTTAGACGTTTTACATAACCATCCATGTTTTTACTTTACATCCGATAAAAGTGGTTTGGAAACCGTTATGAGATGGTTAGAGGACATACATGACTATGATTTTAGATATGACAATATAGAATATGAGAGAGGTCCTATAAACCGGAGAAAGTGTCATATAAACATCTGTCAAAAGCCTCTTTTTAACTTCACTTAAAATGCCACGTAAGATACGTAAGAATATACGTAAGAGGAAGAGAGCATTGAAACATCCAATAGTAAGACTAACACCACAACAACAGTTGCAACAACAAATGCTGAATGACCCCACTATGTTGCAACAAATGTCAAGCAATCCTATGCTTTTAAACCGAGTTCTTGGTGCACAGAGTGGAGGTTTAAGAGCGGCACTTTTAGCGAAAATGGCAGGCTATGGTGGAGCTGCAGACGGAACAGCCTATAACCCTCAAAGTCAAATGAATTTGAGTTCACTCAAAAATCAAATAACAGATGTCAAAAAGTCAAACATAGACATACAGAAACAAATAAGTGAAAACGAAAAGAAACTAGAATATGACAGACACACAAAGAAACTCAATGAGTTAAACGTAGAGAAAAAGAAGAAAGAAGAACAACTGAAAGAACTAAGTACAGAGGAATATGCGAAAAAAGTGTCAGAAAAAGCAGCAGAAGTAGCAAAAATGGAACAAGATGTCATAAATTTGAAAAACCATACTACTCAATATAAAGTACTGAAAGATGAAGAGATAAAACAAAAAGCCCTGAAGACATATATGGATAGCGATGAGTATAAAAAGAAGTTGAAGCAAATGTAAAGGCAGAAAAACTTTTACAGTTGCAAAACAAACCGTACAGTATGAAAACTTAGCACAAGAAAGTAAAAATAACGACGCAGCCATGCAAAAGGCAATGAAAAGCGCAGAATATATAAAAGCTAACAATGACTGGTTAGATGCCCAAGCCAACGCTAAAGCAGCCCAACTCATAGGGTCAATAAGGACAAAAATACAAGCGGATGAAGACAGTTCAAATGAAGCTTTAACAAATGCTGACTTTAAGAACGCCTTCGAAGCTCTTCATAGTAAGGTGAAACAAGTGAACGACTTCTCATCTGGAAAGAAACTGAAGTCTGAAGGTTTCGACAAAGAGTTAAAAGAAGTAGTAGCACAAAATATGACGAAAATAACAGATGCAGCAACGAGACAGGCAGTTCAAAGTGCCTATGACGCCGTTAGAGCAACTGTTGTGAAAAGTCAAGAAAAAGAGTTACAACAGACCAAAACAGACCTAGTAAATGCTTTCTTAAGAACGAAAAGTCAGGTAGGACATTACGCTGCAGATGGAACATATGTGCCAGCTGGTGGAACTTATATACCAGCTGGTGGAACTTATATACTAGCTAGTGGAACTTATATACCACCAAACCCTCCAAGAGAAGCACCTGCACCAGGACTACCTAAAACATTTACATCGTCACATGGACACAGACACAGGCATGCACCAAAACCAACACAACAACCAACACAACAACCAACACAACAACCAGCACAACAACCAGCACAACAACCACCTCCACAACCAGCACAGCAACCAACAGTTCAAAACCCTGCACAACAACCAACACAACAACCAACACAACAACCAACAGTTCAAAATCCAGCACAGCAACCAACAGTTCAAAACCCTGCACAACAACAACAACCACAAACAGAGCAAGGACATAAAAGAAGTAGAGAACAAGGAAACCAAGAATTCTTAAAAATGCTTAAAGAAGAGTATGGTTACCCAGATAGTATTGACTTTAGTGACAGATATAAAGAAGCTATTAGAAAGTTCAAGGATGGAAATACTGACCCGAACCTATTTAGCTTTATGGCTCTGCACCAAAGGGGATATAATCTCAAACCTGGAAAATACAAGCTCGCTAATGGATATGATTTAATAGCATATCATCCAAATGACATGGATGAATTTACTCCGAGATATTTGATGTCAGAGCTAAATGACAATTTAACTCTCTTCATGAAACGCGTAAAAAATAGAGACGGAACGAAAGAAGAAAGGTTTGTGAGTCCGGATGACTTAGAAAGGGAACTTGTTGAAAACGGTCTCGGAATATATGAAATGCCAGCAGATGAGGTACAAGAAACTCCACAGGAAGAAATAGTTCAGATACAACCAGACATGGAAGAAATAGTTCAGCAACAACAGCTAGAAGAGCCTGAAGGAAACGAACAAGCCCCTCCTTTGGAAACTAACTTCACAGAACTAGATGAAGATTTGGAACAGCCGAAAAATCTTGACCCTCAACAAGTGTATGCGGTGAAGATGGAATCTTTCCAAGAGTCTAAAAAAAATTCGGCTGACATAGTAGAAGAATATCGAAAAATGTTTGCCGACATACAAAAGACTCCAACACCAGATGAAAATATTCAGCATAGAATGGAAGTACTGAAAGAAAATGTACACAAATACAACAACCCTTTTTACTTACGAGCATTTAACGTTCAATCTTCGGATGAACTCGGTGAAAATAAAAGGTTAAATTTCAAGAAAACATATAGAAATGAAACATTGTTTAAAGTTCATTCAGAACCTAACCAAGATGGAAACAAACCTACTTTTGTTTCTGCAGACGATGGAACTACAATGAGATGGGGTCATAAAGCTAATCCGGATAGGTGGTTCATAAACTTACAACCACAATTCCAAGGAAGTTGTAGACGCAATGGAAGTCAATGGTGAACGAGATATAGCTGGTATTTTAAGCGCGGCTTTAATGCCATTGAAAGATATGAAACATGCAGATATTTTGGACCAGTATGAAATGAACATGGCTGATGGAAATATAACACCTGACGTTCTAGAACATTTATCTCAAAAACTACACAGAACCATAGAGATGGTATATTTGGTGAAGAGTTTAGAAAGAAAGTTAGGGAGAGCGAAGGAAGAGAACCTATTGTACATGACCTTGCAAACGAAAGTGTTTGCAAAATGTCATAAAAACTTACTTTGCAGACGATGAACTGAGAAGGGATGAATATTTAAGAAAACTCAAATGGACAGTACCAAATGAAATGTTAGTATTGAAAAACATGTTCTTGACAAAATAAAACCAACTACAGAAATAAACGACGCAAGACTGAAAGATTGGGTAAAGCTTTCCCATTCACAAAAGATATAGTTGGTAACATGGAAAGAAAACCAGAAGGCTACAAAAACATATATTTGGAAACGAGCTTATTCCATATGGACAGGCACTGTTTGAAGAGCTTGAACCGGAAACTCAGGACAGAGTCATGCAAACAATACGCAAAGACTCAAATACAAACTATGACAAACTCTTTCTAGGATATAGGTTACCTGAGATGGGCGACCAGAGCCCAAAGGCAAAAAGGGCATGGAAAATTTGCAACATACTAGATGAACATGAGGCAAAGATGCAACAACTTGAAGCAGAGGGCAAGTTACCAAAAGCGACACCAAAGAAGAAGAGAAGAGTAGAACAAAGTGAAAGTAGTGAAGAAGTAACTTCATCTAGTGAAAGTAGTGGCAATGAAGGAAAAAGAAGAGTTAAAAACTCAGTCAGGAAGAAAGTAAAGCTTGGTCCACGTGGGTTCTATTATGACATTAAAATCCAACTATTCTATATATTTTTACCCATATGAAATGTACGCCGCTCAGAATATAACGCCAACAGTTTTGGATGCCATGAATGGAAATGTTTCCGAATGGTATAACGAATGCGACAATGCCATTAGAAGGTCAGAAATAGTTCCTGGAACTTACGAATATACAACTGCTGTTTCTTATGGAAACGTAGGTGAGTTTGGAGAAGGTTCTTCAACAACAGTAGATATTGCTTGCGACAGGTTTCATATAATTTCTATTGACAACTCTTTCTTATACGTGGAACAAGACATTGAAATAAAACCTTCTGCCAAGTTGTCTGACAAGAAAGGTTGCAATGGAATTTTCTATGTCGGATACCAATATGCTCCAGAAGTTTTCATGGGATATAAGATATATTCTAACTCTGACTTAGTTCAAACAGTAACATGGGCAAACTATGAATGGTTCGCTTTGAGAAACTCAGTACAACCACAAGCTAGAGAACAAACAGACCAGTATGCAACTATTGAGAAAATAAGAAGACTTGACCCTAACGTTCCAGGAGTTTATGTTGACCTTTCTGGAC